GACGGAGTTAAGGTGGAAGAGGCCTGCACTGGCCATGAGTTACATGTGATATCTCCACCAAACTTCGAGGAACTGCTTAGCAAGGACCCATTTGCAGTGTCTCTTTGCCAGACCAAGGCCACCTCGACATCGGTACCTCTTGGTGGACGCGATGGTGGCCAATCGATACTGTCATATCTGGTTTGGGGCAATGAGACGAGAGAAGAGAAGGAGAGGTCTCGAGGGTGGAGACTTCATCTGCATCAAGTACATGAGCCTTCATCACCTGCCACACCACATGCTCGTGACTTGAGACTCCACCTCATCGACGAGAACCTCAACTTCAAGGAGGTTCTAGCATGGACCGAAACTTAGGAGCCATCGTCCGGCTCACGACGTGAAAGAAGCGCTTGTTGGGAGGCAACCCAACCAGTCGGTTTGCATTTCTGTCTCTATTTCTCCTCGGTTGAGTCAGTTTTGCTATTTGATTTTAGAGTCAATAACTCAACCTTTGTGAGATTTTGTGTGGTGTTTGTGTTCTGATTACTCTCTCTTTCTGGATGGCACCGCCTGACCCGTTCATCATCATTCACCCTTGATCTGGTAACTTCGTTCTACCCTCCTTATCTTTCCTCCATTGAGGACAATGTCGTGCTTAAGTGTGGGGGGATGTTCGATTATGTATGCGGGTGAATGTTTGGATGTTTGTGTGCTTGGAGCCTAGTCCACTGTCCAAATTTTTAAATTTGAGGGCTCCAAGTACGTGTTCCTTGCAATTTCCTGCTCAGTATGCTTTGAATTGACAGTCTTTATAGTAATATGCAACCTAGGGAGGTAGTGTAGCACTATGGAGGATGTTGATGCATTTAAGAAGTCTCATTTCTTCTTCATATTGAGTTGGTTGATTGAGTGAATTAGTGATCTTAGGACCCTTGAATTGTGTGGTGTTGTGGATTCTCTACCTGTCATGGACTCTTGTATCATGTTTTGAAAATAATAGGTGCTCGAAAATGTGCTTCAAAATAAACGTCTCCCGTGCGAATAGGGCGAAAGTGTGTAAGGGGAGACGGGAATTCGTTCCCAATTTCCACCTACTACCTCCAGCCCCCTTACATGTCTTTCCCCCGCACGAGGCTCGAGACATCCGCTCCTGGCATGGCCGGTAAGAGCAGGTTGGGACCCTTGAAAAAGAAAAAAGAAAAGAAAAATAACAGAAAACAAACATAATAGAAAGAAAAGGAGTTCCAACCATCCTTAAGCAGAAAATAGAGCACCTTGAAAAATGTGAGTCCATGATCTGTTGTTTTTGAGAATCTCCTCATCCACAATTCATTTGTCCTCTGTTCACTATTTGCCATGATGCCTACTCGCCGAAGAAGTTATGAGATGACTTGTGCGTTGGTTGACCTCGTAAGTTGCTAAATGATCTAGGAAGTCCTCTACCTACGATCTGGGTTGTTTGTTGCTATAGAGGTCTGGAGAGCTACATTGGTTTGAGTTAGGTTTGCTTGGGGACAAGCAAACGGTTAAGTGTGGGGGAGTTTGATAGACTGTTAATTACACATGTTTTTACCCATGTTCTTACACCGTTTGAGATGTGGTTTCTCGTGTTTTAGACCGATTTCACGCTAGGTTGTGCTTGTTTGTGATATTTCAGGTCCTGGAAAGTGAATGAAGGTTTAGGAGCGAGCTCGGGGTCGATTGGGCGAAGATCGGGCGCGAGGCAAGTCACAAAGGAGGCCACACGGGCACACCTACAAATCACACGGCCGTGCAACTCATATTTCTGGCCGTGTGAGATTGTGCGAGAGCAAACACGGCCTGCCCTGACAACACACACGGCCGTGTGAAGGAGTGGCTTGGCCGTGCGAGTTTTGCCGAGAGCAAACACGGGCAGATGGAAGTCACACACGGCCGTGCCACTCTGGCCGTGTGAGAAGCCTGGAATTCGACTAAGTGATACGGTGCGTTTTGCCTCACACGGGCAACTGGGTAGGCCACACGGCCGTGTGGCCCTGCCCGTGTGAGTCGGGATTTCCTGGTTTTAAGCCAAATTCCGAACCAAAGAGGAGGAGAGCTGGGTTTTTGGATCCCAAACACCCAAGGGACGAACCAAAGAGAGAGAGGGCGATTTGAGGGCATTCTTGGAGTAGAGAAGGAGGATTTCTTCGCCTTGGAAGCTTGAGGAACAAGCCCGGACTTGAAGACTGATCATCTGAAGATTCTTATTGCAGTCTCTCTCTTCTCTATGGAGTAACTTCCCTTCACTTAGGTTTTGAGGAACCCTAGCTATGTTTGTTTGATTGGATGATTGTATGAGTACTCTGACTTGATAATCTTGAGTTCATATTCAATCTATGCATGTTTTCATGATTCAATTCTGCTTTAGTCGAGATTATTGATTCTACTTTGATCCTATGAGAGGGAATACCTGATTAGGTCAATAGAGCACCATAGATTGATAGTAGTGGATCGATTGCTTTAGTCAAGGGTTGATTCACTACTTTGTATCGATTGAGAACCTCTTTCGATAGAGGGAGTCTAGTTCATAACGCCTTGATCAGTTGTTCTAGAGAAGGATACGTCCCTCTAGGCAATTGACTCAAGAGGGCCTTGTTCCTTTAGTCGAGACTCAAGGTCTAGTCAAGGATTCTCCGCATTGTGAATGAAAGTGAAACAGGTTAGAGATCATCAATCATTAATCTGGCTAGTGGCTAGGGGGAATCATACCTAAGTGAGTTCCCAACCTGTAATTAGATTAACTTTAATTGTAGTTTGCTAGAGTAGTTTTAGTTCTTTCATCTTAATCTGATTTGCTAAATAATAAACTGAAGCTGAGTAATAGTAACTCTAGAGACCCGTGGATTCGATATTTATCACTTGAGCCACTATACTGCAGTCCCTTTCATTGGTTACACTTGGCCTTTGTTAGGTGTTGTGTTTTAGAGCATCAACAACCCCAAGGATGCTATTCAACTAGGAACTCTGATACATGTTATCTTTCTTTGCTGGAATATCTGGAAGGTAAGGAATGAATGTGTCTTCAAGAATCGGATTCCTTGGCATCCGAACGTTATTATGCAAACTTATAAGGAATTCATTGAATGGACGACATGCCCGAAGACGCCCATGCTTGTCTCTACATCTATTCAGCTCAGGGGATCCCACTCATCTACTTCTTCACCGCCAAGCAATCAAAATTTCATGATTCACTGTGATGGGTCGTTCTTAAGCGACTCCCAGATGGCGGCTTATGGTGTTATGGTCATTAACCACCATTGACAAGTGTGTGATGGGCGAAATGATACCCTCCTTTATTCCATCCCGCTCGAAGCCGAAACAAAAGCTCTTTTGGAAGGTCTCAAATTAGCTAAAAAAAATATGGCGCTGAATGTATAGTAAAATCTGACTGCCAAGTGCTTGTCAAAGCCCTCAATCACGATTTTGGAAGTTGGCCATGGCGAGGAGCAGCTTGGATTGGATCAATGATCTCAATTCTAAAAGCAAACCCACAAGTCAAGGTCAAAGTGATCTCTCGAAAACTTAATGTTATAGCTGATTGGGTTGCCCGGTCGCTGACTAGAAGTGTACTATTGTTTCTTCGTATCGGTTGGTGGAATAAAAGATGGTTTTACTGTAAAAAAAAAGGTGGGCCAACTTGGCCCGAGCGCTTTACTCACGGATCCATTTTCAGCCCACCACTAGCCAACTGACGGTCGATAGGCCCACAGCCAGATCGATACAACTAGAGATGGCAATTAGGATCCAAATCCATGAATCCAATCCAATCCATCCACCAAATTATCCACCTAATCCAATCCATTTAAATCCAATCCATTTGATCCAAATCCAATTGGATTGGTGGATTCATGGATCAATCCATGGATCCAAATGAAAAATTACGATTTGGTACCTATATTTTTTATATTTTATATTTTGGTACCTAAAATTTATATTTTTATACGAAAAATATCATTGGAAAATTACATTTTGGTACCTAAATTTTTTCATCGTGACATTTTAGTACCAAAACTTTTCAAAATTTACATTTTGGTCCAAGCCTTGGATGTCATTTGGATTCATGGATCAATCCACCAATCCATTTGATCCAATTCATGAATCCACCAATCCATTTGATCCACTAATCCAATTCACAAATCCACGAATCCGATCTAATTGCCACCTCTAGATACAACAATGAGACGGCAAGCAAGATTGTAATTAGCATAAATAAATAAATTCTAACAAAACAATTAGTTGTTATTTTGGTCAAAGGTGCCTTCGGGGACATCCGATAAAATTATTTTGGTCAAAGCATGTGCCTTGGGATCACATTCTAACTAGGTCTATGTTGAGGCTGTTTACAGCAGGGGGGAAAAACACAATAAATAATTACCTAACTTGGTAGAGACAGACAGAGTCATAGTTTTGCTACTTCATGTCTCAAAGAATACTTTATAATTATTAACGCTTCATACAAGAAATTCGTTACTAGGGACAGCTTTTCGATTTTGAAGAGGATTTATAGACTAATAAGTAAACAATTTCTTTGATATATCTTAGTGGTTCAAAAAATAGCTTCAATTATGACTTGTAAAATGAAAAAGCGATTCTGGTTGATTTTGTATCTTGTTCTCTTCATAATAGTGAGGCCAGTTGCTTAGATGAATTTATGAAGTTAATATTTGCGATAAAATATGATTTAATGGATAGATCAATAATTTTCATTATATTCTTAATGTATTTTTTAGTATCTAAATCAATTATACGTCATCCCAAACTATAACATGACTATTTTCTCACTTTGCTTACATTATTTCACGCCTAATTATACTAATCAAAATTTATTTTTTTCCAAATGAAACCTTTGTGTTAACATATGAGAATTAAGACAATTAAACATTCATTTTAGGGGTACAATCAAACTAGGCTATCAATAATAATTTTTATAAAATTTTCAATCATTCACTCATTTCAACTAAGGACTCCCGTGTTATAAAGAAAACACGGAATTAATAATTTCATAATGAAAAATTATTAATAATCAGTAGAAACCGAGTTTGTCAACCCGCGGGTTGACCCGTATTGGCCCAGACCCGGCCTTGAAAATGGGTTAAAATAGCTCATTTGAGAGTTAGCCCAAAATGATCAAATCTTGGCGGTTGGCCCGTCCGAGCGGTTCAGCGGGCTGCTCGTTCCAAAGTGTCGTTGAATTTTTACTATGTTGAATTTACGTTGATGTTATTTAAGTGTGTTGGAGTTTAAATACATTTTTTTATCTTGTATTCAAAATAAGTACAATGTAATGACTTTTTTCATATTTTTGGGCTAAATCGGGCTAAAACGAATGATCTATTAACCTTGACTCACTAATTTGGCCAGATCCGGGTCGACTCGCGGGTTGACAACCTTGGTAGAAACCGAAGTTGTCCCTATAGAATTTTATTTATTTATTAGGTAAAATTAGTAACAACCAAAAAAAAATTCCTTCACTACCAGCTGTCGATTAGAGGTCGATAAAAAAATTCTCCTGAAGAAAAGCGGAAAAGGGGAAAAACACAAAAAAAAAAAAAAGTTTTGTAAGGACAAGGAAATGGAAATGGAAATGGAAATGGAAAGCAAGAAGGAGAAAGAAAAGACTCTCTCTTAGCTTCTTCTTCCTTTCCCCTTCCAAGGTTTCCAGAAACGGCTATGAGAGCGGGAAAATCCCTAATCTTAACCCCTAGGATTCTGCCGATTTCAGAGGAAGAAAGCGGGAGGGAGGGAGAAGAGAAAGAGAGAGAGACTGTATCCTCGTTCCATTTCCTCTGTGTAGCTCTGCGTTGATGAAGAGATTGTAAAAATTTCCCAATTCCTCCACTTCTCTGTAAAATTCTCATTTCCTCCTAATTTCGCTGTAATTCGTCTTCTCTCGTTTCCCGAACCTCAGCCCTAGGAATATCACAGGAGGGAGGGAGAGAGGAAGGAGAAGAAATGGCCACCAGAGGGAGCAGATCGGAGAAGGTGAAGAGGATTTTCCAGCAGTTCGACCTCAACAGCGACGGCGGGCTCAACAGGGAGGAAATGTCGGCTCTGGTGGTGGCTGTTAACCCCCGGGTGAAATTCAGCGAGGAGCAAATCAATGCCATCCTCGACGAGGTGTTTCGGACGTACGGCGAGTTCATCGACGGGGACAAAGGTTTGACATACGAGGGGCTTTTGCGGACCTACGACGACGGTGCCGGCGACGTCGACCGTGACTTCGACGCGCTGGAGCTGGAGCTCAATTTGGACGATAACAACAACGACAACATCAAAGGGATCTCGGAAGCGGCGGAGGCGTCGTCGTCGATTGCCGACGAGAGAGTGATTGAAGCGCAGAAGAAGCAGCGGACTGCGGCGTGGGCGGTCTCTCCTAACCACGGTATTGTGTTCGACGATACTTGGAAGATTGTCGATGATTTGGAGATTTTGATCAAGAGGTTGAAAGCCAAGCAGGCTAAAGACGGGAAATTGAAGGGGGATAACGTTGATAGTTACTCCGACGCCGGTTGGTCGAGGGAATTGGGTCCCTCATCGGAGATCTCTGATAAGAGAATTATCTGGGAAGAGGCCGGGCATGATTATGCATCCTTCGTGAAGGAATTGGGAGCTTTGAGGACCAGAGCTGATGGGGCTAGATCCAGAGAAGAAGCATTTGATGGTCATATGGCAATTGCGAGGGTTTTGTATGAGCATCAGTTGTTCAAGGAAGCTTTAGTGAGTTTCAAGAGAGCTTGTGAGCTTCAGCCCGTGGATGTGAGGCCGCATTTCCGAACTGGGAATTGCCTGTATGTTCTAGGCAGATATAGAGAGGCCAAAGAGGAGTTCTTGCTGGCACTTGAAGCAGCTGAGGCAGGTGGGAATCAATGGACATATTTGTTGCCTCAGATTTATGTTAATCTCGGCATTGCGCTGGAAGGTGAAGGTATGGTTCTAAGTGCTTGTGAATATTACAGAGAAGCTGCCATTCTTTGTCCAACACATTATAGAGCTTTGAAGTTGTTAGGTAGTGCCCTTTTTGGGGTGGGAGAATACAGGGCAGCGGTTAAGGCCTTGGAAGAGGCAATTTATCTGAAACCAGACTATGCCGATGCTCATTGTGATTTAGCTTCTGCTTTGCATGCAATGGGAGAGGATGAGAAGGCTATAGAAGTGTTTCAGAAGGCTATAGATCTGAAACCCGGACATGTGGATGCGCTCTATAATCTGGGTGGGCTTTACATGGACATGGGTAGGTTTCAGAGAGCTTCAGAAATGTATAGCAGGGTGCTAGTTTTATGGCCAAACCATTGGCGAGCTCAGCTGAACATGGCAGTTTCATTATTGGGTGCTGGAGAAACTGAGGAAGCAAAGAAAACTCTTAAGAAGGCTCTGAAAATGACCAATAGGGTTGAGTTGCACGATGCTATCTACCACTTGAAGCAGCTGCAGAAGAAGAAAGTCAAGCCCAATGGAACTGCTAATGGTGACGTTCCTTTTGTCACCGTGGAGCTCTCCAAGTTCAAAACCTTGGGCGAGAAAACCACACAGAGACAAGAGCTTCGCAACGCCTTTCAAATCAGAGTCTTCCAAAGGATCACCCGGTTGAATCGGTGTGATGTGGATCTTCTGAAGAAGGAAATGAGAGAGAACGATGTACCTGTTTCTTACTCTGGCGGGGGTGTACCCGAGAAGTCCATACGGAAGCCTAACTTGGAAGAGATTCTAAGAAAGTTCCTTAACTTCCTGAAACCCGAGATCTTCCAGGGAGCAGTGAAAGGAATCAACGAGAGAATACTCTCGGTTCTCGATGAGCCGGGTTCAGGAAGGGTTGATCTGGGTATGTTCTTTGCTGTTCTTGCACCCCTATGCGGTGGTAGCCCCGAGAAGAGGAAACGGATTGCCTTCGATGCTCTACTATGGCGGCCTGTGAATGAAGGAGGTTCTCAGATCAAGAGAGTTGATGCTGTAGGGTACATCAAGCTGTTAAGAGCTATGTACCTTCCGTCTCAAGGAATCAGCGAAATCCTGGAGGTTCATGGAGAAACTGATTCCTCCATGGTGTCATTCAACGAGTTCCAAGTCATGTTTGATGATCGAGACTGGGGATTTGGTATCCTTTCGACCCTAGTGAAGCTAGAAGCTGAGGATAGAAACCGTCATGGTTCCCATGTCTGCTCGGTTTGCAGGCACCCTATCATCGGTTCCCGGTTCAAGGAGATGAAGTCGAGTTTCAGCCTGTGTAGTCAGTGCTACGGTGAGGGGAAAGTACCGTCTTCTTCGAGGCAGCTGCAAGAATACAAGTTCAAAGAGTATGCAAGTGAATCGGATGCGATGAAGGATAAATGCCTATGCTTTCCAGTTCATTCCAATGAAGAGAAATGAAAGTGATCTCTACCTCTCCCCCGGTTTTTGTTGATTCTCTGTCCATTTTTCTCTCCTTTTTTGTGTGAAATATATAGGTTACCTGTTCAGCGAGATGTTTGTACAATTTCTAGTTTATCATTCTGATTAGGATTTCTCTCAGTGCTCTTCTTATCTTCCTGTTTCTCAAGAAGTTAACTTGTATTCAGCCTTGCCAGACCATTTGACCTTTGTTTTCTTTGACCATGGTTAGTAAATGAAGCTGGAGAGTTTTTAAGGGTGTTGGTGTGGATTTTTTTAGGTTTGCCCGAGTCGCTGTCAACTTCTGTTCGAGTTCCCTTTGACTGTTTAGTTTGGGACATAGCCGTTGTCATGTTTTAAATAATGTAATGGAAGCTGTTGGCTTTTAGTACCACAAATGATTTTGATGGTGGAGATTGTTTTGATTTTGTGTTTCAAGTAAGGATCAAGAAACCTCCTGCTAAACCAATAGATAGTATTTAACAATCTAAAAAAGTGAACTAAGATTTCATTATAAAATACATTATTATTGACTTTTACGATTTCGGTATGGTCTTACAATCTTTCATTCCAAGTTGCGGGTAGAACTCTATGCATTTCTGTCATAGTACTTTTCTTGTGTATCAAGCTCCTGTCATTCGATTTCTTGGCTCATCAGTTTCGCCTTGAATTTGGGCTTTCATTATTATTCAACTCAGATTTGGGGTCAACAACCGGTGAGAGACGAACCAACAATCAATTATCAAGTTTTAGAATGAGAACAGTGACAGATTAGGAAGATAAAGTGTTAGTTTGTGTCCATCATTATCCTACCCGTTACTATCATTATGCTAACTGTTTAATGACTGAAAACATACAATTACAACCTAACCACTTAAATTTAACCAAAAGGAAACCAACAAAATGCAAAGGAAAGAGTCCATGCAGCAGTAGCAATCATTACTTATTAGTTATTACCCACATTTTGGGTAAATTGTAACGGATATCACTGAACTTTGGGTTTTAGTGCAACCATATCACTAAATTAAGTTCAGTGCAACGAAAGAAGATCGAAAGATAAAATTTTCCTTACTTTTATTTACATTTTTGTATGCAAAACTTTTAAAACTATATTAATTCAATAAATATTATTAAAACTTATATATAAAATTAGGCAACCTTTAAAACATAGAATTACTAAGATGGCTACAACCAAAAGAAATGTTTAAATTTTTAATATATAAAAAAACTGGGGTAATTCTATAGAATATATTTACTCCAAAGAATAATTGCATTATTAGAACAAATAATTACAATTGAAAATACATATATCTAAATAAAGGAACAAAGTTTCAAAAATATCATAAGGCAAAAGGTAGAAATATAAAGTTCGATATCAGAGCCTAAAAAAGAATTTTGGCATCGTAAATGCAATCAATACAATACCGTTGCATAGGTGAAGGTGAGATGAGCAACTCACTCAAAACCGAGCATATAGTGAAATGCAACTAGGTAATGTGGAAGACGAGTATATGTAGACAGCCTGCTAGATAAGTCTGATCGTTGAATCACCTTATCAAAGTTTAACTCACAAACCAGTTGTATAAAATTCATGTTAACTTAGTTATATTGATGGTGCCTCTTTCGAGATTGAATTCACGAGTAATATACAAAACAATCGAGTTGTTGACATTAAAACCGATGAGAGGGATACATTATTTCTCTCTTTTAAAGGTCCTTCCAAAGATGTCACGTTGGTTATTTAGTCGCTAATTGGTGGTTGATTGTATTCAATCAATCAATAAAGCTAGCTAATAACCTCTTTAGACGAAAGTATTGCCTGCCCTTTTCTGCAACTTTAAAACAGCAAATGCCTTTTGACAATTTGCTTCACGAGCTAAATAAGTTCACTTCTAACCCCCATGTGTTTCCATCATTAACAGCCATAAAGAGAAGCCAAAGGGAAATGAAAGACTGGTAAAAGACAAAGAAGAAGATGATAATCATTGATAAGATCATATATATGGTGAAAAATTATTCTAGATTGTGACTGTATTCACTCAAAAAAAAAAAAAAATCCATAAATTGAGGGTTTGCCTTTGGCAGCAATGATACCAGAAGGCGACTCCAGTGACGAAATGAAGGACCCAAAGCAGACTCTCGCTATCCACAATGTTCTATAATTCAATATTGAGCGATATTCTCATCGTTTTGGATCAATCTTTCCTACCTTCGTGGTTGAGATGTCAATCAAACAACGAGAATCATAGAGAAAGAGATAACGATACATGATTTACGTGGTATCGAACATGACTACTTCACGATGAACTAAAAAGCTCACCGTTAATAATATTATCACCGTAAAAACCATACCCCTATACAACCAAACCTACTGAATATATATAGCCTTATACTGCTGAACCCTAGCTCTACTACTAGTTATATATTTACAATAATACCCTACGTCTCATACATTAACGGGAGAAAGGCAACATGGTAATTCAGAATTGATCAATTTGTCCCTTCCAAGTCCAGTCCACCTAATGTTGTCCAATTCTGTTTTTGAATTTAATTCTCACCAAGTTATATCTACTATTTACTCCAGAGTTAATGTACATTCACCTCCGAATAGAAGTGTGCAACGGGTTAGTCCATACTGAAATACGCCGGACAAAATCGATTCTTGGATCGGATCATATCGAACCGAATTTAATGAGGCTCAATCCTTGGTTCCATTGATTATATAAATACTGAAAAGAATGGACTGAATTGTCATTTGGATCGTACCAAACATGACCGAATGCAATTTTGGTATGGTCCCTGATCTTATGATGTCTTTCACAATTAGACCATGGTTTTCCTAAGTGTTGTACGGTACGGGCCGAATCGAACCATTGCATACTGCTACCTCTTGACCATGCATTTTTTTTCAATTAAACACCCCAATATATTTTTTGTTGGACACATATTACTTAATTTCCAAATTTGTCCTAACCTAGTCTTTTTATTTGTTCTCTCCAAGTATTGAAATACTGTACCGAAGGTTGTACCGGAAAAGTCAGCAAGAAAATATTTTATGCTAAAATCGTGGTTTAGCCATAGTTCAACCGCTTCATATCGCTAAAAATCGTTTACCGGTTTAGCCTTTTTAGGAGTTTTTTCTAGTTGATTCGGTACGGTATTCAATCTGTGGTTTTCTCTAAAATGTCCGTTAACGCACATGGGAAATGACTTAAGTGCTTCGTCAATCTAGCCCCTAAACTATGGATTTTGTCCTACTAAACAACTAAATTTTATTTTTTCCTCGAGAAGCCCTAAACTTTGATTTTCTTTTTCTCCTAATCACACTTTTTGTTAATTTGTTGTTAAATCTCCATTGACATGTCGAGATACTATCAAAATGCCCTTCGTTTAGCGTAAGTGATTTGAACCCTCCACACTAGACACTCCACCAGAGAACAAAGACAATCACATGTTCACCCTTTTTGTTAATTTGTTGTTAAATCTCCATTGACATGTTGAGATACTATCAAAATGCCCTCCGTTTAGCGTAAGTGATGTTAAACCCTCCACACTAGACACTCCACCAGAGAGCAAAGACAATCACATATTCATTCAATTTTATGTTAATGTATATGACGTTAGGTTGCTCTAACCTAGTGTCATTATTTGCTTAGATTTAGAGTATTAAAATTATTGTAGGAATTTCTAGGAAATTTTTTCCCAATTATTGATTCAACTTTTTTTCTAGTGAACCAAACAAATTGTTCATTTTTTAATAAACACGACCTATCAAGTGTGAATAGTATCATATCATACCGACGTGATCTGCTCTAAATCATATAGTTTTTTTTTTCTTTTACTACTCTCTAATCTATACTTCATCTCATTGTTCTAGATCGTAGACCATATATATGTCCGGACTAAACGAAAGTGCACCGTTTCCCAACCCTATTTAAAACCACGCATGTCGCACCATTTTTCATCAAGCCACATACCCAAGTTGATCGACCACCACAAGCCAAATCATCAAACCAGATACCAATCCTGTTCATTCCTAATTTCAATTCAAAATTCAATTCGATTCCGGATCAGACCATACACACCACTAGATGAAACCAACAAAACAGGCTCCTCTTAGGTAACTACTACTACTTCTGAGCTAACTCCTGCTTCCGTGGAAGTGCACGCAAAAAAACCATGCAGATAGATGCATCATGCAACTGATTATGGTGTAATACATACTGCAACTACCATCCCAATCTCCATCCCCTACATCTCTTCCCAAATAAATATGAGCAAACCTCAAGATGCAGACACAGCAATGAAAAATCAGCAACATAAAGCATCATGATGAGTTCAAGTGAGAAGTCAGTTTATCATTTCTCACTCATGATCAAAGTAGTTGCAATGGCCCTGGTGGCCCTCCTGCTAACCGCGTCGCCTGCATCATCAGCAGCCGCAGCAACAACAAGATCGTTATTCTTAGCACCAGCAGATATACCGTTACCAGTTCCACCACCTGTCCGCCCAGTTGAAGATCAACGGGTGTGTGAAGATGATTACGGGGTCTATGATCCTGCACCTGTCAACAAAGGATGCAGCCATGCTCCAGTACCCCATGGCCGGCGAGTATGAATCTATGATCATGAACAAGTATGAAAGATGTGGTCTCACTTCCTAGCTGTCTGTTTTTGTTTTACAGAAGCCTTTTTTGGGTTTCCTTGCCTACCAGGTCTGTTTCTTCTGTCCCACACCATTATGCAAAGTGAGTATTGATGAGGTCAATGCCAACGGTTTCTGGGTGGTAATGAATAAGTACAGAGAGAAGGTTTAATGCCTCTCTTAAACATGCATAAACATAAGATTAACTTGTTCACGCTTTCAGCAGAAGAGAATTCTCAGAAAGCTTACATATTGTGTTCAAGCTTATATGCCAACATGCAAACAACTAAATCATAGTTGCACGAAATACCTACGGGAAAATGGTGATGTACAACAACAAAATATCCAGGCACTCTGCGTAGGCATCATGAAGAACCAAGCGAACAGTCCCCATCAAAACTTTTAAGTGCAGATAGCTCCACTTTGACGGTCTTTTTGCAATGTAATGTATGTTTGCTGAGCACTGATCTTGCTTCAACTTTACCTAAATTAATGGTAAATATCAAATCAGTTTCAGGGGGTTGACAACAGTCACATGAGTAAAAACCCTAGTTCTCATCCAGAACTTCTTCAATTCAGTTCAACGGTTACTAAATTAAAAAATTTATCAGTTAAGGCGACCAATAGTTAACATACCTTACCTAAGACTGATGGCAGAAGGACCAGCTACAGCAGCAACTCTCTGTGCACGCTGAGCTTCACCTCTATAGACATCCTTTGTTTCCTTTTTCAGACGCCTAGCTTCTCTCCTTTCCTCCTTCACAGCAGCCTGATTGCACAAAACACAATGTCAGCCAAACTCCAAAAAGGTTTCCTGGGGAACCAGGTAAAAGAAAATCCAACGTGGGCAGGCATGAGATTTGATAAACCATTAAAATTTATACCTTTCTCTCTTTTTTCTCCTCTTTAGACTCTTGCCCGTGTTGCTTCCTTTTCAGAGGTTCAGTTCTCGAGCTAGGTTCATCCATTGATGTTTCTGCTGCCGAAGCCTTTCTACTGCCAGGCAAAACACCTACAGGAATCTTCTCTTTCCCATGAAGAGATATCACAGGACCAGGAGTATTCAAAGCCTTGGAAAAAGTTTCAGCTATCTTCTTCTTTCTCGAAGCTCCTGGAGCTTGAATTTTAGAAGGGTGGTTATCAAGGTTTGAGTATGTAGTGACAATAGTCTCACAATCCCAGACCTCTGACTCGTCACTACTTTCCTCTGCTAGAACAACTTCTCCACCGTCATCCTCGTTTGCATACTTCTCGGCGTACTCTACAGTACGGCGAAGGACAGCAGCTGCAGTATTCAACAATTCTTCACTTTCCGGACCCTCGTTACTATGTAATATATCTGCAGGTGCTCTGTATTTCCCCTCGAGTTCCATTGCATCCATTGTTGAGGTATTAAGAACTGCTTTCAACTTCTCTGCTAAACACTCATCTTCATTTTCTCGATAACGACAGAAATCATCCTCCTCCTCCTCCTCATCTGTGGCATACTCTTCCATTTCAAGCTGCAAAAGATGAACAGAGCATTAGAACCAAGGAAGAGCTTCAACGACCACCCATGCAGAACTCATAGATGTTCAATAATTACCAACAGAAAATGCAATACACAGCTTAAGACGAATAAACTAGTTCCGAAAACTTCTAAACAGGCTCTCTTACCTGGTCAAATTGCTCATCAAGAAGGCGCCTGGGCCTTGCTTCAACAATCAAATCACCGCCACCCCTTTGTTCCACATTCTCATCCTGATGAATAGAAGGAAAACAAGCATCCCTCAACTCATCAATTACCTCCCCTGACTTATGACTCACAGTCACTGCTCCACCAATAATATCATTCAAATGATCATCGTCCTCCCCTTCCTCGGCAAGATTGGCACGAATGACAAAATCCTCCTCCAAATCTTCCACATCAGACCCGAATCGAGACAGATCGGTGTCGTCAAGCAATGCAGCCACTTCAGGATCAACCACTTTCTGAATCCTAACACCGACAGTCTTTGCTGCTATGCTGTAAATAGACATATCTTCCTTATTATCTTCATCTCTCACTTCAGACACCGGAACTCTCGAAGCATCATAGGCCTAAACAACCACAGAAGATTGAAATAAATACCCGCAGCTCCGATTCTAAATTCTAAAACCCAAAATTTTAGCTTTGACAAGGCAAAAACAAACAGTAAAGGCGGAAACTTCAATCCCAACCTTGACATCGCCAGGAATCTGGTCGAGCGCCTTCGGGTTCTCGTAATACCTGGAGCCGCCGCCGGTGTTCTTAATCTCGCGCATGTGAAGCAGGTAATTGTAGCCGTCATCAGGGAAGCCGAGCTCGATAATCTCCCTCCTCACTTGGTCCGGCAACGAAGAAGATCCACTGTGAAATTCGGCGGCGGATCTCATGGGGATCCCAAGAACCCCATCGCCGGTGCCCTCCACAAAGTCGTCCACATCCTCTGGTGCGTCGGCAAAGATAGAATCCGATTCCACGTCATGACGCTGCTCGCCGCCTTCCTCGTCAACTGAGTATTGATTCTCGTCGACGCGGACGAAGACTTGCTCGCTCCCTGGCGTCCCATCGAAGAAAGGGTCGGAGGAGTCCCGCGCCATTAGCTGGAACGTCGCCGATTTCTTCTTGTCGATGAATTTCTTCTTCCTCCCCATGATTGACAAGACTTCTGAAGAACTTGGGGGGGAAGGACTAAACGGAGGAGCTAGGAGCTCCGGTGACACGAACAAATTCAGGAGAGATAGATGAAGGTTTTCTTTGGAGAAGAACGGATTAGCCGTCCACAGTCCGTTAAACCCTAGCTGAAGCGAGAGATGCCGAGTTGAAAGCTAACATTTTTTTGTTCATGAATGACGCAGACAGATAAACCCTAGAGGCCCGACAGGCGACAGAGAACAAAATGCAAAAAGTATATAAAAAATAGTTTTCCGTTGCCGGGACTTGAACCCGGGTCGCTCGGGTGAGAGCCGAGTATCCTAACCAACTAGACTACAACGGATTCTGTTAAAATTACAAAACAAAATATTTTTAATATTCAAGTAAAATCGGATGTCTTTTGAGGATACGATAAACACATATTTGGTGTCTTATATAGGAGAATCAAATCATGGCAATCAAACTCATGACCGCGGGTATCCAGCTACCCTCGACCCAATCAATGCGGGGAATCCCCATATTGACCGGGTATGTGGTGGGTATAGGTAAAATCCTCAAAAAGTTTGATGGGTATGAGGTGGGTATGATTTTAGCCTCCTTGCCCCATACACATACCCGCCCCACCAAGAGCATTTCTTCGCATATAAAAAATATGTGGATCAAATTGTAACCTACCAATGATAGTGAGTGTAACTTGAGAAAATAAATAGAAAAAATACAATTAAGTGGCCACCATAATAAAAAAAAAAAAAAAAAGCTAAGACCATCCATAGTGGGGTGGGGAAAAGAGGGGAAAAGAAGGGGAAGACTCACAGTGGAACGGGGAAATGAGAAAAAAAAAAGTGAAAACACTCCTCCCACTTTTCCTTCCCAACTCATTGCGGGTTTTCCAACCCCCAAACCCAAAAAACTCATTTTTCCCACCCTTCTCACCCAACCATTGTGGATGGTCTAAATTTTTTTCCCTCAATTATCCCTTCACTCCTTCACTTTCAACCTCATGTCGACAAGATTAATTATGTTAGTTAATTATTACTTAGTAAATGCATTAGAGTTATAAGTTATAACATAATGATTTGGAAAATAGTGAATCTATATTATAGATTAATGGATATTTTAGGATCATAGTACGTTCGTTTAGTGTTATAATTGAAAATTTTCATGTAAAGTTTTAGGCATACTAATACTTGATGTACGGGGCGGGTATTACCCATGTGTGTTAGTTATATATGGCGAGAACGTTGTAGTCGAGCTCATGATGCAGTGATTTGTTCCCCAAGCAAGATAGCAGGTAGAATAGAGGACAAGGTGAAGTGGATTCTTGCGGCCAGACCTCCCTGAACAGGGTGATATACTGTATAGATAGGATTATATCTGAGTTGATGTAAAGAGCTTGATAGGTACTTGTTGTTTACTTTGAGAAGGGGTTTTTGCAGTTGAAACCCTAGTGCTTAATGAAAATTTTGATTAACCATCAAAAATAAGTAATCATTAGCAAAATCATCGCCAATTTGACTTGAAAACTTGTTCTTAATATAAGTCGAAACTGAAAATGTTCTTTCTACACTTGCAGTTGCAATTTGTAGAATCAAAACTAGTAGAAGTGTCATTGTCACTAGATAATTTTCAGGGTTGTTGGGGAAAAATCGAATAAGCATAAGTAGAAAAGAGATCGAATTAGGTCTTTATTGCAATTGAGATTTCGTTTTATAGTATAATAAATTAATTTTATGTGGATTGATGAACAAGTAATGAGTTGTGTTGTAGTGTCAAAAAACTTTCATACCACTTATACGTGTTGTGTTCCATCGTCAATATAAATATATATAAGGTATTTTTTTCCAAAATTTACCCTTGTCCCGTGACAAGGCCCGAAGAGGCGCTGCCTCCGCCTATGAAGTGATAGGGGCTTCAAAACTACCCAAAGGGGAGGGAGACTTGTTTTACAAATACATAAGAATAACAACGGATCCAAATAACATTTTTTCATAGGTTAGGACAAAACTAACCTTGGAAAGTTTTAGTATAAGCAAGACGGATTCGCAAATCCTCCAGGCGGACCGATCGTCCACCACTTGTTACTATCGATCAGCTTGTATCTGATTCGCAATTCGCATGACCCGTAAACCATATTAATTAAATACATTCAGGTTTTCATAAAAAAAAAAACATATGCACTAATACCAAAATAATGAACACCAAAATCATGTCCCCATTTGTCATGGTGCTGCCTCCATATGAGGTCGGCACATAACCGTTCCCTATACTCAAGTCTTCAGTCTTTAACGTAGCCAAATTGATCCTACATATCTGTGCTAAATGCCTTTGCCAGAGCAAAGGCCAAAATGATTGTAGGTTGGCAATCAAAGCAAGCACACAATCACAAACAAAAAAGCAAATATTATCATTGGAGGTATCGTGGCAGCCTGATTGTACATACCAACAATTGCAGAAATCACAGAAACCACCTGACATGCCCTCTTTTTCCCTCTTTTAACTTCTAATTATTTGTTTGTTTATTAACCCCAAATCTTAACCCTAATTGATTGCACAAGAAATTCAAATATAAAATCTCCACGTCTCCTGTCTCTTCAAAATCTCATAAGTTTTCCTTTTCTCTTTTCTTTTTTGCTATTTATTTATTCCTCAATAAATCATTTTTCCCGCAAAGTCACCTTTCCCGCCGTCCCCTCCTGAAACCCAGAGATCCCATTTCTTTCCCTCCACCCCATCTCCGCCGGCATCCTCACAGCCGCTCAATCTCTCTCTCTCTCTCTCTCTCTCCCTTTGCTTCCATTCCATTTCCCTCCCTTCCCAATCAACAATCGATCAGCTTTCCCCCATCCTCCAGCCTGCCTTGTAATCAACAATCAATCATCGCCTTTTCCGGTTCATCCGAAACCCTAAACCCAGTTTCTCCGGCGGACGGACTTCCGACCAATCCGATTGTAAAGCTCCTCTCTTTTCCCCCTCCGCCGTATTGGGCTGGCGATTCCAACTGGAAATTCATCTTCGCCGGTCCTCAAATTTTTGCTAAATGGAAAATGAAGCAACCGCTGCCCTGATCGTGATACCCAAGCTTGAGAAGCTATCGGATGCTGCAGAAGAAGGAAGGGAAGGGGAAGGGATCGAATTGAAGAGCTTGAGATTATGTTTAAAGTTTCTATGCGTGGAGGATCAATCCAAGCTCTGGACGTCGTGTCTGTCGTGGTCGGTGTTCTTCCTTCTCACCGTTGTCAACCCGATCGTGTCCCACTTTCTGCTTTTGTGCGCTGATTGTGATCAAGAGCATCAGCGGCCATACGACTCCGTGGTGCAGCTGTCTCTGTCTCTTTGTGCTATCATTTCTTTCCTCTGCCTGTCTTATTGGTCACGCAAGTATGGGTTCAGGAAGTTTCTGTTTCTGGACAAGTTGGATGATGAGAGCCCCCGGATTCGTCGAGGGTACCAGCAGGAGCTCAAGGTAACTACTAATTTATGTTCGTCATATCTCTTGTCTTTGAATCAAAACCATGAAATCGTGGAGTTTGATACGTGTTAATAACTAATTGCTCCGGGTGAGATATCTGAGATCGAGTTATTGAATTCGTGGTACCGTATAGGTCAATCACCAATTTGTCTGTATAATTCGTCATATCTTGGGTTTGAATCATTTGGTAAATGTGGAGGGTTTATCAGGATGGGACGCTTCTTTATTAGCAGGGTTTCTGACCTTGATGGATGTCACCTAAATGTAGTCGCTATCCAGGCAAAAGCTTAGTTCATCCTGATCATTCAAGTTGTTGAATGGAAGTTGCCTCCTACAGGCTAGTTGATTTAATGGGTGTCACTCAAATCGAGTCTGATTCCTGGTCAAGAACCATTCATCTCGATGATTCAAGTTATTGAATGAACCATTAGTTGGCAAATGAAGGTTCTTCCATGATTCAAAATTATCCTACTTGAACCTAAAGTGATGTATCTGAATGGAGGGTTAAACATAGAAAGCAAAATTGAGCTGAGAATTCTGCCATTTACATTCTAGACATTGCTTTCCTGTTTTAATTGGAACTAAAATTGGTAATCTTTGGCTCGAGACAGAGATCAATGGGGCTTCTGTGCACATTTGTGCTGCCCTGTTTTGCGGTTGAGAGTGCATACAGAATATGGTGGTATGTTACTGGAGCCTTCGAGATACCCTATGTGGAGAACATGTACTTGAGCGACACAATCATCTGCATATTGCAGCTGGCCTCCTGGGTTTACCGCATCTCAATTTTCATCCTGGTCTGCATTCTATACCGGCTCATTTGCCATCTCCAGATACTCAGACTGGAGGAGTTTGCGGACTTCTTTCAGACTGAGAGCGAGGTTGGTTCGATTTTGAAAGAGCATCTCAGGATCAGAAGGAACCTAAGGATTATAAGCCATCGGTTCAGAAGGTTCATTCTCTCGTCTCTGCTCCTGGTCACCGCTAGTCAGCTGATGTCATTGTTCGTCACTACTCGGTCATCTACTACTAACAACATCTATGAGGCTGGAGAACTCACGGTACCACATCTATCTATGCTGATTGCTTGATCTAGAACCAAATAAATGGCACAGTACAAAGGACTTGTTTGTTCAAATATGTACGAATTTGTTAAACATGCCGTTAACCCTATTCTACAAACAAGGCTGGATATTACAGAATCATCCGACTGATTATCTCTTATGGTTGTGTGTTGGCAGCTCTGCTCTATTAATCTGGTGATAGGGCTATTCATATGCTTGCGAAGTGCAACGAAGATCACCCACAGAGCACAGGCCATTACAAGCCTTGCTGCCAAGTGGCACGTCTGCGCAACTATCAACTCATCGTACGATCCAAACATCGCGGATGGCGACACTCCAACTAGCCATCAGGTATCTGATCCCAGCTGTGGTCAGGTGCACCCCATCAATATTGGGTGGGTGTTGGATGAAGATGGGGATGATAAAGAAGAAGATGACGATGATGAGAACTCTAATATCTCCAACATGGTGCCGATTTTCGCACATACAATCTCTTTTCAAAAGAGACAAGCTCTAGGTAACTTGACATATACCCAGAGGCTAAGGGCTCCTTTGATCTGTTGATGTAGATGACTGATACCTTTTTTTGGTTTCTTTCTAGTGACGTATCTAGAGAACAACAAGGCAGGAATGACGGTGTTTGGGTTCATGATGGATAGGACGTGGCTTCACACCATATTTGGAGTTGAATTAGCCCTCCTCCTATGGTTGCTTAATAAGACAATAGGTAATCTATAGCCAATGCTGATTGTTTTTTGTTCGCCTTTCTCAATGGCTATTATTCTTTTGCTCCGAAAATACAAAAAAGATGAGATAGAAACTTGTACCTCTTCTTCTGCTGATCTCAACGAGTTCTAATGAAATCATTCACTTATCAGAAAAAACAAACTCGTTCATGTACTATCTCGATTATCTGTTTTGAACCCTTCGATTATGAATTTTGACAAAATTCGGTACAAGCTGTATCGATCCATAGTAAGTAATCACGCTTTAGATGGCTCACAAGTCATATATCTGCTGGAAATTCTTGTTTTTTCACCCTTCAACAATTCGACTCTCCAACCCGGCACCAGGAATTCATGTTGCTGTTCTTTTTGTGTGTTTGAGAGCAGTGAGTTTGACTTGAAAGAAGCAGTAAAAGCAGCTGGACGCTTGAGTGCTGGCTTGCACATCATGAGAGAACTTGCAGACTGATGATGCAGCAAATCAAAGAAGCCAAAGCTTTTCCATGCTTATATAAGTTTTGTGGTTTGCCGGTTTCCTGTAACTCTTTGTGTATAATGTATAGATAGATTTTACTCGATGGTTCAAACCCATGTATGATGTATGGTATGTGTGTATTTTACTTGGCTGAGTGACAACTAATCTAAATTTTGTACGGTTGGGGGCAAAACAGTGTGCATATGTATTTTGGTGCGTGCAGATATGCAGTGTATTCTTGTATGTATGTCATCTCATTTCATTTGTTGTCTCTTATAAAGATTGGGATGTTTATTTTACCGTTTTTGCCTCTCAAAATGATTCATATTAGGATATGATTTGGGGTGGGATGTGGGCTCATCTGTGATTTGATACTGAGCCACCCGTAAATAATATAAGTAGTGGGTGGTGATTGGTGTGAGTTGATCGTGGATAGAAAATTTACTCCTCGTACTTATTTGGGTGGGTGATGGGTGGGTTGCGTTGCGTGTGGGTCACCAAAATGATTCGGAATGTTTTTGAATTACTTTTTTTCCGTTGAATATTACTATTATTTTTATTATGTTATGCAATGCCCATTTGATATTGGATACAAATTTAATTGTATCTAATTCATAAAGAAAGCTAATTTTCTCTACATAATTTGTTGATAGAGTAATGAAAGTTTTGATATGTTGCCAAAAAATGAAATCCACACAAATGAAGATCCTTGATCTCTAGGAGTATGTTGTTATTGACTATGTTTCTTTGTGAGTGAATACTTCATTTACTATCGATATGTGGCCCAGCTTTTAGAAGTGTTTTTCGGCTTCAAAAGCTGAAGCAGCGCCAAACACCTCTAAAAGCTCGGCTTTTGAAAAGTCAAAAAGCGCTTTTGTATAACATAAAAGCAGAAGCTCCAATTTGGAGAATCTGCGAAAAGCTATTTTGAAAATACAAGATTATCTTTATTATATTTTAATTTTATTTCAGAAAATATAATTTTATTTCATTTATATCATTTTAAAAATAAATTATAAAATCATATTATTTAATATAAAATAAATCTAGCAAGATCCGTTTTGACTATTTTATTATTGTTTAGAATATTATTCATAGTTTATATTATAAGTCGTTTATGGTCATTTTACACAATCTCTCATATTAAAAACACTTCTAATAGTTTTTCAATCAAACACTCAAGTGCATTTTCTGGAAAGTACTTCTCTAAAAACTTGAGACAAAAACTGCTTCTACAAAGATTACAGCTTTGGGCTCTATATATTAACAAGCGGGGATCGTCGAGGGATTGGTGCAAATAGGTATGATCCGTGTAATCGTAGAAATTATCAAAATGAACGAATTCTCACGAATAACAATAAGTATACGAAAGAACCGTTGTTTTGTAATTCCTATAATGCAATTGGAGCTTATAGGCAGAAAAGAAATTCATGAGATGAATTCCATCTCGATGATATCGAATCAGATCAATATCATGAATAACAATATCTGACCTATAAAATCGATTCATCGTCGAGAATTGAATAGTATAACATAGAAATCTCATTTATACATAACGAATCAAAAAAGGACTATTGATCCAATCTACAAGTTCGAAAGTAGTCCTATATAATAAAGAAAACATGTTATTAGGTAAAGCCTACCTCTACCGACTACTATAGCTACGGATTGGACAAAGACTTGGACTTCAAACTCTACCTCAAGACTCTAAACCCCAAATAAAGATGTCAGGATGATCTCAGAATGTAACATCTCTGCCCTCGTACAAATTATTATGACGTGTTTGTGATTGGGTTACAAAAATTGGTCTTTTGAACCAAAAAGAAAGTGAATAGTGAAAGTTTTAGACTTAATTGCAAGTGAAGGAAAGTTTAGGGCCAAATGGAAAATTTGGAGGGCTGGAGAATTCTAGATAAGGGAGATAAAAATCTGCCACATCCTCTTATCTCTCATTTTCTTCTCATCCCTTCCCCTCACTCTCTCCCACGTCCCTCTCCTGCTCTCTTTCTTCCACCTAGTTTCACCACCCCAAAACCACTATCCCCTTTTCAGAAACAAGTAGTAGATAGATAGAAAGAAAAGGATATCAAGGAAAAAAGAAGAAGGAAACAAGGGGTGCTGCCAATTTTCGTCCAGCAGCAGGACAGCTTGTGGGAAGGACGATTCTGGACATTTGAGCCGTTGGATCGTTCTGTTATTTGGAGGTTTTGTTCCAAATATCCTTTTCTACGATTGGACCGTTCGGATCATTGTTATGATCTCTGGTTCATCGAAGAATGTCGTTGGACAGAAGGGGTGCGACATTGCTTTCCTGTAGCAGGACAGCAGATTAGAGGTAAGATCCTGTACGAAGTAGCCGTTGGATCTTTCTAGAAATTTGGTATAATGTTAAGTATATAAGTTTCTTTGAGTTGACCGTTCGGAACTTATTTTTGATTTCTGAGTGTCCAGGAACAATTGTTAGAAGTAGGGGAGTTGGATTGAAGTGAGAAGAAAGTAGCTGACAGTTTCGAAACGTCAATTTAAAATGATTTCTGGGCTCAAAATACTGATCCAAATGGTCTTAAATTTGTATATGTTGTAGCCCTATAAATCTAGTTTCAGTAGCAACAAGAATCAACTGATTTGGTTAAGTATCAAGGGAGAAATGACCGAAATGATGAAGCAGGGTAAAGTGTACGGTCGTATGACTTTCCTAGTGGCCTTATCGACATGCATGAACACAACCATGATTTTGATGACTGTATACGTATCTTGGTGCTTGAATAACTTGGAAACCTTGTATATAAAGGTAAGGAGCAAGCCGGGGGCTCATCCAAAAGCAAGGGCATAGCCGAGTGAAGATAAAATTGTGAGTAGATTCTAATCTTAAATCTACTTCAACATAATAACAGTATTCGGGTCATGAAGCGGCCCGAATACATATCGGGGTCATGAAGCGGCTCCGGTATAATATGTGAATTCATGGGAAATGATATGGCTAGGTGATATGGCTTATTGGTGTTTATTCATTATCTGCATTTGGTATGAAGTTGGAAATGCATGAATTGTGGAAGGGATATGGAAAGACATTTTGTTGGTTGATCTTGTGTATGCCTCTGCAAATTTCTACTGTGCCTCTGCAAATCATTGCTGCCTCTGCAACTAACATTTCGTAGAATTAGCATGATTATGTGATCTAATGATGAAAATGGTTGAGTGATCATGAAGTAGAATGAAATTAGCATATGGGTTGGTTTTGTTGATTTATTGTGTGGGTTATGAGTAAGTAGTCGAGCTTGCGAACTCGTCCTGTCTACTTAGATTTGGAGTAAGCCATTTGGCTTACTAATCCTGTTTTGCTTGAATAACTCGGAGTAAGCTCCTCAGTGTACATTTCATTCTGCTATGACCGAGGGTGCAAAAGCACTATGAATGCTTCTAAGCATATAGTGTATAAGTGAGCCTACGGGTTAATGATTATTGACAGGTGTCTAAGTGAACTATTAATGAAAAGAGGTGAATACATAAGAATAGGAAAAAGGGCTTCATGATGCCTCGGTACAGTAGTGTGTCCTGTTTGTATCGATAGGGGTAAATCCCACGATACTCCTGTTTGAGCGCTCGTGCTCCGCACCGTGCCGATTGGGTGACGACCCACGGTACTCATGTTCTGTTCAGTTAGCCGGGCTGGGGTAATCCCGTGGCGACTCTTGTATTCTATCGGTATGGGTTGCGTCCCGCAATACTCCTGTTAGTGCGAGCACTCCTGTTTCGTGCCTTGTGCACTCCTATTTATACCGGACTGGGTTTTGTTCCCCGGTACTCCAGTTATCTGATGGCTGTACATAGTTACCCTACAGCCTTCCACTACTGTACTACCTGGGGAGGATATCATTTAGCAAATTTGAAAGTGAAATTGTATAAGTAAAATGTCTCTGCCTGTCATATGTTGTATGTGTTTTGACTGTGATGGGATGTGAATATGTGAACTTTATTGATTTAGTGGAATGAAAAGTGGGATAAACAGCTTATTTCCTGTTATGTGCTAGGGTGTTTCTGCCCGATACTGTTTTTGTATTGATGTCGATCTGAGCTTAGAATTTATTCACTGAGCGACTCATCCTCCGTCACCATTTTTCCTCAGATCAAGAGCAGAAGTAAGGCGTGTACTGTAGATATCGGGACTCAAGCTTGAAGGGAAGCCATGAGGTGGGCGGAGGACTCCGAACTCCTTGAATGTTTTATGTTGTGTGGATTTTGTAATAAAGCAGACTTTCCCGATTTTTTGTTTCGACTCTATTGAAAATGTAAATTATGGTTTGAAGTTTGAAAAAAAAAAATACATATATAAAGCTCGGGCCCGAGAATGTTTAAACAAGATGTTTGTTTTACTATTTCGTTTTGTAATGTAAAGTATGGGCGTTTGGTACATTTTTGGTATCAGAGCTGGGATATGATCTCGTGGATACCAAACGTTTTAAACGAGATTTTACTGGGAAAAAATGATTTCACGGGGAAGTGATTAATTATTGATTTTGACTTTGTATTTTGTTTTTGTGGAGTTCAGTCAAGGAGCAGATCTGCAACCTCACGGGAATCCTAATGCTGGAGGTTCTAATTTTAATGGGAATAATGCTGAGTCCCGCAATAGAGCCAATCCTTATGTCAAGGATTTTGAAAAGCTGAGGAATATGGGGGCTGAGTTCTTTAAAGGGGCTATTGACCCTAAAGATGCTCTAGACTAGATCAAGGAGATGGAACAAATCTTTAACCTCCTTGAGTGTCCTAATGAAGCAAGAGTGGAGTATATGTACTACCTGCTCAGGTCTGATGCTTATGACTGGTGGTTGACCGTACCCGGAGCTCAGGATCGTACAATTCGGTATACCTGGGCGGAATTTCTTGAGAAATTTCGTAAGCAATATGTGCCTGATCTGTATGTGGATAGGAAGAAGAAAGAGTTTTTGGACCTGAAACAACAAAGGGGGCAGACTGTTAAAGAGTATGATGCCATTTTCCATCGTTTGATGACCTTCGCGATGGAGTTGGTACCTACTGAACGAGCTAGATGCAACCGCTATGAGCAAGGCCTGAATCCATAGATCAAGATGATAGTAGCAAAATCAGAGACAAATGATCTTGCCACCTTGAGAGAGGCTGCCATGAGAGCAGAGGATTTGGTGAATGAATTGGGAGCACAGATGGCTGAAGGAGGGAAGAGAAAGTGGAAGAACGTGGGTTCCTCGAGTGCTGGGAACTCATTCGGGGGTAGACCTAATCAGAGTCAGAAGGTTTCACGTCCAGTGGCCAGTTACCCCGGACAGGAGCGGAGAAGTGCAGGCCCAGCTCCTATTTGCCCACATTGTGGGAATCAGCATATGGGTGTTTGTAGGAGGGTGACTGGTGGGTGTTTCCGATGTGGAGATACCAGCCACTTTCTCTGCGATTGTCCCCATATGTCAGAGTCTAGGCCTGCTGGATCCCAGACTACAATTCAAGGGTCCAGAAAAGGACTGGAGGTCCAGTGAGAGGATCAGGAAGAGGTGGTAATAATCATGGTAAAAGTCAGGATGGACAGAGCAGTCGGGGTGAAGTGCAGCCACGAGCCTTTGCTATGACTAGGAGGGAGGCTGACATCTCCCCAGAGGTCGTTACTGGTACGGTTCTTATCTATGATCTTACCGCTTATGCGTTGATTGATCCTGGTGCTACTCATTCATTCATATCTTCTGCATTCTCACGTGGGTTGCCTGTGCACTCTGAAATGTTGAACAAGAATGTAATAGTTCAAACCCCAGTAGGAGATACCGTAGTGATTGAATATGCCTATCCTGATGCCCCAATAAGTATAGCTGGAACTATTCTGCCAGCTAACTTATTGAGGTTAATGCTGACTAAATTTGATATAGTTCTAGGAATGGATTGGTTAAGCCAAAATAAAGCCATAATGAACTGTTATACCAAGGAAGTAATTTTCGAAAGACCAGATGGTCAGAATGTGATTTTCCGAGGGACTAGACAGGTGGTGCCTAGTTGCCTAGTCTCGGCCACCAAGGTGGTGAGTTTGATGAAGGAAGGTTGTGAAGTGTATCTGGCTTATGTGACTGAGGGCAAACCGGAATTGAAACCTGAAAATGTTCCGGTTGTGAAGGAGTTCCTGGATGTGTTCCCTTCGGAACTGCCAGGATTACCTCCGGAAAGGGAAATAGATTTCACTATTGAACTGATACCGAGCATTGCTCCGATCTCTGTATCTTCGTACCGGATGTCTCCGTTAGAACTGAAAGAACTGAAGGAGCAACTTCAAGAGTTGCTAGATAATGGGTTTATTAGACCTAGTGTCTCCCCTTGGGGCGCTCCGGTATTATTCGTGAAGAAGAAGGATGGAACTTTTCGTATGTGTATTGACTATCGGAAGCTCAACAAGTTAACGATTAAGAATAAATATTCGTTACCTCGGATTGATGATTTGTTTGACCAACTACAAGGATCGAGGGTCTTTTCCAAGATTGATCTAAGATCAGGTTATCATCAATTAAGGGTAGCGGATGAGTCCATACCGAAGACAGCTTTTCGTACTAGGTATGGGCATTACGAATTTCTTGTTATGCCTTTCGGGTTGACAAATGCTCCAGCTGTTTTCATGGCACTGATGAGCCGAGTGTTTCATGAATATCTAGACAAGTTCGTGATCGTCTTTATTGATGATATTCTAGTGTATTCTGGAAGTGAAGAAGAGCACCGAGAGCACTTAAGAATCGTACTGCAGATTCTGAGGGAAAAGCAGTTGTATGCTAAGTTCAGCAAATGTGAATTTTGGATGGATCAAGTAGTATTTTTGGGCCATGTGGTGTCTGAGAGAGGTATAGAGGTGGATCCAAGGAAAGTAGAAGCAGTGATACAATGGGAGCCACCGAAAAATATACCTGAACTAAGAAGTTTCCTTGGCATGGCCGGATACTACAGAAGATTCATTGAGGGGTTTTCTCTGATTGCTGCACCATTGACAAAGTTACTGAGGAAAGAACAATCTTTTATATGGGATAATAAATGTCAATCCAGTTTCGAAGAGTTGAAGTGGAAGTTAACCCCTGCACCGGTTCTTGCCCTTCCCTCGGGAACTGGAGGTTATGTGGTATATAGTGATGCTTTGCATCAAGGGTTAGGATGTGTTCTCATGCAGCATGATAAAGTAATTGCTTATGCTTCCAGGCAATTACGACCGTATGAGAAATCTTATCCGACTCATGATTTAGAACTGGCGGCTGTGGTATTTGCCTTAAAGATTTGGCGTCATTATTTGTATGGTGAGACTTTTCAGATCTTTACTGATCATAAGAGTCTCAAGTACTTGATGGAGCAAAAAGAGCTAAATCTTAGGCAAAGGAGGTGGTTAGAGTTGTTGAAAGATTACGACTGTACCATCGAATACCATCCAGGCAAAGCAAATGTTGTGGCAGATGCTTTGAGTCGAAAGACCAAGCATCGTACTAGAAATGAGGAGACTGGTTTAATGGCAAATTTTATTTCTTTGAGAGCTATGAGTGTTGAATTGGAAATGAATTCCGCGGGAGGGTTATTGGCGACTTTACAAGTGCGACCAATTCTGAGAGAAAGAATTATTAAAGTTCAGGGTCAAGACCCTGAATTGAGGAAGATTATTGATAAGAGTCGTAAAGGGGAAGAAACCAAATTCACACTTCGAGATGGGGTTCTGACACTAAATGAAAGACTTTGTGTTCCAAATGTGGACGAATTGCGAAGGGAGATTTTGGAAGAAGCTCATTCCTCTCCTTATGCAATGCATCCTGGAACTACAAAAATGTACCGTTCGTTGAGATCTCATTATTGGTGGCCAAGGATGAAAAAAGAAGTGGCTGAACATGTCTTGACGTGTCTGGTATGTCAGAAAGTGAAAGCGGAACATCAAGCCCCAGCGGGAAAATTGCAACCACTGTCCATTCCAGAATGGAAATGGGAAAAGATTACCATGGACTTTGTCTATGGTCTACCTAGGACTCAGAAGAAGAACGACGCCGTTTGGGTTATTGTGGACCGATTGACAAAGTCAGCTCACTTTATACCCATTAGATGGGGTTGTTCGCTAGAGTTACTGACAAAGAAGTATGTGGAGGAAATAGTGAGACTACATGGAGTACCAGTATCCATCGTCTCTGACAGAGATCCGAGGTTCACTTCTCCATTCTGGAAGAGTTTACAAGAAGCACTAGGTACTCGTCTGAACTTTTCAACCGCTTTTCATCCCCAGACCGATGGTCAATCCGAGCGAACAATCCTCACTCTTGAGGAAATGTTGCGAGCTTGTGTACTGGATTTCCAAGGTTCTTGGGATGAACATTTGCCACTGATTGAATTTGCTTATAACAACCAGTACCATAGTAGTATTGGTATGGCTCCATATGGAAGGAAATGCAGATCCCCAGTGTGCTTGGATGAGGAAGGATTAAGGCAATTGGAGGGACCTGAAATCGTTCAGGTGACAGTGGATAAGATTAAAGTGATCAGAAGCCGGTTGAAGGCCACACAAAACCGGCAAAAGAGCTATGCCGATATCCACCGAAGAGAGATGGAATTTCAGAGTGGAGAGAAAGTATTTTTGAAAGTGTCTCCTTAGAGAGGTGTTTTGAGATTCCAGAAGAAGGGTAAGTTAAGTCCGAGGTATATCGGACCTTATGAGATTCTGGAAAAGATAGGTCTGGTAGCCTATCGACTTGCCTTACCACTGGAATTGTCTCAAGTTTACAATGTCTTCCATGTGAGTTTGCTTCGAAGATACCTATCGAATCCGTCTCATGTACTGGAACCATATAAGATTGAGGTCCAGAAAGATCTAAGCTATGTGGAGGAACCAAAAGAAATCATGGATCGAAAGATGAAACAACTTAGGAATCGAAGTATTCCTATGGTGAAAGTAATTTGGAAAAGTCACACTGGAGAAGAAGCCACGTGGGAGACGGAAGAAAGCATGAGAGCACAATACCCCTACTTGTTTCAAGGTAAATTTCGGGACGAAATTTTAATTAGAGGGGAGGAAATGTAACATCCCTGCCCTCGTACAAATTATTATGACGTGTTTGTGATCGGGTTACAAAAATTGATCTTTTGAACCAAAAAGAAAGCGAATAGTGAAAGTTTTATACTTAATTGCAAGTGAAGGAAAGTTTAGGGCCAAATGGACAATTTGGAGGGCTGGAGAATTCTAGATAAGGGAGATAAAAATCTGCCCCATCCTCTTATCTCTCATTTTCTTCTCATCCCTTCCCCTTACTCTCTCCCACGTCCCTCTCCTGCTCTCTTTCTTCCACCTGGTTTCACCACCCCAAAACCACCATCCCCTTTTCATAAACAAGTAGTAGATAGATAGATAGAAAGAAAAGGATATCAAGAAAAGAAAGAAGAAGGAAACAAGGGGTGCTGCCAATTTTCGTCCAGCAGCAGGACAGCTTGTGGGAAGGACGATTCTGGACACTTGAGCCGTTGGATCGTTCTGCTATTTGGAGGTTTTGTTCCATATGAACTTTTCTACGATTGGACCGTTCGGATCATTGTTATGATCTCTGGTTCATTGAGGAATGTCGCTGGACAGAAGGGGTGCGACATTGCTTTCCTGTAGCAGGACAGCATATTAGAGGTAAGATCATGTACGAAGTAGCCGTTGGATCTTTCTAGAAATTTGGTATAATGTTAAGTATATAGGTTTCTTTGAGTTGACCGTTCGGAACTTATTTTTGATTTCGGAGTGGCCAGGAACAATTGTTAGAAGTAGGGGAGTTGGATTGAAGTGAGAAGAAAGTAGCTGACAGTTTCAAAACGTTAATTTAAAATGATTTCTGGGCTAAAAATACTGATCCCAATGGTCTGAAATTTGGATATGTTGTAGCCCTATGAATCTAGTTTCAGTAGCAACAAGAATCAACTGATTCGGTTAAGTATCAAGGGAGAAATGACCGAAATGATTGAGCAGGGTAAAGTGTACGGTCGTATGACTTCCCTAGTGGCCTTATCGACATGCATGAACACAACCATGATTTGGATGACTGTATACGTATCTTGGTGCTTGAATAACTTGGAAATCTTATATATAAAGGTAAGGAGCAAGCCGGGGGGCTCATCCAAAAGCAAGGGCATAGCCGAGTGAAGATAAAATTGTGAGTAGATTCTAATTTTAAATCTACTTCAACATAATAACAGTATTCGAAACTGTCAGCTACTTTCTTCTCACTTCAATCCAACTACCCTACTTCTAACAATTTTTCCTGACATTTCCAAAATCAAAACTAAGTTCCGAACGGTCAACTCAAAGAAACTTATATACTTAACATTATACCAAATTTCTAGAAAGATCCAACGGCTACTTCGTACAGGAACTTACCTCTAATCTGCTGTCCTGCTATAGGAAAGCAATGTCACACCCATTCTGTCCAACGACATTCCTCGATGAACCAGAGAACATAACAATGATCCGAACAATCCAATCGTAGACAAGGACATATGGAACAAAACCTCCAAATATCAGAAAGATCCAACGGCTCAAGTGTCCACAATCGTCCTTCCCACAAGCTGTCCTGCTGCTGGACGAAAATTGGCAGCACCCCTTGTTTCCTTCTTCTTTCTTTCCTTGATATCCTTTTCTTCTATCTATCTACTACTTGTTTCTGAAAAGGGGATGGTGGTTTTGGGGTGGTGAAACCAGGTGGAAGAAAGAGAGCAAGAGAGGGACGTGGAAGAGAGTGAGGGGAAGGGATGAGAAGAAAATAAGAGATAAGAGGATGGGGCAGATTTTTATCTCCCTTATCTAGAATTCTCCAGCCCTCCAAATTGTCCATTTAGCGCTAAACTTTCCTTCACTAGCAATTAAGTCTAAACCTTTCACTATTCACTTTCTTTTTGGGTCAAAAGACCAATTTTTGAACCAAAAAGAAAGTGAATAGTGAAAGTTTTAGACTTAATTGCAAGTGAAGGAAAGTTTAGGGCCAAATGGACAATTTGGAGGGCTGGAGAATTCTAGATAAGGGAGATAAAAATCTGCCCCATCCTCTTATCTCTCATTTTCTTCTCATCCCTTCCCCTCACTCTCTCCCACGTCCCTCTCTTGCTCTCTTTCTTCCACCTGGTTTCACCACCCCAAAACCACCATCTCCTTTTCAGAAACAAGTAGTAGATAGATAGAAAGAAAAGAATATCAAGGAAAGAAAGAAGGAAACAAGTGGTGCTGCCAATTTTCGTCCAGCAGCAGAACAACTTGTGGAAAGGACGATTCTGGACACTTGAGCCGTTGGATCGTTCTGATATTTGGAGGTATTGTTCCATATGTCCTTGTCTACGATTGGACCGTTCGGATCATTGTTATTATCTCTGGTTCATCGAGGAATGTCGCTGGACAGAAGGGGCGCGACATTGCTTTCCTGTAGTAGGACAACAGATTAGAGGTACAATCCTGTACGAAGTAACCGTTGGATATTTCTAGAAATTTGGTATAATGTTAAGTTTATATGTTTCTTTGAGTTGACCGTTAGGAACTTAGTTTTGATATCGGAGTGGTCAGGAACAATTGTTAGAAGTAGGGGAGTTGGATTGAAGTGAGAAGAAAGTAGCTGACAGTTTCGAAACGTCAATTTAAAATGATTTCTAGGCTCAAAATACTGATCGAAATGGTCTGAAATTTGGATATGTTGTAGCCCTATGAATCTAGTTTCAGTAGCAGCAAGAATCAACTGATTTGGTTAAGTATCAAAGGAGAAATGACCGAAATGATGATGCAGGGTAAAGTGTACGGTCGTATCACTTCCCTAGTGGCCTTATCGACATGCATGAACACAACCATGATTTTGATGACTGTATACGTATCTTGGTGCTTGAATAACTTGGAAATCATGTATATAAAGGTAAGGAGCAAGCCGGGGGGCTCATCCAAAGGCAAGGGCATAGCCGAGTGAAGATAAAATTGTTAGTAGATTCTAATCTTAAATCTACTTCAACATAATAACAGTATTCAGGTCAACTTCATACCAAATGCAGATAATGAATAAACACCAATAAGCCATATCACCTAGCCATATCATTTCCCATGAATTCACATATTATACCGGAGCCGCTTCATGACCCCGATATGTATTCGGGCCGCTTCATGACCCGAATACTGTTATTATGTTGAAGTAGATTTAAGATTAGAATCTACTCACTATTTTATCTTCACTCGGCTATGCCCTTGCCTTTGGATGAGCCCCCGTCTTGCTCCTTACCTTTATATACAAGATTTCCAAGTTATTCAAGCACCAAGATACGTATACAGTCATCAAAATCATGGTTGTGTTCATGCATGTCGATAAGGCCACTAGGGAAGTCATACGACCGTACACTTTACCCTGCTTCATCATTTCGGTCATTTCTCCCTTGATACTTAACCAAATCAGTTTATTCTTGTTTCTACTGAGACTAGATTCATAGGGCTGCAACGTATTCAAATTTCATACCATTGGGATCAGTATTTTGAGCCCAGAAATCATTTTAAATTGACGTTTCGAAACTGTCAGCTACTTTCTTCTCACTTCAATCCAACTCCCCTACTTCTAACAATTGTTCCTGGCCACTCCGAAATCCAAACTAAGTTCCGAACGGTCAACTCAAAGAAACTTATATACTTAACATTATACCAAATTTCTAGAAAGATCCAACGGCTACTTCGTACAGAATCTTACCTCTAATCTGCTTTCCTGCTATAGGAAAGCAATGTCGCACCCCTTCTGTCCAGCTACATTCCTCGATGAACCAGAGATCATAACAATGATCCGAACGGTCCAATCGTAGACAAGGACATATGGAACAAAACCTCCAAATATCAGAACGATCCAACGGCTCAAGTGTCCAGAATCGTCCTTCCCACAAGCTGTCCTGCTGCTGGACGAAAATTGGCAGCACCCCTTGTTTCCTTCTTCTTTCTTTCCATGATATCCTTTTCTTTCTATCTATCTACTACTTGTTTCTGAAAAGGGGATGGTGGTTTTGGGGTGGTGAAAACCAGGTGGAAGAAAGAGAGCAGGAGAGGGACGTGGGAGAGAGTGAGGGAAGGGATGAGAAGAAAATGAGAGATAAGAGGATGGGGCGGATTTTTATCTCCCTTATCTAGAATTCTCCAGTCTTCCAAATTGTCCATTTGGCTCTAAACTTTTCTTCACTTGCAATTAAGTCTGAAACTATATAAAGGTAAGGAGCAAGCCGGGGGTTCATCCAAAGGCAAGGGCATAGCCGAGTGAAGATAAAATTGTGAGTAGATTCTAATATTAAATCTACTTCAACATAATAACAGTATTCGGGTCATGAAGCGGCCCGAATACATATCGGGGTCATGAAGCGTCTCCGGTATAATATGTGAATTCATGGGAAATGATATGGCTAGGTAATATGGCTTATTGGTGTTTATTCATTATCTGCATTTGGTATGAAGTTGGAAATACCATGAATTGTGTAAGGGATATGGAAAGACATTTTGTTGGTTGATCTTGTGTATGCCTCTGCAAATTTCTATTGTGCCTCTGCAAAAGCGGTCTTGGCAGTGGTGTGTTCTTTGACTTGGCCAATGCTGGACGCGGGTTCGAATCTTGTTGGACGCGTTCCTTTATTATTATGTAACACCTTAGGCAAATCCCACATCGACAAAGCACGGGAGAGATCCATGGTTCATAAGTAGGAAACCAACCTTAACTGACAATACGCGTTTTGGGGTGTAATGGAAGAGTTCTTGTGAGAACTCCGAAGTTAAACGTGCTCAGTGTGGAGTAGAACAAGGATGGGTGACCTTATGGGAAGTCACCTTGAATTGCACCCCAAGTCAAAAATCCGTGAGGGTGTAGAGGCCCAAAGCGGACAGTATCTTGACGGGAAAAGGTTCCGGATGTTACAAGTGGTATCAGAGCCTCTCCGCGTCCCACTTGAACGATGGTGGGCAAACCTCAATGAGGGCCTTGAGTCCCAAGGGGGGGTGTATGTAACACCTTAGGCAAATCCCACATCGACAAAGCACGGGAGAGATCCATGGTTCATAAGTAGGAAACCTAACAATACGCATTTTGGGGTGTAATGGAAGAGTTCTTGTGAGAACTCCGAAGTTAAACGTGCTCAGTGTGGAGTACAACTAGGATGGGTGACCTTATGGGAAGTCACCTTGAATTGCACCCCAAGTCAAAATACGTGCGGGTGTAGAGGCCCAAAGAGGACAGTATCTTGTTGGGGAAAAGGTTCAGGATGTTACAAGTGGTATCAGCCCAAAGAGGACAGTATCTTGTTGGGGAAAAGGTTCAGGATGTTACAAGTGGTATCAGAGCCTCTCCGCGTCCCTCTTGAAGATGGTGGGCAAACCTCAACGAGGGCGTTGATTCCCAAGGGGGGGGGGGGAGGGGGAATGTATGTAACACCTTAGGCAAATCCCACATCGACAAAGCACGGGAGAGATCCATGGTTCATAAGTAGGAAACCGGCCTTAACTGACAAGACGCGTTTTGGGGTATAATGGAAGAGTTCTTGTGAGAACTCCGAAGTTAAACGTGCTTAGTGTGGAGTACAACAAGGATGGGTGACATTATGGGAAGTCACCTTGAATTGCACCCCAAGTCAAAATCCGTGCGGGTGTAGAGGCCCAAAGCGGACAGTATCTTGTCGGGAAAAGGTTCGGGATGTTACACAAAACTTGGGCAAAAGCCATGCTTGAAGCTCAACACCAGCGAGAGAATGAGATTAAAGCTCGGTTAGAGGCCATAACCCATTTTCTCAGAACATATGAAATTATTGAAGAAGAAAGGGGTCTTTTCGCTGAGTTGGATGCTCTTTAGAAAGATGAGGAGATTATGTGGCGTCAAAGGTCTAGAATTCAATGGTTAGCGGAGGGAGACCGCAATACAAAAAATTTCCACAACTCTACGATCTTTTGACGCCATTTCAACCGCATTCTTGGTCTCAAGGGGCTGAATGGTGAATGGATTAAACATCCTGCTCTCCTATCATCTCACATTAAGGATTTCTTTCAGGGTCTCTTTACAGCCAAGGAGACAGGGTTTGATGATCATCTTCTGCAGGATTTCCCTCGGTTGGTTAATTCAGACATGAATGACCTCTTAACCAGACCGGTGACTTCAGAAGAGATTAAGGCAGCCGCTTTCTCTCTTGGATCCCATAAATCCCCAGGGCCCGATGGCCTAAATGGATTCTTTTTCATGAGATTTTGGGACGTGGTGGGAGAAGAGTTGTGTCAAGAAGTCTCTTCTTTCTTTTTGACCGCCTCTCTTTCTGCATGATGGAATGATACACATATTGCCCTTGTTCCAAAAGTCTCCACTCCTGAGAGAATCAGCCAATATCGACCTATAAGCTGTTGCAATTTCAAATACAAGGTGATCTCCAAAATCATGGCCTCCCGTATCAAAGATATGATGCCATATTTGATTTCAGAGATGCAAGCTGCCTTCACAGGAGAAAGGATGATCCAAGACAATATTATTATTGTGCATGAGGTTGTCCACCACCTTAAGAATCGTAAGTAGGGTCGGAGGTATGACATGATGCTCAAGATGGATATGCGCAAGGCCTACGACTTGGTGGATTGGGATTGTCTAGACTCCCTTCTCTCGGCCTATGGCTTTAATCAGACGTGGTGTAGTTGGGTTAAGGAGTGTGTTCGAACAGCTCGGTTTTCTATCATCCTTAACGGTGGCCCAACAGGATTCTTCTCGCCTTCTAGGGGAATTCGACAGGGTGACCCACTATCCCCCTTTCTTTTCATTCTTATGTCTAATGCCTTATCCTTTATGTTGGATATAGGTATTTCCCAGGGAACGATCCATGGTCTTAGGCTGAAACAACATTGCCCTCTTCTGACTCATTGCCTCTTTGCGGATGATACGGTCATCTTTGGACGTGCATCTCTGGAGGAAGCTGAGGCTATTATGCAGATTATCAACAGTTACAGCTTCCTCACTGGCCAGGAAGTGAATATGGACAAATCCTCTCTATTCTTCAGCAAAAACACTCCAGATGATCTGAGAAGCCGAATCACTTCTCGATTTGGATTTCCAACGAGTATTCTTCATGACAAATATCTGGGGGTCCCCACGGAATGGGGGAGATCAAAGAATGAGACTTTTAGCTTATGGATCGATCGTATGGAGAAGAAATAATTGTCATGGAAAAGTCTTACTCTCTCCCATGCAGGGAAGGAAACTCTCCTCAAAGCGGTTATTCAAGCTATTCCTACCTTTATCATGAGTGTCTTCTTGCTCCCGGCCTCTTTGACCAAAAAGATGGACTCTCTTCTCCGTAATTTCTTCTGGTCGAGATCAATGAATAAACGATCTATTCCGTGGCGAAAAGGGGAAGTGCTCAATGACCCTAAATGTATAGGTGGGCTTGGTTTTCGAAATTTTCATTTCTTTAACCTTTCCCTTCTTGCAAAACAGAGCTGGCGTCTTTTGAATGATCCAGAAGCCTTGTGGGCTCGTCTCCTATGGAGCCTTTACTTCCCCAATTCTGACTTTCGTTCAATGCGGAAGGGAAGGTCATCCTATTGGATTTGGGCAAGCTTGTTTGAAGCAAGGAAGGCCTTGGACTTAGGGATGATTCGTATCATCGGCGATGGTGCTGACACGTGGTTCGACAGGGATCCTTGGATTCCGACCGTGGAAGGCCATAGGATTTCCTCTCCTGATGTCCCTCACTTCAGGGTCAAGGATTGGATGGAGGAAGATTCCCAAAATTGGAACTGGAACCTGATTCATAACCATTGCTCTGGTACGGATTCAGAAGTTATCTCCAGAGTTCAAATTGGCACGCCGAACTCCAAGGATAAGTGGGTTTGGAAGTTTACTACAAACGGAGGTTTTTCTGTGAGATCTGCATACCATGGAGTGAGGAACCATGCTCGACAGTCCTCTCACCATCCCACCAGGACCTCAATTTCCCCTCTTCTGAAGACTCTTGGAAGTGACTTTGGGCTCTTGAGCTTCCTCCCAAGATACGGTTTTTTATTTGGAGATGCTTGAGGAACGCTATCTCTATGAAAACCAATCTCCATCATCGACGATGCTCTCCATCCCCTCGGTGCCAAATCTACAATGTGGAGCAAGAATCTCTCATCCATTGTCTTTTCCTTTGCCCTCATGCTAAGGAAACGTGGGCCAGGGTTCTTCCGCATTTTAGACTCCCCACCCCCCCCCCCCCCCCCCCAAATTTCAGTCAGTGGTTCTTCGCGATGAGAGATACGAATGCTCTTTCTTTGATTTGGCTCAAGACCTTCTGCCTTTGGAACACCTGGAAGGCCCATAATGAGTTCATCTTCCCTAGCGTCAATTTGTCTCCTTTGATGACCTCTATTTTCGCCTTTCGAGATGCTTCTGAGCCTTCTCCTTCTCTTCTTTCTCGTAACCCTACGAACCAGGCTAGGGAAATTCCTTCACAATCTCATCCACCGCCGAGAGATTCCTCAAAAAGGATCCACTGTGACGTATCATTTGATAGTGATTTGCAAGAGGCGGCTTTTGGGGTAGTTATTACTAATTCCCATGGACAGATTTGTGATGGAAGGGCTGGCAGGGTCATTTGTTCGTCTCCGATTAAGTTTGAGGCACACGCTCTTGTGGAAGCTTGCCGACTTGCAGCTATGGACAACTCCCCTACTGTTATCATCACGGACTGCAAATCTTTGGTGGATGCTCTGAACGTTGACGAGTCCTTGTGGCCTTGGCGTTGTTTTGCTCTTCTCTCGCATGTGAAGGCCTTTCTACACCATTGCAACTGGATTCATATCTCTTTCACCAATCGAAGATTCAATAAGTGTGCGGATTGGGTTGCTCGTAATGCTCGTTGTTTTTCCCTTCCACCGGACTGGATTTACGTTTTATCCATTGTTGCTCCCTATTGTAACCTCTTCTCTTTCGGATATGAATGAATGAAATCTTTATTAAGAAAAAAATACTTCCCCAAGAACGCCCAACCTCTTCCGCCGAGTGTCTTTATCAGTTAATCCATCCCTTGCATTCCGAATCTCCACTGTCGCGCGATCCCTTTATTCGATGGTATCTAGAATGTCTCGTTCTTCATAGACCATAGTGATCCCATGTCGAGTAAGAACTTATCGAGGCCTTGCCGGCACAGTATCATCGACATCAGTTTGGCGTACTCACATTCCATAACTTCAGGGTTTTAGATATGTATTTGTCGGTCAGGTTCATGGGAATAGACTTTTTTTTTTTGGCGAATCAAGTGCAGTCAAGTGAGACCTGCACATGGCAAATCACTGTGCCGAAGAGTCTGTTGATACAAATATGTATCTGGCGGATCAAGATAATTGAGGAAGGACATAAAGTTCGTGCTCATTGTCTTAAGGAAGGATTCTTATGGTATAATTCAAGTACCACATCGAAAATACAAGAGGAACGAGGCTTGTATATTAGTGTCCAGTGTCCACCTAACCCATCAGTACGAAGCATTTTGAAAACGGTATAAGTAGACTCGACAAGTGGTATAAGTAGACTCGAGATTTGAAATTTGCGTTTTGAACGCCAGCCCAATCTAAATTTAAGGAAGTTGGGCCAATAATGCCCAAAAGGACCACAGCCCATTGGAAAATAGTACGAAAAATAGTGGGAAAGCCGGAAAAGAAAAACCCGGGAAAATGTTGCTGGGAAAGGTGGTAGCAATGGATAGGATTCATTCCCTATTTTAGCTATGGCGGTTTTCTCTTCTTTCCTCCCATTCAAAACAAACAAAAGAAAAAAATAGCCATGTTTGAACAACGAAAAGCCTCCCTCCCTCCTTCCCCTGCCAAAGGGAAGAGAGAGGAGAAAGGAATTCACCGAGAATTACGCCTACTGCTTTCTGATTTCTTGCTCTCTCCCTCTTCCCTCTCGCCGGCCGGAGCTCATTCACGCTCAGAAAAGCTTTTTTCCCCGGCCTGGGACGGAAGGGAAAGGAGACAACCGAAACGGTCCGACGAGCTGACAAATCTCTCAGAGAAGAGGGAAGGAAGAACGGAAATCGCGTATCGCCGGAGCTTGGATATCCTTTTCCCCCTGCTCCGACTGATTCCTCTCTGCTCTCTCTCCCTTCCCTCTCCGACGACAGCAGCCACGGTGGAGAAGTTTCTTTGTTTCTTTGTAGGAGAATCCTTTAGCGATCGCGCGATCTGAAATCAAGAGCTGACTCTCTCTCGAATTCGTCTTCTGGTCGTTCTTGCTCTGTTTTTCTCCTCCAATTCGTCTCTGTTTAGACGACGAAGAAAATGAGCGTAGTGAGCTCTACAGTCCGCGGGAGGGGCGAAAGGCGGAGCGTACTGGGGTCATGGGTCGGGGAAGAGTCGGCGTCGATGGCCGGCGACGTCGCCGGCGAATCGGAGAAGATTCACGTCGCCATCAGGCTGAGGCCGCTAAACGACAAGGAGAAGGCGAAGAACGACGTCTCCGATTGGGAATGCATCAGCTCCAACACCCTCATCTTCAAATCCTCCATGCCCGATCGCTCCATGCTCCCTGCCGCCTTCACATTCGGTAAAACCCTAAAAAACAAAATCCATCCCCAATCTGAGCATTTCCAGTCTCCAATTCCTCTTCCGTCCAGATTGAATTGATCTGTTTTCTTTTCCCCCCGCTACAGATAGAGTGTTCGGACCGGATTCCGGCACGAAGCAGGTCTACGAGGAAGCGGCGAAGGAAGTCGCTCTCTCCGTCGTCACCGGCGTCAATGGTAAGAGTTCGGTCTTCTCTTCCGTTACCGTGACAGAGAAGGTTGAATGAATGTATCTCATATGACTGTGTTTTCAGCTAGCATTTTCGCGTACGGCCAAACGAGCAGTGGGAAGACATACACGATGAGCGGAGTCACAAAGTACGCCTTGGCGGACATTTTCGACTACATCTACAAGGTAATCTGGTGAAAGATGAGAATTCTGAATTTCCAGGGTGGTTTTGTTTAGGTGGACTGATTTGGTTTCTCTGGGTGTTTCAGAACCAAGAAAGAGAGTTTGTGTTGAAATTCTCCGCCATCGAGATCTACAACGAAGCTGTTAGAGACTTGCTTAGCTCGGATCCCAGTCCGCTCAGGCTCCTGGATGATCCAGAGGTGAACTCTCCACTATCTTCCTGCTTGAGTTTCGCTTAATGGGTTTCGAGCTTTTAGATGATAATCATGTTCTATTCGTCTGAAACAGAGAGGAACCGTGGTTGATAAGCTGATCGAGGAGCCGATTGAAGACTGGAACCACCTGCAGGAACTCTTTTCCATTTGTGAAGGTAAAAGCAGGTTCTACTCATGAGCACTGTAACACAGTGCAGCTACACTTCTCAATGCTGAGATGAGATTTTCATATTGTGCAGCTCAAAGGCACATAGGAGAGACGGCTTTGAACGAGTTCAGCTCCAGATCTCATCAAATCCTTCGGCTAGTATGCATGCTGTTTTATTTCATTCGCGCCCTCTTCCCATTGTAGATCTTCTCTTGCTGAAATTTCTCGTCCTGTTGGTGTTTCTTCTGATTCATCTTGCAGACGGTGGAAAGCTGTGCTCGTGACAACTTGGGTGCAGAGAATTTGAGCACTCTTACTGCTTCTCTGGTAAAAAAATCACTTCTGACCCGATTTTGAATGAATGCAGTTGCAATTCCTTTTCATTTGATGGATTCTCCTGAGAATAGGACTGGATTGATTGAATGAACTTTTAACTCGATTTGATTCTCAATTATTTTTCATTGATCAGCCTGATTTGAGGTTGGATCGAGCGAATAATAGTAACCTTTTAATCTGTTGGGTTCTCCAGAATTTCATTGATTTGGCTGGGAGTGAGCGAGCTTCTCAGACATGGTCGACTGGTACAAGGCTGAAAGAAGGTTCGCATATTAACCGCAGCTTGCTCACCTTGGGAACCGTAATCCGCAAACTAAGGTGGGGTATAAACAATCTTCCTTCAACTAAGGTCCATCATCCCATTTAGCTACTGATTCATGGCTCATGACTGAAACTTTTATATCAGCAAGGGGAGAAACGGGCACATACCCTACAGAGAATCCAAGCTGACGAGAATACTGCAGAATAGCTTGGGAGGCAATGCGAAGACCGCCATAATCTGCACCATGAGCCCAGCGCGCTGCCACGCTGAGCAATCAAGAAACACGCTCGGGTTCGCCAGCTGCGCCAAGGAAGTGTCGACTAGCGCGCAGGTCAATGTGGTAATGACTGACAAGGCCCTGGTGAAGCAGCTGCAGAGGGAGATCTCCAGGTTGGAGGGCCAGCTCGAGCGCCAGGCCAAGAGCAGCTTCGGAGGAACGGTGTCCAAAGCCAACGATACTGCTGCTTTGCTGAGGGAGAAAGACCTTTTGATTGAGCAGGTTTATTATTCTTGATCATCCTTGCCCCTGCTGATGCCATGGTAGTCAATACCACCATAGAAATTGGACTACCTTGCTTCCTTCGATGTCTAGTAATGTCGGTCACCTTTTGCAGATGGAGAAAGAGATCAAGGAGCTGACCTGGCAGCGTGATCTCGCACAATCCCACATCGATAGCTTGCTGAAATCGGTCGGGGAAGACCGACTCTTCAGAGTGGAAGAGAATTCAGTATCGGAGGCTGATGCAGGTCTAGTAAGAAGCAACACCGAAAGGGAGTACGATCAGTTCAGCATGCCTAGTCCTGTTCCCAATAGGCAATTGCTTGAGACACAAGCAAGCCTGGAAGCCTACTCTCTGCAGGAGGAGATCCCTCAACGCAACACCATTGAGTCAGAGAACATATGCAGGGATGTCCGTTGTGCCGAAATGGGAGAAACCCCAATGACAAAAATGGCTACTACTACAGATGAAACTGCTGAGGTGGCATTGACGACCATTGAGGAAACCAAGGAGCTCTGTGACGTGGGTTCCTATGACATACACGAGATTCTGAAGCGGAGGGTTCAGGAATTGCAGAAGACGATTGAGAGTTTGAACCAGTCTTCTCCTTTTAGCTCAGGGAAAGGTGTGTCATTGACTAGAAGTAAGAGCAAGAAAGTCGTGGTGGTGACTATTCCCTCAGCGCTTTGGTCCAAGAAAGAAGAGGACGAAGAAGACAGTGAAGAGGACGGCTGCAATGCTAGAGACTCTAGTGCGACTGACGAGGAGATTCCTGAGAGACGAGGAAATTCTAAGGAGGAGGACAACAAGGGTCTCAAGATGGAGCACGAGTCAGGAATGAAAGACTCCGACTATCCCGAAAGCTGTGTTGTTGGCACCAAAGAGGACGAGATCATTAAAGAGATTGATGTTCATTTCGATGATACAACGAGTGTGCTGGATTCAGTTGCAGGATGGAAGAAGGGCAAGAAGATGATGAAGCACCAAAAGCAGCCAACCAGGGAACTTGGTGTCATTTCGGTAAGCAACACACACAAACACACACTCCCTCTATTGGATATTTATCGCAGGAAACAGTTTAGTTGGTTGCTCACAGCCTTGCTGCACACCATGGTTATAGTCATGTAAATGAAGATGGTTATGTGCAGGTTGTGGAGCCATCGAGAAGAATTCCAGAAGCGATGCCGACAACACGGGCAAGAGACCTCGTCTCAGAGACAAATAGGAGTTCGAACCAGAGCCCTGCTAACTGGTCACAGAAGTTTGAGAGGTACCGCAGGAAGATCATCGAGCTTTGGGCGAAATGCAACATACCATTGGTCCACAGGAGTTACTTCTTCCTGCTCTTCAAAGGAGATCCTTCGGACAACGTTTACTTGGAAGTTGAGCTCAGGAGACTCTACTTCATCAAGGACACAGCTGCTCGTGGAAACAATCCGGTTGTGGATACTCAGATTGCCACCTACACCTCTAGGTATGATTCTGCCCTGCTTCTCATTCTACATAACATCCATAGTCAGATCGCCACATACACCTCTTAGGTACTCACTACTCGTGTCCATTCTCACACAGTCCGAAGCTTCTCAACCGAGAGAGGATGATGTTGGCCAAGCAACTGCAGAAGAAGTTGAGCAGAAAGGAAAGGGAAGAGATTTACCTGAAATGGAACATAGAACTCGACACGAAGCAGAGAGCATTGCAGCTGGCCGGAAAGTTGTGGACAGACTTGAGAAACATGAGACACGTTAGGGAAAGTTCGATCCTTGTAGTGAAGCTGATCGGGTTCGTGGAGCCACAATATGCGCCCAAGGAGCTATTCGGGCTCAACTTCTTAAACCCGTCAGCTAACCAGAAGGGCAGCTGGAGAGACAACATGTCTGCCCTTCTATGAGAGGCTCATACCATCTCTATGCAATTTGCTAAAAAAGATTAGATGCCTTTTGTATACACAGTTACACAACTAAAATTTTTTGGGACAGTTTGGGGAAGTACCAGTCTTTCCTTGTAAATGAAAGAGAAAAGACGTCTAAGCCGAGAGTGTAGTAAAAAAAGGTAAATTTTTTTGACTCACTTCCACTGTTTATTCACGCTTTTTCTTGGTACGTGGTAAAAGAAGGGTAATGGGCAAGGAACCAGCACTAAATCACTTTGAATCACAAAAGAGAAACCGGAATTATCAACCAAAGAGAGAAAACCTCCCATGAAAACAACATAATTCTAACTAAACTGGATGCAGGCTGCAAAACATCCGCGTAGGACATTTCTTCGTTTGAATAAAGTTCATGATGGCTCGACTATATTATTGAAGACTATATATAGACAAAGGTGCAGAGTTACTTACACTACTAGATCAACACATTGATTTTCCTTACATCAATAATGCTCCTTCGGTGATTCTCCATCCTGAATCAGAAAGAGAGATCTCGTATCTAGTTGCGTAGGTCGTAGTGTTTGGGCCGCTCGTAGGGTGAACAGCATCGGTTAAGGTGATCGATTCATTTATTGTTGCTTCCACCACAGCATGTTGTTCATCTGAGGACATGGTTACACTGTTGATGGTCAAGTCCAATAGCGTGCAGTCGTATACCCAGCCAAGCTTTGCAATTTCGGCGGCTCGGTCTGTCCAAAGCTTCAACATTCGACCATCCAATACCTAGAATATTATTTCTTTTAGTAATGGAGCAAGAACTAAGAGACATACAAAAGAGTTGCTCAAAATTGAGGCTAAGCAAGAAAAGTAGACTTTCTTACCTCTGTCAATTTTCCCAGACAATGATCAGGTCCAAAAGCATGAGCCTTGACATTCTGCCATTTTCGGACTATGCCTTCTGCTAAGCTTGCATGCTGTCTTGACAATGCTTCAGTGACGTTGTCTACTTCTAACAACCATCCCATATTAAATGAATCTTATAAGAGACAGGATCCAGGAGACAAACAATCAGTTATAGTCCAGCTATTCTGTTAAACATATCATTAGAGTTCTTACCAGCAGTGACATCAGAAGAAGCCGTTGCTTGGTCAATCTCTCCTTGGCCAAAAGACCGGCCTCTTGGAGGCATACCCTTTAATCCTACTAAAGTCAACAGTCCAATTGCAACTCCAGCGCACAAGACCTTCACACTAGCATCCTTCAGCTTTTCACCAACAGATTCTGCCACTACAGTGCCATTGTTATTATTATCAATCTTTTCCTGGAACTCATCACTGTCTTGGCTGCCCAAAGGAAAAACCTTCTGCAATGCCTCAGCACCTATCCTTACTATAGCAGCAGCAGCAGCGAGGGGAGATCGACCAGCACCCTCCCGGCTTTCTAAGTAGGTCAAGACAGTAGGATCATCATAGTAGTCTCCAAGCCTGAACTCTACATCTTTGGTATCTCTAAACTTGGGAAAAACCACATCTGTTAACCAGGTCTCCAACAGCTTACAAAGCCCAAGAAGATAGTCTTCATCATCAGGATTCGAATTCTCCAGCACAAACTCCACAACTGCTGGGTTTCTATAACGTGAGTCAACCTGATCTAGCCCTAACCATGCATGACAATCATCCAGCTCACCCAAAAGCAGAGAACACAGAGCTCTTCCTAGTGAAAACTCAATCTCGCGGTTGTTTTTCAGACTGTTTGCATTATTTGTCTGTTGGAGTTGCTCAAATAGATTGTCAGCATATGGTATATGCTGAGGCTTTTTACCCATGAAAGCTTGGGCAACTAGTGCAAGGGCAACTCCATGCACTTCGAAGTTCTGAGGTGGAATGTTTGGTGGAGTGGCTACAAATAGATCAACCTGCTCAGAAGATGTCATGTGCAAGAAGGCCTCTTTCATGAAATCTTCACGAGTGAACCCACCAGAAAGCGGTGATGCTCCACCTCCTCCAACAGCCCACAATATGTTACGCAGTCCTTGGAGACCCTCTTCTCTTTTCGTCCGAAATTCATCATCAAGGGGCAATGCTAGAAGTTCTAGAACATAACGAGGGGTGATCTCCTCCAGAGTCTCATCTATCTGTGCCTGAAGATCAGGGGCAAGGCTGCTTGCTCCTTCCTCCTAAGTTACAAGATTTGAAGTCATCATCTTGAACTATCATTCAAAGTTAATGGAGGGAAAGCAAACACTTAAGTCTTGTGAGCACTTGCCTCAGTCTTAACTCAATACCTCCAAAACTTTTAATGCATGACAAAATAAACTCCCGATCACTCAATTGTTTCACAACCATTTTAGTGACGAATCATTTCATTCACTAATTACTTCCTACAACCTGAGCAATTAAATGAAAGAGAAACTAATTGACCACAAAATAACATCTTTCTGGACTATGCATAAAAAAGTGGTAATTGACAGTACCTGCAAGAGCTTCAAGGCCTTCTCTAGCATATCACACCCCCCAATGAAGTCAGGTGGGTCGAACGCCATAGCATTCCTCGACATTTCAACGTAGGCAAGAGCCATTACCAACACCACATCTTGCTTGAACCCCTTGGCCAATCTTTCTTTAAGCAAAGTCTCACCAAGTTCCAGAACCAGCTCGGTCTCCCCTGCTTCCTGCAACACACAGAGAGCCCCAGGTACCTGTATACAAATCAATGAATACATTCAGCCTAAACCTGATTCCGGCCTTCCAAAATTCTGATTAACCAATAAGGATATAGCAGCAATTGAGGTAGAAAAGTACATTGTCCCAGGGAACTTGAGTAAGGACAGTGTCCTCCTCATCATCAATAAGGCCGTGATTGTATTCTCTCCTGGAATTGAAATTGGCAAGAGTCTCGCACGCTGCTTGAAGAATCTGTCTACGGCTGATCAAAGCTTCTTGACTGAAGCCGTGGGCAGGCGGTTTCGAAACCCTAGCTTCGTACGCTCTCCTGATTCCATCTCCAAGGAAATGCGTCTCAGCTCCCAAAACCTTTCAGCAGCCAGCAACGAAGGGTTTAGGATCCCATTCCCCGACAATCAGAAACAAATTCGAAAGAAATTGACGAAATCAATGACTGAAAACGGAAATTCGAACTGCATTTTCGTTTCACCTTGTAGAAATCGAGAGGAATTGAGACGTAGCGCTCGGGAGGAGCGAGAGGCGGGGGACGAGGGAGAGGTGGAGGAGGGAGAGTGGCGGTGGTGGAGGAAGAAGAGAAGGAGTTTTGTTGTTGTAGCTCGGAAGAAGGGTCGGTGGCGGCGGGGGCGAAGAACTGGAAGTCGCCGAGGAGGCGCTCGGCCCATTTGCTGGAGGAGCAGGTGATGGTGGAGACCCTGGAGAGCTTTCTCGGCGGCGTGCGAGACAGCGGAGGCGAGACGGAGGAAGGGACGATGAGTCTCGGAGACGGACTGCAGACGCCGACGGTGATGTGCTTGAAAGCCGCCATTGTAGGACTGAGAAGTGAGAAGTTTCAGCAGCTCCGTTGCTTCGGCTGGTTTCACTTACCCCTATAGTTTCTCACACTTTCCTATTCCGAGAGTTTTCGTCAGTTTGCGACTTTGACAGCGTCTGAACTTTTACCAAAGAAATAGATTCTCCATTTTTATATAGCTAGTGTATAACTTTAAGGTCATACCTCCGTTGTAGTCTAGTTGGTCAGGATATTCGGCTCTCACCCGAAAGACCCGGGTTCAAGTCCCGGCAACGGAAATGAAAAATTTTTGGGCCTCACTTGGTCTGGACTATATGCCCAGAAGGCTTTTGCGTATGGGCCGAGCTTGCCTCCAAACGGATATAGAACTAGATTTTAAGGTGCTCCAACCAACTTACCAACATTATAATTTTTTCGCAGTAAAGCACATAAATTAGAGACCTCTACTAGTAAGTGATCTACTGTAATCGTGTTTCGTGACAACTCACTCTCGCCTTAGGAGACTACAAAACTGAAGAACAGTGTTTCATTTTGAGGGGTAGGGTCTCCTGTGGTTGTGAGAAGAGCTATAGTCGTCGTAAAGTCGAGTTCTAGTGTTAGCTTTCAAAAAACAAGTTGTCGAACCAGTTGGAAACTCTTAATGGTCGTTCATATGTCTGCACATGTAATGAAACAACTCGATAATCGCCTATTGATAGTGTATGTGCTCAGTAAGCAACTGTTCTAATCTCAAACCGCTTCCCCGTTGCTATCTGCCGGTATTGATGGGATGAACGATTCATTATAGTTCACTGTGACCCCCTCCTATAATGGTGGTCTCACTCCACATCCATGTCTCGATGTGACGCTGTGATCCCCAACACTTGCTTCGCTACTATTGTAGTTTAATGTGAGATCTGCTCCTGGTGAGAATCCATTGGCTTACGTATGTTACTAGGAACTTCCGCCACTCCAAAATAGATGAGGTCTTTAGATTTTCACTTGAAATCCATCTTACATCTTTTTGTATATGTGGATAATGTATATGAGACTAGGTGAGAAGTGGAGAAAGAATTTATTTATGTCTTGATTTAAGCTATAAAACATGAATGTATTATAGTCATAACACAAGAATGTGGAATGATCTTTTCCATTCCAAAGGATTCCTTATGGATCGAGAAAATAAAGATATTGGATGATATTAGAAGTTTTATCTCATAAGTTGTCGAACTTTTTGAACACTTTTTTGTTTACAAAAGATAATCATATATGGTTTAATACATTTGTATATCCAAAACTTTCACGGTTGTGCCAATAATATCCAATTTTCCCAGAATACCACTTATATCTATGTTTTAAAGTTGTTCTTTTTCAAATCTATCTATTTCCCAATATATTTTTGGCTAAATACACTTGTATATCCAAAAACACCGTTAAAGAATGTGAAGGAATTGGATATAAGTGGTATTTCAGGAAATTTGGATATTATTGGCACAACCGTAAAAGTTTTGAATATACAAGTGTATTTAACCATCATATATTGATATGAAAAAATAGATCATTACAGCATGTGCCTCAACCAGACCACAAAATCATATGAACGACTCGTCGTCGGGTACTAAGAAAGGACTTATCGAGCCACCAAATGGGCTACCCTATTAATACGCCGACCACCCTTGTAATATAGCCATCAACCGTTCCTCCACAAAACGAAATGTAGCCATTTTAGATTGAGCAATGAGGGTTGGTAAACCCCAGTATTTATCCTGGACTCCCACCGCGCTGACACCCAAGATCTGCGCTAGGAATTCCTGATCGGGGATGGAGACATTCTTACTAAAACACACGGCTGACTTCTCTAGGTTAACACGTTGCCCACTCAGCTCCTCGTACTCATTCAGCACATCGATCAGATTTTCACATTGTGTGAGTGATCCTCGTAAAAACAAATACGAATCATTCGCGAAGAACAAATGTGAGATCCGAGGTGCTTGAGGAGCCACGTTGACCCCCTCCAACTTCCCTTCGGAAACAGCACGCCGGAGCAGGACAGCAAACCCTTCAGTGCATAAAACAAAAAGGAGAGGGGAGAGTGGGTCACCTTGACGAAGTCCCCGGGTAGGCTTGAAAAAACCATATGGCGTGCCATTCATCATGATCGAGAAAGACGGCGACCGCAGGCACTCCCGAATCCAACCAATCCAGGTCTAATTAAAACCTAACTTATCCAAAACCGCAAAGAGAAAGGACCACTCAACTCTATCATAAGTCTTTTCCATGCCTTAAGAGCCATGTACCCTTTCTTCCCTGGGTTTTTGATTTTCAAGTAATGCATAAGCTCTTGCCCCAGCAACACATTCTCCACAATCTGTCGTTCCCGGATAAACGCATTTTGGCCCTCAAATATTATTTGCGGAAGAATACGAGCTAGCCTCTCAGTCATGATTTTTGTGATAATTTTATACACAAACTGGCATAAACTGATTGGCCGGAGTTGGCGCACATTATCCACCTTTGGGATCAAAGTGAGCTAAGTATGGTTGAAACTTCGCAATATCCGGCTTGTTTGAAAAAACGAGCAGCCAGTCTCAACCACAGACGCACCCGCAATGTCCTAATAAGATTTGGAAAATTTCCCTGTCAAACCATCAGGACCCGGAGCCTGTTTCGATCCCATCGAAAAAGTCGTCCGGCGAACATCGCTCTGTAGGACTTTCGTTGTAAGGTTTGCATTCATGGCCTTCGCGACTTTCCGCTCAAAGAGAAAAGTGTCTACACTAGCTTCCATGTTCAAAATCTGATTCTCAGAAGTAAAAAAGGTTTGGTAGAAGTCAGTGGCAATAACTGCCTTACCCTTTTCGTCCGTTATCCAATCCCCCTCATCATTCCTTAGCCCAACCACAAAATTACGCTTGCGTCTGGCTCTCCTGATGGTATAGAAATAAGAAGTGTTTTGATCCCCCCCTTTTTTCAACCAGTGAACCCTGGATTTTTGCTGCCAGTAGCTTTCTTCTGCCATCCATTGGCGACTCAGCTCCCCCTCCAGAGTTCTCACAGTATCCCAATCAATTGGAAACTGTTGCTTAACACGATCAATCTCCGTCTGGAGGGTATTTATGTTACGCAAAGAATTAGTGGTCCCTGCCCGGCTCCAATCATGCAACAATGACAGAGCTTCTTCAATCTCGTCCATAGCCTGTACATTGGGGATCCATACACTTCTTCTTGCCAAACGTAACTCACCATAGCCCTCACCTCTGGATCATTGGCTTTTTCATGCTTTTTCAAACAATCCTAGTTTCTTTTTTCTTCTTCAAAAAGTGAAGTTAGTACAGTAAGTCACATTTCTTATATAAGTTGTAATTCAAAATTATAAATCACCTTAATCTCAATTTAAGGTAGATAAGAGGCAGCGGCAATGCAGCTGGGAATTCATGGACATGTTTCATTTTTACAAAACTCATTTCGAAAATCTTATCGCTAAAATTATTATCATATTTTTCTTTCTCAATTTTCTCATAACTCGTCATGTAATCTCAACCTTGACAGTGAATGGAGTCTAAAGAAGCAACTTAATACGTTTATGTTTTTGGTTGTAAAACTAACAAACTTCCATGATTTCTTTGAATTATCAACCAAATATGTTTATATTTTCTATTTTATGTTGTTGGAATTATACCTCCGTTATCAAACTTCATTGCAACCACAACAGTAACAAAATTATACTAAAATGAGCTTGAGACAAGGGAAAGCAACCAATTAACAAGATTGTTGTTGAAGAAGTTAACAAAGCAAAGGTCATTATCAAAATCTGTTTGCCCCAAATCTCATGATGTGCCAAAAAAAGGATCCATTATCCTGTTTCCCCACGCCCAGTAGGTAAATTACTCTCAAGATTTGATGTTCTGTCACTTCTTAGTTACCTCCCAAAGTTAGATTACAGGAATTCAAGCAAGTTCGGAGTATCAGTGTTTGGTTTTGAACTTGTGATGAGGATTGTGGTTCGCCATTTCCACCTAGCTTCATGGACCTGTTAGGTTATGCAGTGATGAAGTTAGAAGATCGAAATAGTTAGTGTATCCTTTTAATTTAGACGATATGAGTATACGAATGAATAATTTAGTAAATAAGTACGTATTGGAGTAATTCATTCATAAAATAAGACATAATGATTAATAAAATTTTCCTTTTTGTATAAACAACTGTGATGTGTTTTCATATCCATGGTACACGATTCACTCTGTGACATCTCTAAAAAAATTTGAGTTATTGTAAGTTTGTCACCGACATGTATTTGACATGATATGGGGTCTATATAATGATCAAGAGATATTATTTTCAAATTATCACAACCCTAAATATTAATAGTTGAGTTAAGCACAATGTCTAATGAGTCTATGCAAACTTCAAGCCCATTAAGTAGCTTTCGTATGAGGAAGCATGTAACGAAATGATATAGGATTCATTATGGAATATTTACTTATTGGAACAAACGAGTCGAGTTTTTGCTTAGTTTGAGCTCAACTCGTTTGTAAATTTTTCAGATTGAGCTCGACTCGTTTGTAAATTTTTCAGCTCGAGCTCAGCTCGAACGCGAATTTTGATAATCCAGCTCGAGCTCGGCTCGATTAAAAATAGTATAACTCGAGCTCGACTCGGTATAGCTCGGTAAATGCTCATTAACACAACTTGTCAATCTGAGTACAAGCTCGACTGAAGATGAGCTCGATATGAAATCATTCTTGCTGGAAAATGCGTACACATAAGAGTTTAAATGATAAAAAGAACACTAGAAACTAAAAATAACAGTTAACTTTCATACACATTCGTAATAACAAGATAATGTCATGTTCAGAAGAGTAATTAATCCTTCTACAAGCTCTAAACAAGCCAGTTCATGAGCTTAGCTCAACAAGCCACCGAGTCAAGCTAGCTCAGGAGCTCATCGAGTTGAGCGAGTCGGCTCGCGAGCCAGCTTGTTAACTAATGAGCCAAATATCGAACGAGTTTTTTCCGATTCGAACTCCGAGTTGCTCGCCCCCGACTTGGCTCATTGACAACCATAGACATACTGGTTATTGACATAGAGTAATAAACCTGCGATATAGTTATTGAAATTTGTAGTAGGTACATGAGTGAAATGTAGAGGTAGTTTTCCTCCCTTTGTAATTTATTTTCTTTTGACTTCTTTGGAGCTAAATGGTAACTGATCGATTAAAGCTTTTGGGAAGACGTTCAAAATAGGGATGACAACTTTGCCCATATCCATGGGTTTCTTACTATCCAACCCAATTGGGTTGGGTATGAAATCCAAATAGATGGTGGTTAGGCCTAGATTGTTCCAGGCGGTCGTGTGCAGAGCAAGCAAGGCGTCTGTTCCAGATGAAGGGTGCACTCCAACTCCTGCAAAACAAGGGTCCGTGGGCAGTTCCCCGGACACCCTCCAATGCTTAAGTTAGAGAGAGAATAAGAAGTGATATTTGGGTTTAGATAGAGAGAGAGTAGTTGAGTTACCATTAATGCCGATATCGGTGTATTTATAGTCAGCCAGCTTAGGTATGAGGCATTAAATGCCTTGTCAGGCGGCCTAGACATGTTCGACTTTATTTGGACCGCCTGCGGCGGGCATTAAATGCTTAGTCCTGCTGTGTACGAGGTAAGTATCCTAGGAAGATCTACTTTTCCTGACACCAACGGTCTCCTGTGTCGGGCGGCCTACTTCCCGTCACGTCATAGGGCGGCCGCCTGTGGTGTCTCTTTTCCCTATGTCTCCTCGGGTCTCGTTCATTGACTCGGACCCTTCCTTGGGCTTAGCTTCTCCTTCTCCTCGTGGGCCTGACGCGGGCCTCTTAGGCCCAATACCGCTTAACTATGGGCCCAACAATTGCCCTTTAGTCGTGAAAAGCTGCGGGTTTTGGCGGCTACCTGTTTGCTCGGTGATAGTTAGGCAGTTCTAGGTTTAACAAACACCTGCCCTTTGCCCCTGACCGCCAAGAGACGGGGGTTTTCCATTATGCGTTCCGCTGCCCTTACTGTGCGACTTCTCTGATGCCGGCCTCCAGCTTTGATGAGAGCATTCTCGCTGTCCACTTCCCTGTAGGACATGCGCGAAGTGTGCGTATTTAAGTCCCTGAGCGGTTTCTCTGTAAGTTTTGAGTGTGCGAGCGCTGTCCACCCCTTGCAAACCGTGCATGAAGTTCACGGTTTGATAATTTTTGAAGCAATTTTTCCGATTGCGCTTGGATCAGACTGCGTTCGTTAGTTACTTCGGACTTATGCGGTTTAATCGGCCGTCGGTTTGGATTCCGCGGGACGCTACGCCGTTGCATGTCGCACCACGTGTCCGTTCTAGGAATCCGAACCTCTGACAGCGGGCAGTCCCACGTCCAATCACCTGCCCGCTTTTTGAAATCCCTAGACTAGGGTTTATTTCTCGGTCACTTAACCGTCGCTTCACCTGCCCCCCTTCTTTTCCTATTTATACTCGCTTCTCTCCTTTCCTCTTCCACATTCTGCGTAAATTTCTTCACATTAGCCACAATTGCTCGCTACTCTGGATTCTCCCTTTCTTCTTATTTGCGAGATAGTTCTTCTCTGTCGCCGGCACGAACAGATTTCCTCGCGAAGCTCCGGCGTAAACAGAAGCTATCAAAAAGAAAACTGAAGTCCCAAATGGCGATCGAGTCACAGAGTACCACACAATCTGATAGCCAAAATCAGAATCTGTCAAGTGACGTTGCTGCCGTCACCACTTCCAGCGGCGGCGCTGCCACCACCGCCTCTGGGGATGCTACTCGCACTTCCGACAGTGCTCCTCGCTCGTCGGGGGGACCGCCTTCCGCGGGTAAACAGCCCGCAACAGGTACTTAGTCTTCCTCCTTCTACGCGGTTATAGATTAGATTTCCAATTAGCTTTCGCCTTGCGCGCCCTTCACTAGCGAAATACTTAGGCGAGCCGCCCACTGCTCCTGTTGTTGCCCTTTCCTCGGACAGCGAGTCTGGTGGACGCCCAGTAGTGGGTGAAGGGGAATTACAACTATCTGGCGAGCGCCCAGCGGAGAGTGAGAGGGAGTTATCCCCCTCGCTAACGATATCTGAGTCGCTCCCAGTGGTGGCGTTCCAAGCTGTTAGTGATAGCGTCTACCGCGTAAGGCTACACGCGGATATGTGGGAAGGGGAGGCGGTTCCTCAGAGCGCGTTCGAACAGGGACCGCCCAACGAAGCGGCTTATAAGCCTCACCAGGTTTTGCGCCAATTGAAAACACATGGTCTCCTTGCTGACTGGGACTATGCGGCTCCGTCACCCGTTGGGCGGTCTGGATCATGCCCCGGAGGTTGGATTCCCATCCATGTAGAGCACATTCGGATGGGGTTGACTTTTCCGCTTGACCCTATCATTACAAGAACACTTCTGTTCTTGAACTGTTCGTTGGGTCGCCTATCGCCCGATATCATCTTCCATTACATCGCCTTTAGAGCCGCCTGCGAGAAGATCGGCGATACGCCTTCTTTTGATGCGTTTCGACTGCTGTACAAAATGAGGGGCTCAGAAAACTGCTGGTCCTGTTACCGCCAAGAGACGCAAATAGGATTTGTGAACGGGGCGCCGAAATTGGACTCCCCTTGGTTTAAAGAGTACTTTTTTGCCCGCCCTATGGGCAGCTGGTACTCCGGTGATGTAGAGCCACCAACAGGGTTCGCGGTTGGAGATAAGAAGGATTGGAACACCGACACCGCCGGTCTCAAAACCTTTAGACCGCTATTAAAGCGGATCATGAGTGCTTATCGGATTGATCTCCCTCCGAAGGGCAGTGATAATGCCTTGGAGATTATTCGGCGTTTTCATGGTTAGCCGCCTTCCCTTCGTACTAAACGCATACACTTGTCCATTACTCATGTATCTTTCGTTTTCAGGTACTCGCCGCTATGCTTCCGCTGCAAGACCGCCGAAACCTGGCACTGGTGCTCCTCCTTCTCCTCATCCCGCCAACGCTGCTCGCTCGACGGCTCCTCCTGCTCGACCGGCCTTGCCGTCTCAAAAGCAACTAGTGCCCAGCCGCTCAGGGGTTTTGAAATTGTCTGAACCTGCTCCTTCCAGGAAGTCTTCCAAGCGGCCTTTGGACATAACAACTTCGAGGGATTTGGCTGCAACCGCTCAGGAGCCTCGACTGAAAGGCATTCTTGCGGAGAAGCCTACCACTCCACTTGATGCGTACCTCGCTCCCAAGAGGCCGAAGAGGACCTCTGTCGACACCTCTGTCTCCTTCTCGTCTCAAACCTCCCTCTACCCTACGGCCGCTAAGCGCGCCATGCACGTGATCGCCGAGGGTCTGGCGTGTAAATGGGTCGAGCGCGAGACCTTCCGCCTCCTGATCCGCCTGACTTGAAGAAGTCAAGTTCCTACAAAACCCTAATCGGCACAGTTGCTGAACAAGTGAGGAATTTCAGTTCTAGGGTTTGAGTAATGAATTTGTGCAAGACAAGAAAATTGAAATAACTAGTAATTGAGCCAAAACAGACTAATAATTATCTGCAGGAATTTTGGGCTTGAAGCCCACTCGTTTATTCACAAGTAGACTGGGCTTGGCCTCCAAATAAATTTGCTCGGCCTGCTGTTTGCTCCTCTCCTTTGATCAAGCTTACCTCCCTGCTTCGAAGACTCCCCTGTTTCTGAACACAGTGACCAAACACACAAGCAGAGTATAAACCAAAGCTCGAAAAGGAGAACAAGAACACAGCACAACACTTTTTACGTGGTATCCGATATTGGGAGAAGAAGGATCCCAATATAGACTAATCCACGGTAGGAATCTCTCCTCTTGAGGATTCCTACGAATCTACTAGATCGTTTCCTTGATCGTGATTACAATTGCATAGTTTAGGATGATCAGCACCCTGCCAATCAGCCTAACACCAATACTGAGTTCTAATCTCCCTGATTATTCACTCAGATTCACAAGCTATTCTCTCCGATTAGCTGACCGAGTTTTCTTATCAAAAGTTCACCACTGTTCACTCAACACTCTGTTCTTTTGAATTGCCGAAAAACTCTGCTTTCTCCATTGCTCAACCTCGTGGTTATATAGTCTACTTTCTTCAAAGTAGTCGTTGTCTGATTGAGGTTTGAATTGCTGTGATTTGGCTCCATGTTTCCTTCTTTGAGAATTTCCATCTTTGTCTTGATTTGATTTGTTGATTCTTTCCCTATTGACGAGCTTCCCTTAACATGCTCCCCCTAAGCTTGTCAATGGCTCTCTCTACTGCACTAGTTTCTTTCCTGCACACACTCAGCAAACTATTGGTGCAGTCTGTTCTATGCAAGGTACTGGCAAGAGTGACAAGGGAAGTTTTTATTCATGATTAATCAGTTCAACAGAAATACAGATTTCGAAATTCAAATCAACAATCAAACAACTGGAAAATCAACTTGACACTGACACCATTCAAACACAGACTGAACGAACTACAGGACTTCTCTAGTCATAACTCGTGACTCCCCCTAAGTACCACCATCGATTCTCTAGAAGGGATAACCAGGAGGTGACTCATAATCTGATATCTCATCATCAGAGCTTGAGTCAGGAGTAATTGGATCAAAGTCGTCTGGAGCAGGCCTTGCTTCATCAAAGTCCATGAGTTCCAAACGTTCTTTGCATACCAACAGGCTGGTAGTTTTTCCACTACCAGTTTCCTTTCTTCGTTTGACTTCACCATCTATGGCTGTGACAGCAGCTTGAGTTAGGGCTGGAAGTAGACTGTCAGAGATGGGATCAGCAGGAGAGAAAATGGGGCAGTGAGCTGAGTCTCCCCCTGAGCCAGAGACGAGCTTACGGCGGCCAACGTCGGCATCAAGGCGAACTAGAACATGATTGGGACGCAAATCATCATGGATGTTGCAAACTGCCACCTTGTCCCGGAGATCTATTCCTAGGCGATGCAAGTAACGAGTGATGAGAGGTCCAAAGGGTAAAGCACCACTGTAGCCACCACCACCGAATTTGAGTATATGCGCGAACATCAAGGATGCATAACTGATAGGTTGACGAGCACAAGCATTGCTCAGAATCCAGAGATTGTCAGAGTGAAGAAGACCAGCACTAGTAACGTCTCGTGGAAGGAAGCATCGTGTGATGAAGAAATGAAGGACCTTTAGATCGTCAGGAAGACGACCAGCTGAGAGTCGAGTGGGGAAGGCCTTGCCAGTGTCACGTGTTACGTGGTCAAGAGCAGCAAGGAAGTGGAACCCATGTTCAACAAAATCACTCTCGTAGCTGGCAAGAATCCCAGAGTGAGGGAGAGAGAGAACTGATGCCAGTAAGGCAGGAGTGACAGTGATTTCATGGTCATAGACCATGGTTGTGAAGGACTGTGGCTCAGGTCCACTGTCACGACGAATATTGACATAGAAGAGCCTTACTGCTTCAGGACAGTGGAGAAACCTTTGATCTGCAGTCAATGATTCCCACCCTAGTCCAGCAACCAGGGATGAAATGTCCATGTCGTATTTGGAAAAGGCTGAAGGAGAGGTGGTAAAAGATGGGTAGATGGGACGATCACGGAAGCAGCGAAGGTACCTTGAGTGCACTATGGCGTTGCGAAAGCCTTGATTTTTGAATACCACAACAGGGCGGAGCTGGGCATTGTTGAAGGCCATGGTGAGTTGTGAGAGATCCGTGGGAGGGTGTTTGTTTTGAGAGTGGGGTTGGATGATGAGGAAACTGCTAAGTTTATAGAGGCTTGACAAGAATGGGGGAAGGTAAGTGAATCATTCTTGACTCAAGTATCCATTGGATATTCAGTAGATGACTGCTGATTATCCGAGACAGTGACTTAATGGACACTCTTTCCAAGAATTTAAGGAAATTGAGAGATCACAAAATCCTAAGAGATTTCCAATATTTCCTCTAGAGTAAACATGCCAAGTTCGCGTCTAATAGGTAAGAATTTTTCACTAGGCAGGGGTTTGGTGAATATGTCAGCCCATTGAGAATCAGTGCCCACAAATTCTAAGTGTATTTTTCCTTCCTGGACCAAGTCTCGAATAAAATGATAGCGAACCTCTATATGCTTGGTTCGAGAGTGTTGGACCGGGTTTTTAGTCATGTTAATTGCGCTGGTGTTATCACACAAGATAGGAAGAGAGCCCAGCTTAAGACCATAGTCTTCAAGTTGGTATTTCATCCACAAGACTTGAGTACAGCAAAAGCCAGCAGCAATATACTCTGCTTCAGCTGTGGATAAAGCTACTGAGCTTTGCTTTTTACTGAACCATGACACAAGAGAGGAACCTAGGAAATGACAAGCACCTGAGGTGCTCTTCCTATCAACTACACGTCCAGCATAGTCAGAATCACTGTAGCTAATCAGATCTAAACTGGATGAGCTAGAGTACCAGAGACCTAGAGAAGGAGTCCCTACTAGATAACGAAAAATTCGTTTAATGGCAGAGAGATGACTCTCCTTTGGATTGCCCTGAAATCGTGCACACACACATACACTATGCATAATATCAGGCCTACTTGCAGTGAGATATAACAGGGAGCCAATCATTCCACGAAATTTCTTACAGTCTACTGATTTTCCAGATTCATCAGATGTCAGTTTAACAGAAGATCCCATGGGGGTCAAAGCTGCTTTTAGATTGTTGAGATCAAAACGTTTTAACATGTTCTGTAAGTATTTTGTCTGACTGATGAAGATTCCCTGACTGGTTTGTTTTACTTGTAATCCAAGGAAGTATGTTAATTCCCCCATAAGACTCATTTCAAAGGCATTCTTCATATCATTTTCGAACTCAGAGCATAATTTTTGACTCGTAGAGCCAAAGATTATGTCGTCGACATAAACTTGAACAAGCAAGGTGTCTTTATTTTCAGTTTTAATGAACAAGGTTTTGTCAACTTGTCCACGATGAAAACCCTTCTCAATCAAGAAGTTACTCAGCTTCTCATACCAGGCTCTAGGAGCCTGCTTGAGTCCATACAAGGCCTTATTCAGTTTAAACACGTATTCAGGGTGTTCTGAGTCCTCAAACCCAGGAGGTTGAGAGACATACACTTCTTCTTTTATTTCACCATTTAGAAATGCGCTTTTTACGTCCATTTGATACAGCTTGAAACCTCTAGAGGCAGCAAAGGCACATAAGAGACGTATGGCTTCTAATCTGGCTACAGGGGCAAATGTTTCTTCAAAATCGACCCCTTCCTCCTGACAATAGCCTTGAGCTACTAACCTAGCTTTGTTTCTAATTATGATTCCAAGTTCATCAGTTTTATTTCGAAAAATCCATTTGGTTCCAATGATTATTCTGTCCTTAGGTCTAGGGACTAAGTCCCAAACATGAGTTCTGGCAAATTGGTTCATTTCATCATGCATAGCTGCTGACCAGTACTCATCATTAATTGCATCATTTATGCATTTAGGTTCAAATTGAGCTACAAAGGCAGTGTGCTCAGCATAAGACTTAGAACGAGTAAGCATACCTCGACTGGGATCTCAAATGACTAGAGATGGGGGGTGTCGTCGAACTATGTGAGGTGGTGCCTGAGGATTACTGTCCTTTTCTTTCATTCTGCCACCTTCATCTGCAGGCACAGCTTCTGTTTCCTGAGCCTCAGGATTTTCATGACTTGTGTGAACCGTTCCCAACCCTAAATCATCATCCTCATCGATACTTTCTGCACACTTAGTCAATGTTTCATCAAATATCACATGAACGGACTCCTCAACCTTGAGGGTCCGTTTATTAAACACACGATAAGCCCTGCTGTTAACAGCATATCCAAGGAATATAGATTCATCTGATTTTGAGTCGAATTTCCCCAAGTTATCTTTGGTGTTTAAGGTGAAACACTTGCACCCAAAAGGGTGAAAGTAACCTAAATTTGGTTTCCTGTCTTTCCAGAGTTCATAAGGTGTCTTATTAAGCTTAGATCTGATAAGAGCTCTATTGGTGACATAACAGGCTGTATTAATCGCTTCTGCCCAGAATTGTTTTGCAATTCCATAATCATTCAGCATTGTTCGAGCTATATCAATTAGGGTTCTGTTCTTTCTTTCCACCACACCATTTTGTTGTGGGGTTCTGGGAGCAGAGAAGTTATGAGTTATCCCCCTTTTTGTTACAAAAGGCTTCAAATTTTTCAGACACAAATTCACCTCCATGATCACTTCTTATGCTTCCTATCTTTGATTGTTTTTCATTTTCTAAACGTTTGACCAGGTCTTTGAAGTTTTGATAAGCTTCATCCTTCGAAGCCAAAAACAGTACCCAAGTGAACCTTGAGTAGTCATCTACAATTACAAATGCATAGTGTTTACCACCAAGACTTTTGACATTACTAGGGCCAAACAAATCTAGATGAAGAAGTTCTAATGGTCTAGATGTAGATATGACAGGTTTGGTTTTAAAAGAGGACCTAGAGTGTTTTCCTTTTGCACATGCATCACAGAAGAATTCCTTCTTGCTTAGAAGTTTTGGAATCCCTCTAACTATTCCCAAATTTACCAATTTTGACAAGATTCCAATACTTACGTGTCCTAGTCTTCTGTGCCATTCAAATTGATCATTTTTATCAATTGAGACAAGACATGTTTCATTGAAGGCATCCTTGTCTCCAAGATCTATTGAGAACAGTTTTCCTTTTCTGTTACCAGTTAGTATGAGTTTTTTACTTATTATGTTTTCCACAAAGCATTTGTCTTGTTCAAAGACAACCCTGTTTTCATTTCCAGAGAGCTGTCCAATAGATAAGAGATTATGCTTTAAGTCTTTCACTAGTAGCACATTGCTTATGGATGGGACAGTGCCTACTGTGCCTTTTCCTAGTATTTCAGTGCTGAAATTGTCCCCAAAAAAGACTTTCCCTTTGTTTTTAAGAGTTAGTTTTGAGAAGAGATTTTTATTACCAGTCATGTGGTGTGAGCACCCACTATCAAGTATCCAATCGCTGCCTTCCATGCCCACTTGGAGACAGGTCTGCAAGATAAGTATGCTTACTTAGTTTTGGGTATCCAGACCAGCTTAGATACTTTACTGTAGTGAGTTAAGTTAGTGTAGTCTTTGTGTGGATGTTTTAAGCATTTGTTCTCATGTTGTTTTATCCTGTTTTCTTTACTAATGCGTTTTCTACAATCTGCAATGTAGTGACCAGTTTGATGACAGTAAAAGCATTCATGATTCTTATGAACATCTGAGTTTCTTTTCCATGCTGCCTTTGTTTTAGTTCTTCCTTTTATCTGGGATAATTCTGCTTTAGCAGTATCAATTTCTTCTTTTAACCTACTGTTTTCTTTCACTAGATTCTGTATCTTGTGTTCTGCCTCAGTTTTTTCATTTTTCATTTGCTCGAGTTCATTTTGTAGTTTTTCATGACTGGCTTTAATTAAAATGTACTTGTTTTTCACAGTTATAAACTCATTCTGAATATTTCTAATTGTTTCATTAAGCATTTCATCTTCATCACTACTAGAGTCTGAGAAATAGGCATTTACCTGGGAAGTTTCTTCTTCAAGCTGGTCAATTGCCATGTATGCACTGAACTTTGGAGTGGCTTCATCATCGTCTTCATCCTCCTCGCTGCAGCTCCAAGTTGCTGCAAAAGCTCTTTCCTTTTTGCCTAGTGGACATTCGGCTTTAATATGCCCTGTCTTTCCGCATCTGAAGCACCCAGATTGAGGTTGAAGCTTCTCATTGCTTGTTCCTTCCTTTCGATTTCTGTACCCCAGTCTTCCACCTTTGTTGCTTTCTCTGTCAGCTTCACCATCCCTTGATCTGTTTGGGAATCCACCTCGTTTCTTTTCTCTTTGAAGTTTAAGAAGCTTTGCCACATGCTTACTGAGCATAGCAAGCTCATCATCTTCCATTTCATCCAAACAGTCTAATTCGTCGTCTTGAGTGGTAGCTTTAAATGCTATCCCCTTCTTTTCTTTCTTGGTTTCCTCTAGTTCTTCTCTTCTTAACTTGTCTTCGTGAGTAATCAAGGAACCAATCAATTCATCCAGACTGAGTTTGGTGAGGTCTTTGGATTCCTCAATCGCAGTGACCTTTGGCGTCCATCTCTTTGGGAGAGCCCAGAGAACCTTGCGAACCATATCGGCACTGGCATATTCCACCTCCAAGTTTCTCAGGCTGTTTACAATCGTGGTGAATCGATCATTCATTTCCTTGATTGATTCTTCAGGCTTCATGATGAATGACTCGAACTCTTGCTTAAGGCTGTTTATTCTCGAAATCTTGACATGGGATGTGCCCTCATGTGCAATCTGCAATTTGTCCCAAATTTCCTTTGCGGACTTGCAGCCTGTCACCCTGTGATACTCCTCTGGTCCCAATGCGCAGTACATGAGGTTTGTAGCCTTCGAATTTAACTGAAAATTTCTCTTGTCTGTCTCCATCCAGTTGCCGCGAGCTTCCTTCACTTCCAGTGGGCCATCCAGAACAATGTTCCATAGGTCTGGATCAGTTGATCCTATGAACAGCTCCATTCGATTTCTCCAATAGCCATAGTGAACGCCTTCAAACCTCGGAGGACGGGTTTGAGAGAACCCATCTGCCATGAAAATTCCAGCGGTTGATCCCGAGCTCATCTTCTCCGAAGACGGTTGCGCCTTTGATGTCGGAGCCGGGCTCTGATACCACGTGTAAATGGGTCGAGCGCGAGACCTTCCGCCTCCTGATCCGCCTGAACTGAAGAAGTCAAGTTCCTACAAAACCCTAATCGGCACAGTTGCTGAACAAGTGAGGAATTTCAGTTCTAGGGTTTGAGTAATGAATTTGTGCAAGACAAGAAAATTGAAATAACTAGTAATTGAGCCAAAACAGACTAATAATTATCTGCAGGAATTTTGGGCTTGAAGCCCACTCGTTTATTCACAAGTAGACTGGGCTTGGCCTCCAAATAAATTTGCTCGGCCTGCTGTTTGCTCGGCCTGCTGTTTGCTCCTCTCCTTTGATCAAGCTTACCTCCCTGCTTCGAAGACTCCCCTGTTTCTGAACACAGTGACCAAACACACAAGCAGAGTATAAACCAAAGCTCGAAAAGGAGAACAAGAACACAGCACAACACTTTTTACGTGGTATCCGATATTGGGAGAAGAAGGATCCTAATATCGACTAATCCACGGTAGGAATCTCTCCTCTTGAGGATTCCTACGAATCTACTAGATCGTTTCCTTGATCGTGATTACAATTGCACAGTTTAGGATGATCAGCACCCTGCCAATCAGCCTAACACCAATACTGAGTTCTAATCTCCCTGATTATTCACTCAGATTCACAAGCTATTCTCTCCGATTAGCTGACCGAGTTTTCTTATCAAAAGTTCACCACTGTTCACTCAACACTCTGTTCTTTTGAGTTGCCGAAAAACTCTGCTTTCTCCATTGCTCAATCTCGTGGTTATATAGTCTACTTTCTTCAAAGTAGTCGTTGTCTGATTGAGGTTTGAATTGCTGTGATTTGGCTCCATGTTTCCTTCTTTGAGAATTTCCATCTTTGTCTTGATTTGATTTGTTGATTCTTTCCCTATTGACGAGCTTCCCTTAACATGGCGGTTCCTGGCGAATATACTCACACTTCGGGGACTCCTGTCTTATCGTCCGATACTAAACATCTGGCGGCTGCAGGCTGCCAAGGAGGCCGATATGCTGCAGGCTGCCAAGGAGGCGAGGAAGACATTCTGGACTTCCGAAGAGTACCAGGTCGCTGACAATAAGAAGTACAAAAAGCTGCTTTGCGACACCATGGCCGCCATCAGTCATTGGTTCCTCCGTGAATATCCCGAGGTAGTATGGGATACTAACTCGATCTGGGATGCGGTCGAGTTCTGGAGCGATGATGACATCAACTCTGAATATGTGCCGTCTCCCGAAGCGCCTACCGTTCCCTCGACAAGCATCGCGGCCGGAACCGCTGAAGACGAGGAGGGCGGGCAAGATGGAGAGCAGCAGGATGGTGAGGAGCAGCCGGATGGAGAGGACGGTCAGCGTGATGACGGTGGGGAGCAGCAGGATTAGATTTAAGTTGCACTTGTTTCCCTTTCATTTTGTTGTGTAAACTTAATCTGCCTCGGCAGTAGATATTTTGGTGTGCCCCTTGTGGGTGCTCCTGTGGAATGTTTTAATTTTTTCTTCGTATTATCTTGTGATCTATCTTGCGCAGGCGGTCATAACTTTAGGGCGGCTCATGGATTCTGCCCCTTAGAAGTGGTGTTCGGAGCGGTTTTGTATCACAGCTAGCGCTTAGGAGCGGTGCAATGACTTTCTTTGAAACAATACGCTCAGAGGCGGTTAAGTATTTCATCCAACGCTTAGGAGCGGTTTACGCGTTGTGTTTTGCTTAGAAGCATTACGCTCGGGGGCAATAGTGTACTACGTCCAACGCGTAGGAGCGGTTTGCGGGTTTTGTTTTGCTTTTAAGCGTTACACTCTAAGGCGGTTATATATTATGCCCAACGCTTAGGAGCGGTTTACGGATTTTGCTTTTTTGCTTTGAAGCATTATGCTCTGAGGTAGTTGTAAGTTATATCCGACGCTTAGGGAACGCTCGGTGGCGTTTTCTCATTCAACTTCCAAAAGTAGGGGCACCTCGCCTGTAAGAGGTGGCTTACATGAGATTTCCCTAAAAGACGCCTCCTCTCGAGCGCGTCCCAAACGACTCAGCGGTCAACGGTTGTCCTTCAATTACTCGTAGTATTTCTTCAGGTGAATGGCATTCCAAGTCTTCGCCATTGGTTTTCCCTCCATCGTGGCTAGTATGTATGTCGATGGACCCAACTTTTCGCCTACGAGGTATGGTCCCTCCCATGCGGCCGCCAGCTTGCCATGTCCCTCCTTTTGCTCGAAGTTCCTTTTCAGGACCATGTCACCTTCTTCCAATGGCCTGGGCTTTACTTTGGCGTTGTACGACTTGGCGGTCTTCATCTTCTCTTCTAGGGTCCTGACCAGCGCGGCGTCTCTTCTTGTTTCCACCATGTCAAGGTGATGAAGGAGTTTCCTGTGGTTGTTCTCTGGGTCATATGCTTGGACGCGCAACGACGGTAGGACAAGCTCGGTTGGTGCGACCGCTTCTGAGCCATATGTCAGAGCAAATGGCGTTTCTCCAGTAGCCTGCTTGTAGTTTGTGCGGTGCGCCCACAATACATGGGGAAGCTCCGCGGTCCACCCTCCCTTGGCTTCCTTGAGCCTCCTTTTCAGACCGCGCAAGATTAACTTATTGGATGACTCCACCTGTCCATTGGCTTGTGGGAATGCTACGGATGCCATCTTGCAGTGGATGCGGTTCCGAGCGCAGAAGTTCTCAAATGGTCTGCAATCAAACTGCATGCCATGATCAGTTATGATAGTGTGAGGTGTTCCAAACCTGATCATTATGTTGTTGAACAAGAATTTCTGGATTTTGGCACTTGTGATTGTGTCCAGCGGCTCTGCTTCGATCCACTTTGTGAAATAGTCGACCGCGACCACGAGATACTTCTTCCCCAAAGGAGCTGTGGGGAATGGTCCCAAGAGATCTAGACCCCATTGTGCGAATGGCCATGGTCCTGTGATGCTCTTCAGTTGTTCGCTTGGCAGATGCTGCTTGCTAGCGTGAATCTGACACTCATGACACTTTTGGACCGCCTCCATTGTATCCCTCTTTACAGTTGGCCAGTAGTATCCTTGAAGCAATATTGTTCTTTCAAGGCTCCGCGGTCCTGAGTGGGTTGCGCAGGTGCCTTGATGTATTTCTTTGACTACCCATTTCGCTTCTTCTGGGCATAGACACTTGAGATATGTCCCTGAGAAAGATCTTTTGCACAGTTGCCCCTCTACAATGGTGTAGTGAGCCGCTTTTCTTTTGAGTGCCTTAGCCAAGACCGCATCCTCCGGGACAACATCTTTCTGTAGGTAATCCACCAATGGGGACCGCCAATCCTGATCGCCTTCCCCGATGACCATTACTTCATATGCTTGGGCCGCTTCTTTCGTCACTGTTACTTGACGTTCCCCTTCAAAGTCCATTGCGGTCGCCAATTTTGACAAGGCGTCCGCATGATGATTATCTTCTCTTTTTACATGCTCAAGCTTCCATGAATCTAACTGAGCTAAAGTTCCTTTGACTTTCCCCGCCAACTTTGCGAGGGCTTCCTCTTTCACCTCGTAGCTTTCCAGCACTTGGTTCACTACCAGCAGCGAGTCAGAGTAAATGTGTAGGTGTGAAGCGCCCATGTTGATGACAATCTTGAGCCCGCTGAGGAGCGCTTCATACTCCGCCACATTGTTGGTTTTAACTCTAGGAATCTGTGAGAGATTTCGTGTATCACTCCCGCCGGCGTCTCGATGACGATTCCCGCTCCTCCTTTTCCTGCTGCCTCATCGACGTAAAGACGCCACACGTCTACTTCCTTCTTCTCCCCGGCACTTTCTAGGCTGAACCCCTCGGCGACGAAGTCCGCGAGCACCTGTCCTTTGATGGAAGGCCGCGGAGCAATATCATACTCGCTTAGTTCGACCGCCCATTTGGTCATCCTGCCGGACACATCCATTCCCTTCAAAATCTTCTTCAGTGGTAAATTTGACAAGACAATGACTTGGTGCCCTTGAAAGTAAGGACGTAACTTTCTTGTTGCCGTCACGACCGTTAAAACTGCTCTTTCAATAGGCATGTATCGTCTTTCCGCTGGGAGGAGCGCCTTGCTTACGTAGTAGACTGGACGATCCGAGCCATCGCAATCTCTTCGCACCAAGACCGAGCTGACCGCTTGATCGGAAACCGCCAGGTAAAGATACAGGGTTTCATCCGGTACTGGGGCGCTCAGGACAGGGGGCGAAGTCAGCTGCTCTACCAACTGAAAGAAGGCCTTATCACATTCCGCGCTCCACTGTGAGCGGGATGCCGATTTCTTCAACATATGGAAGAAAGGAGAGCATTTGTCTGCTGACCTTGGAATGAACCGACTTAGAGCGGCCATTTTTCCATTGAACGCTTGAATTTCTTTAACTATTTGCGGCGGTCTTAGGCTTGTTATGGCTTCTATCTGCTTTGGGTTAGCCTCTAAGCCTCTGCTTGTGATCAAGAGCCCTAGGAACTTCCCTGCCTTTGCCCCAAACACGCACTTTAGCGGGTTTAGTCGTAGGCGCTCTTTTCTCAGACTCTCAAAAGTCTCCTTCAAGTCCTTCAGTTGGTCCGCCTCCTTCCTACTCTTTACCAAGACATCATCGACATATGCCTCCACATTCCTTCCCAGCTGGCTTTTGAAGACCGCGTCGATCATTCTCTGGTACGTTGCCCCCCCCCCCCGGTTCTTCAGGCCAAACAGCATGACCGTGTAGCAGAAGTTTCCCATGTGGGTCATGAAAGTTGTCTTTTCCTGATCTTCTTCAGACAAGCGGATCTGGTGATATCCTGAGAACATGTCCAAGAAGCTAAGGCTTTCAAGATTGGCGGTCGCGTCGATTAGCTGATCTATTCTTGGCAACAGATAGGTGTCCTTCGGGCAGGCCGCATTCAGATTTGTGAAGTCTATGCACATTCGTCATAACCCGGACGCCTTGCGGACGAAAATAGGATTCGAAAACCAAGTAGGATACTTGACTTCTCTAATGAAACCAGCTTTTAACAACCGCCTCACCTCTTCCTCCAAGGCCATTTGCTTTTCCAGGGACGTTGTTCGCCTCCTCTGTTGGATGGGCTTCGACTTACTTTTCACCGAGAGGTGGTGCTCGGCGAGTTCTCTCGAAACGCCTGGGATGTCCTCCGAAGTCCATTCGAACAGGTCTTTGTACTCTTTAAGGAGCGCCAACAGCTCTCGAGCTTTCTCTTCTGTTAGATGGGAAGAAATTCTCACCTTCTTTTCAGGTTCCTCTTTATCAAGGACTACCTCCGCATCTCCTTCAACTGCCTCCGGGCGGGGGTGCCCCCCTCGTGTGTCCACCAAATCTACCTCCAGGCTTTCTATCGTTGCTTGGTAACACTCCTTCGCTTGCTCCGTGTTTCCCTTAACCCGTCCTACTCTTCCCCTTACGGGGAATTTGAGCATCTGGTGGCACGTTGACGGGACCGCGAAAAACAGCGATAGGAAACCGCGTCCCAGAATTGCGTTGTATGCCGACGGGCAATCTGCTATGTGAAATTTCATGGTGCGTGTCTTCATCACATCTCCCTCTCCAATTGTTACCTGTAAGGCGATCATGCTTAGCACTCTGATTTTTGATCCTGAGAACCCCACGAGGCTCGTCGTTGAGGGTTTCAGATCCTGCATGCTCATCTTCATGCTTTTTAGCGTGGAGTAAAACAGTATGTCTGCTGAGCTTCCATTATCCACCAACGCTCTTGTGACTTTGAACTTCCTGGTTCTTAGGGAGATGACGAGTGAACTAGGCATGAACTAGGCGGTCCCCTTCATTTCGGGCTCAGAGGGCGAGAAATTGATGTCCACTTGTTCCCCTCTATTGACATTCAGACATTGAACTAGGCGGTCCCCTTCATTTCGGGGTCGCTTCCGACCGCCTGCGATGGTTATGACTTCTACGTCATCCTCATTCAGCCGGGGCTGACGCTGAGGTGATCTTCGGGGTGGTGGTGGTAGGCGGTCGCGCCGTGGGGATCTTTCTCTCCTCGGCGATCTTGACCTCCTGCGCCTAGGCGTACGCGACCTTCTTTTCGGGCTCGGTGACCTCTCTCTGTGGTGCCTTTCTTCTTGACGGTGAGGACGTGTATCTAGGCGGCTTCTAAGGTCTCCAGGTGTCAAGTATTTCAGACTGGCCCTGAACTACCGAAACTCTGCGGTGTCGTGGGTGGGAGTCTGGTGCCAGTCGCACCATTTTCGATCCTCTTCTCTCCTATGCGTCTGGTGCGCATTGCTGTTGTCACCTCTCCTTTCTCTCCCTTCTTCTTTACTGGCGGTGTAAACTTCCCTTCGATTGTCACGGTGGGAAAACCGCGGCTTATAGTTGCGTTTTTCCGGGGACCGCCCTCTTCCCTTGGGCGATTCTCCTTTTTTCTTCTCCGGTCTTTCCTTTGCGCTGACATGCTTAGCGGCGTCCTCCACTATCATGGCCTCTTCCAACAGGATCGCCTTTCTCACTAGGCGGTCCAGATCAGGCCATTCCTTCAGTGCATGCTCCTTCTTGATGAGCGCTCTTCGCAGTTCACAGCTGTGTGTTGACATGCGTAGGTTCCCCGCTGCTACACTTGGTGATATCCCCTGTACTTCACACGCTATGGCGTTCCAACGGTCATAGAAGTCGGCCAGCGTCTCCTCTCCGCCTTGTTTGCAGTTGATTAGGGCAGAGACGGTTAGCTTCCTTCTTCGCTGGGATGCAAACTTGGAGGAAAAGAGGGTGGCGAACTGTTCGAAGTTTTCGATTATTCCCTCGGGAAGGGAGGTGTACCAAGTTCGACAGTGCCCACCAAACGTGACCGGGAACGCCTTGCACAGATCGACGTCTGTGGCGTTGATGAGCTCCATTTTCAGTATGAAGGCGCTCAGGTGGTTGGCGGGATCAGAGCTTCCGTTGTAAGTTGGCAGCCCGAGTGATGAGAAGTTCGATGGTACTTGAGTTCTAAACAGACTTTTGGCCAGAGGGTTTTGTAGGATGTTGTGGGTCTTTGCGCCCCCGTATGTGGGCTTAAGATGTTCCTACAGGAATCCCAGGCTGTCATCTTCCATTCCTTCTTCTTTGTCCGACTCCCCGCCTTCTGTCGGAGCAGGGCTGTCGGGGTCCTTGTCTCTTCCTTTTCCTTTGGTTGTTCGCTTCCCTGAGCTTTCTGGGGCCTCGCCTTCCTTTTCTTTGAGCATGGCCAGGATTTGGCTCAAACTCTCTTGCATGCTTGATATCTGCTGTCCTTGACTTTTACGCGGTCCTCCATCTCCATCTCTTCCTCCACCACGGGCATTTCTAACCCGCGGAGGCCGCCTGTCGCGATCTCTTGGCTGCGGAAGCCATCTCCCCTGACAACGTCTTTAACAGGAGTATTGGAGCTCCCGTCCATCCTTTCTTCAGTGCCTCTCTTGCCCCACGGTGGGCGCCAAATTGTTTAGGCCTAGATTGTTCCAGGCGGTCGTGTGCAGAGCAAGCAAGGCGTCTGTTCCAAATGAAGGGTGCACTCCAACTCCTGCAAAACAAGGGTCCGTGGGCGGTTCCCCGGACACCCTCCAATGCTTAAGTTAGAGAGAGAATAAGAAGTGCTGTTTGGGTTTAGATAGTGAGAGAGTAGTTGAGTTACCATTAATACCGATACCGGTGTATTTATAGTCAGCCAGTTTAGGTATGAGGCATTAAATGCCTTGTCAGGCGGCCTAGACATGTTCGACTTTATTTGGGTCGCCTGCGGCGGGCATTAAATGCTCAGTCCTGCTGTGTACGAGGTAAGTATCCTAGGAAGATCTACTTTTCCTGACACCAACGGTCTCCTGTGTCGGGCGGCCTACTTCCCGTCACGTCATAGGGCGGCCGCCTGTGGTGTCTCTTTTCCCTATGTCTCATCGGGTCTCGTTCATTGACTCGGACCCTTCCTTGGGCTTAGCTTCTCCGTCTCCTCGTGGGCCTGACGCGGGCCTCTTAGGCCCAATACCGCTTAACTATGGGCCCAACAGATGGATATGGGTAGAGTTTGATGGGTTTGTACCCATGCCCATTTACTTTGAGTTGAGTTGGGTTTATATCAAATGGATTTGGGTTTGTACCCATGCCCAAATAAAAATTACAGTTTGGTACCCAAACTTAATAGATATGCATATTTAGTACCTAAATTTATTTATTTTTGCATATAAGTCCTCAAAATATCTATGGAAATTTACGTTTTGGTACCTAAATTTTTTTGTCTTTCATTTTGGTACCTAAACTTTTCAAGTTTTACAAATAGGTCCAATTTTTGCATGTGTAGCTAAAACACCTCAAGTAAATGGGTATCCATATCCAACCCATACCCATTTAGATTATGAAAGCAATATTCATACCTTACCCAAACTCATCTATAAACCCCCAAATCCAAATGCACTTTACCCATACACAACCCATTATCAATGGGTCTACTTGAGTTTGGGTATAATTACCCATGGGTGGGTAATTTACCATCTCTCACAACCAATTAAAAAAGTCATGCAAACCAATTCAATGGGATCATGGAAACGTGACCACCTTTTTTCCCCTCTACTTTTTATTTAAATCAAGCGAGTTGAACTGTGATCTCCAAATGAACCGGTCCGGCCATGACTGCTGTCTCTCTCTCGAGGGTCACTCATCATTATACCATCCTCCCCTGCCGTCGTGAGTGACAATTACCCACAACACAACACGAGTTAATGATCGAACCCCATGAACAAAAGGAAACAGCCAGAAAAGCGTGTGTATATAAAGTTGCCCAATTTAGTAATTTACACGAACAGCCACTTCACTCTAGGGTCACTAGTATATTAGTCACTGGACTTTGATTTTTAATAAATTTGGAGTGTAAAAAGTAAAAAACAAAAATTGTGTGGTCATTCTGTGCACCGTCGTCATGTTTGTCGTTCGAATTTTACAGAGCAGTGCGTCAGCTCACGAACAAAATTAGTAATGAAGAGAAAAATCGCACATAACCCTCTGACTTGATATTGTCGTAGAAAAAAAAAGCAGAAGAGAACAGGGTCGGTTAATGAAACCTGGGTTCGAATCGGGTTAAATATTAAAGGATTCGGTGTTAGATCGTTGGTGTATTGGTTAACCTAAGTTTCCCATTCAACTAATTAAGATTTGTAATGAGAAATAAAAGGTTGCATAGACCCTTTAACGGGCTATTGGTGCAGGGAGATCCAGAGAAGTCACTTCGCGAAATACGGGTTGGAATCAGGATAAACATTAAAGGGTTTGGTGTTAGATCGGTTCGTGTTTTGGTTAACATAGGTCGTCCATTCAGCTAATTAAGATCCATATGTTAGGGTTTTAGACTATTAGTTTTGGATGAGTTAACATATTAGCTTGGCCGTGTCAGTTGTTTACCATCAAAATTTGCTAATTAATCGATTCATCATTGACCCGAAAGTTCAGTGACCACCATTGCTATAATCAACCCTTGCTAAAGTGCCTGACAGGGAAAAGCCTCTGCACTCTTTTGAGTTCATCCTCATCCCCATTGTTCTAACACATCCTGTATATTTACCACTCAAATGATTCTTTTCCTTGAAAAGGGTTTTGGGCCTTTTAGTCAAGACAACCGTAAAAAAGTGGGGAAGATAAGGTAAATTTCATGGGTAAGGAAGGAATGCACACTATTTTACCTTTTTGGAGGGCACAGCTCGACCCTTTTCATTACAAAAAAAAGGAGCCCTTATTTTATGGGGCGAAAGAAAGGGCTACTGGGTAGTCTTCTGTCCCAAGTCTAGATGCCTATCAAACACTGGATGCAAACTCAGACAACTCTCCCAGATCTAGCAAGAGATTGTAAAAAAGACGATACCTCTACGGCAGCAGATTCCATATGGCAATAAGAGAGGAAGAGCTTGGGGAATAGTTATGTTGCCACTATTTTATGATAGAAAAAGGATAGAAGTATAGAACAGTTGAAATGTGTGCATTGGATACCATTCCATATATGAATGAAGGGGAGTGACATTCAAGTTTGTTGGATAAATGATACCATCCCCAAACCTTCTCTTTATTGTTAGGTATGCACAAAATTGGCATACGCCAACCCTAATTTGTGCGACGACTCTTTTGTTCTGTAGTGAATTCATTGGTTAATGCGCATATATTCGATTGTCATATTAAAATTCTTGAGCGTGTCTTTATAGACTACTCAAACGCTCGTATTTTTTTTTATAGTTTTTTACACTCAGAAGCAGCATTTGAGTGGTCGTTTGTGACTGCGAGTGCTCAACAGTGGTTCGCACCCAAACTCGAAACAAAAGCAAAATTTGACGTCCAATTAACTATTCTAACATGTTGGATTCAGAATTGTTTTCGAATAATAAGACTACACAAAAAAGGATCGTATAATTTAGTATAAGCAAAAACTAATTTATTTCTCTTTATTTATGCTAGCGACCTAATTTAATTTTGGAAAAATAAAGTTTCAGGTTGCACAGAGTAGATTGGTTAAATTTATTATTGTCAACTAGATAAGGGCCCGACCCGATGGTCGGTTCATTTGATCAATGACATAAACCATAATTATAATTAATAAAGTAAAAAATCGCGCTTTAAAATTGAAAAGATTACATTTGCTCATTTTTAGTTCACCAAAACACTTTTACGTAGAATCACTCTTTGTTCTTACAATTGTAGTCATAATCGCTTTAAAGCTTAAAAGCTTACGTTTTTACGCTTCTAAATCACCAAAACGTTTCTACATAGAATCATGATTTTGACTGTACTGAACTATTGATTATAATTATAGGAAGCGTGACACATTTTTATCTGTATTATAAAAATAATTGAAATTATTTAATTACTGGAAGAATTTAAAAAATATGCATCATAATTTTCTGACATTTTAATCGGTTCATCGTCCAAAATACTTATCAAAATTAAAACGACATGCAAGGGAACCGACATCTAAAAGGCTTTACCAACACTTCGATTTACTCCTCGATATCAAAATTACTACACAAATTTTATACTATTTTTAGATTTCTTCACCATCGATAGCATCTTCATATCCACTAATAATAGTGTCTTTCATTCCCATAAATGAAAACCCCTATCTCTACATCAAGTATTGTCTTCCTTTGTCTCCGCTATGTCATTATCTTCATCTGATTTTGGTGAAGAAATAATTAGTTATTCTTTTTATATGATTAACGCTATTTATTAGCCAAATCTTTTTCACAATATTTTTAGTTGGATTTTATCTTTGACTCTTGTTGGAAGAGGTACTTCATATTCATCAATCTTATCACAAAAATAATGATTAGGAATCAAAAGTTGTTTGCTTAACTCCTTAATTATAAAACACAACAAAATACATAAATTCAAATTACATTAATTTTACCATAACCCGAAGTTAGTCCCTTCCAGAGTTGTAAATTTGCTATTAGTTAGTGACTGTAAATGAGAATAATGTCTTCTCGTATGCAAAATCGACAATCCATTAATCAAACCAAACGTGTGAACCACATTCATCTTAATATCTACCCCGTCTTGTAGACTAACCTTCACAAATTTGAAATTTATAGTATATTTAGTGCGTCCAAGGTACACATGTTAATGATAATATTTCCAAATAATGTTGCTTTTTCATTCATGACTAACTATTAATTATTTTTGTAAAACATTTCGAAAATTTTAATTCATAAATCCTATCCAACAAATCTATAAATACACGACCTTACGTATTTTATCTATTTAAAACTTCTGTATGTATATTATTATCAACCTGTTTCATTTTTACCGTTAATTTGATAACTCACATACTAACTTAGTTTAAAAAAAAATATTTATAACTATTGACGTTATTATTAGTTTAGAAACGTGTCAAATCTACTTTGCTTTAAACGAAAACTATGATGTGAATTTCCTGATTTCTTTTTAATGTATTTGAAGCCAATCTCATACCTTAATACCTATTCTATTATAATCAAACTTAAATAGATGAGAAAGCAAACTCAAGCAGCGACAGTGGATTAATAGGATAAAATAATGCTTCATCCAAAAAGACCAAACAATCCTCCCTTAAGTTGCGCAAATGGCTAGAAATTTTCAAGTGCGTATGTTCTAATAAGAACGTCTATATAGTAGTGTGAGGATAACTCGAGTTATTGTGAGAGGGTGAATAATGAATCACCATGTGCACAACAAATGGTGATCGTCGGGATTCAAATTAAAGACCTCTCAGTCAAAGTAATCTCTACTATCATGTCAAGTAAAAATTGATCCATATAATCCGTTATTATGAAATGTTCAATAATACATGTTATATCCATTACTAACATTCTAGCTTTTGTTTCCTAGTTGACACAAACTATGGCCCATTGTTTACATGCAAATTATTCGAGCGGCTTTTCGTGTTAGCATCACAGGACTTTGTCACTCTATAGTAAGTAAACCAACCACTTTTAAGATTATGCGATTCTCCCTTCATACAATTGGTAATTTGGTCACAAAATTTCCGTAGTCAACAATAAAGGTCAACTGAAAGCACAAGGCATTTGATTGGGAGTTGCATCACTAACGTAGAAAAAGCGCATCACACGACACCGTTTCAGTCAAGCACTCTTCTCTCTCTCTTCCTTCCCCACACTTTTTTTTTCCTATTACCATTCCTCCACCAGCAGCACCAAAAACAGAAACCACAGAGAGCAAGCAGGCAGTATAGCACAGTACTGTCTCTGCTCCAACACGCTCCTCCTTCCTTCTTCCCCCATTCTCCACCAAAAAAATGGCAACGGCTATTTCCCTACTCCTCCTCCTCCTCCTCGCAGTCGCCACCACCACCGCCGTCGTCCCCGCCGCCGAGATCCAAGCCTTGACTGCCTTCAAGCTCGCCCTCCACGACCCACTCGGCGCCCTCGACGGCTGGGACCCTTCCACCCCACTCGCCCCCTGCGACTGGCGCGGCGTCACTTGCTCTTCCTCCCGAGTCACCGACCTCCGCCTTCCCCGCCTCCAGCTCGCCGGCCGGCTCGCTCCCCAGCTCGCCGACCTCACCCAGCTCCGCCGCCTCAGCCTCCACTCCAACGGCTTCAACGGCTCCATCCCTTCCTCCCTCTCCCGCTGCTCGCTCCTTCGCGCCGTTTACCTCCAGTACAACTCTCTCTCCGGCGACCTCCCGGCCTCCCTCCTCACCAACCTCACCAATCTCCAAATCTTCACCGTCTCTCACAATCTCCTCTCCGGGAGAGTAGGAGGGGGGTTCCCGGTTTCGTTGCGGTTTCTTGATTTGTCCTCCAATGCGTTCTCAGGCGAGATTCCGTCGAATTTTTCGGCCGATTCGGAGCTGCAGCTGGTGAATCTGTCGTTTAATGAGTTCTCCGGTGAGGTGCCGGCGAGTTTCGGGAAGCTGCAGGGGCTGGAGTACTTGTGGCTCGATTCGAATCGATTGTACGGCACTCTCCCGTCGGCGCTTGCGAACTGCTCGTCGCTCAAGCAGCTGAGCGCGGAGGATAACAAGTTGAGGGGATTGATTCCGGCGACGATCGGCTCGATTCCGCGGCTGCAAGTGCTCTCCCTGTCGCGGAACGAGCTCTCCGGTTCGATTCCGTCGTCTATTTTCTGCAATGTTGGAGTAGGCGTCGGCGGCAATTTTTCGGCGGGAGGGCTTCGTTTTGTGGATTTAGGGTTTAATGCGCTCACGGGGATAGCTCAGCCGCCTGATGGCGGCGGAGGCGGAGGAGGAGAAGGATGTGGTGGTTCTGTTCTCCGAGTTATTGACGTTCACGAGAATCGCATTAACGGCGTGTTCCCTTCGTGGTTGACCAACATCACCGCTCTCCAGGTCGTTGACCTTTCTAGAAACTTCTTCGCCGGCGTTCTGCCGGCCGGGATCGGGAACCTTCTCCGGTTACGCGAGCTCAGGGTTGCTGGCAATTCATTCAACGGCAGTCTTCCAAGTGACATCGCCAAATGTACCTCTCTACAAGTCCTCGACGTTGGTGAGAATCGATTCTCCGGTGAGATCCCTTCCTTCCTCACGGGTTTACTTGGCTTAACAACACTGTCAATGGAAGGGAATCAGTTCTCTGGCTCCGTTCCGGCAGGGTTAAGCAACTTGGTTGAGCTCCAAACGCTCAACTTGAGTGACAATGCTCTGACTGGTAATTTCCCGGTGGAGATACTGAGTATGGGGAATTTGAGCGCATTGAATCTCGGCGGCAACACATTCGGCGGGGAGCTTCCTTCCAAAATAGGGGAGTTGAAGGGATTGCAGGTTTTGAACTTAAGTGCATGCGGATTTTCAGGCAGGATTCCGGCTGCCGTTGGTGGATTGTTAAGGCTAACAACTCTTGATTTAAGCAAGCAGAACTTCTCCGGCGAATTGCCGATCGAGCTGTTTGGATTGCCGAGCTTGGAAGTTGTTTCACTGGAGGGGAACAAACTGTCTGGAAATGTTCCAGAGGGTTTTAGCAGCTTAGTTGCTCTTCGACATCTCAATCTCACCTCCAATTCCTTCTCGGGCGAGATTCCGGAGACTTACGGATTTCTCAGAAGCTTATCTGTTCTCTCATTGTCGAACAACAGCATCTCAGGCGAGATCCCGGAGGAGCTTGGAAATTGTACAAGTCTCCAGGTGCTCGAGCTTCGTTCGAATCGCTTGACCAGTGAAATCCCAGGTGACATCTCTCGTTTGTCCCGGCTAAACGTTCTAGATTTGGGGCAGAATGGTTTGACAGGGGAGATCCCAGGGGCGATAGACAAATGCTCTTCTTTATCATCTCTGCTGCTGGACGGGAATCACATTTCAGGCCGAATTCCAGAGTCATTATCTAAGCTATCCAATTTGTCCACTCTAGACCTTTCGTCGAACAGCTTGAGTGGCCAAATCCCAGCCAACATTTCATCAATCCCTAACCTCAAACACCTGAACTTATCATCGAACAGCTTACAAGGCGAGATCCCCGAGCAATTAGCCTCACGATTCGATGACTCGTCGGTGTTCTCCATGAACGGGAAGTTATGCGGGAAGCCACTCGACAAACAATGCCCCAGCGAGAAGAACAAGAAGAGAAGGAAACTAATTCTGTTCATAGCAGTAGTCACAGGTGGAAGCATCCTCCTAGCAATGTGCTGCTGCGGATACACTTACAGCCTCCTCCGATGGCGAAAGAAGTTGAGGGAAATGGCCGCCGGAAAGAAACGTAGCCCGGCTCGTGGAAGCTCCGATAGAGGCAGAGGAAGCAATGGCTCCAACAATGGAGGTGCAGGGCCGAAGCTGGTAATGTTCAACAACAAGATCACATACGCCGAAACCCTCGAAGCCACGAGGAATTTCGACGAGGAGAATGTTCTAAGCAGGGGGAGATACGGCCTCGTGTTCAAAGCCTCGTATCAAGACGGAATGGTGCTCTCCATCCGCCGCCTCCCCGACGGAATCGCCGTCGAGGAGAACACTTTCCGTAAAGAAGCAGAGTCTCTGGGCAGAGTGAAGCACCGGAATTTGACCGTGCTTCGAGGATACTACGCCGGCCCACCGCCGGAGGTTAAACTCCTCGTCTACGACTACATGCCGAACGGAAACCTAGCCACTCTACTGCAAGAAGCTTCCCATCAGGACGGTCACGTCCTCAATTGGCCAATGCGGCATTTGATTGCTCTAGGGATCGCTAGAGGGCTGGCATTTCTACATTCATCAACGATTGTCCACGGCGATTTGAAGCCGTTGAACGTGCTATTCGACGCCGATTTCGAGGCGCACTTGTCCGAATTCGGGCTCGACAAGCTCGCCGTGGCGTTCCCGGCGGAGGCGTCATCGTCGGCGGCGGCTGCAGTCGGCACGGTCGGGTACGTGGCGCCGGAGGCAGTCCTGACGGCGGAGGCCACGAAGGAGTCCGACGTGTACAGCTTCGGGATCGTTCTGCTGGAGATTCTGACGGGGAAGAAGCCGGTGATGTTCAGTCAGGAGGAGGAGGATATAGTGAAGTGGGTGAAGAAGCAGCTGCAGACGGGTCGGGTTTCGGAGCTTTTGGAGCCCGGGTTGCTGGAGCTTGACCCGGAATCGTCGGAGTGGGAGGAGGTTCTTTTAGGGGTCAAAGTTGGGCTGCTCTGTACGGCGCCGGACCCGGTGGACCGGCCGTCGATGACTGACGTGGTGTTCATGCTGGAAGGGTGCAGGGTTGGTCCGGAGATGCCGTCCTCAGCCGATCCGACCTCTCCGGTTGTCTGATTAAATTAGTTGATTAGTGGTACTGATTGGTGATTATGGCCTCTGTTGATGACGGAATTCGGGCATTCTTTTAATCGAAATCTCTCCCGCCATTTCTTTGTGGTTTTTAATTGTGAGATTAGAGAAATTGTGAATGACTTAAGCGCTCTGTCATCATCATCATCTTCTTCTTCGTCTTGTTGTTAATGGGGTGTTCGAAATTTTAATTTAAGCATGATTAAATTGTGATTATGATATGTTTTGTTCGTTTTTTTGATTCGCTTTGTTCCTGAATTTGCTCTTGGGTTGACCGGCGAGATAAGGGCAGGTGTGGAGTCCACTTCCAGAATCTGGATAGAGTAGAGAGAGATTAATTAGGGGCAAAAGTCATGAGAAGAGGACAAGACTATGGACAAACTTTGAATAGCTGGTCCCTCCCCACGAGTAATCTTCTATGGTCAAATCGTTTTGAGATGAATCGTTTATTAAAGATTCACATTTTCGTGGATGTAAAATTGTTGAACTGATCATATAGAATAAGTTGTAAAACATAGTGACTGATTCTATAGTTTGTTAAAAACCAATGGTAAGTACAAATCAAGTTGCTGGGCACCCAAATACATACCGGTGATTTGATGAGATTATGCTTTATTAACCAACACTGGTACTTATCCATTTGACTCCTCGACAAATAATTTTCTCAACCTGTGTAGACTTAATAGACACCGCAATGAGATATAAATTTACAACTAGAATATTTAGCCTCTACAACAAATGAGGTAGCGAGCAAAGTCTCAAATTCTTGATACTCTTTTTTCTGATTTTATCCACATCTTAGATATAATTTTGAATATCCTATAACAACCAACCGACGCATGCTTTCTGCTATCGGGCATTTCTGTTTCTTATATATGAAAGTAGTAGTATTTTGATAAGTACATAAACCATAAGTGATCGACATAATTTGCATTGTGCCCTTTAATACATGAGCCGTTGTGCCCCCCTTGATTATTTTAGGAGCCGATCTGGAAAAATGAAATGAAGCAGCATTCTAAGCTTATATTGAGTTTTTTTTATGGGGATAAGCTTATATTAAGTTTGGGGGAATCAAATTGCTTTTACAAACAATCAATGCCATTGGAGGAGTTTTTGTTTTATCCTAATAACTGATAATTAATTACTAATTAACAAATGCCCGTGGAAGGCAAGGGAAGGAAGGATGACAATTGACACAGGACCCCACAACAAGTCCAAAACTCCCGCCAAAAGAAGCAATAAAAAACCCAATGAGCAGCAGACACGTGGGGGCCAGTGCCGGCATCCAAAAAGTAGCCGTTAATGCTGCGAAGGATTTGGAGTAGGGCCCCGCCGTGTTCTTTTGTTTCTATTTTATTTTATTTTATTTTATTAAATTTTCTCTGGGGAACAGAAAATGAGGAGACTACGACGGAAGGGGAAGACAGGCTAGTAATAATAATAAGAAATTCAAACCAATGGGCGGTCGCGTTTTGGTTCGGACGTGACCCGGTACATAATCTGACCCGACCCGACCCATTTGCCACCATGCAACCGAACAGCGACCCTTCTGTGGGTTTTTTTTCTAACTTCTGAAAAGCTGCGTCAGTGTATAAGTTCTGAAATGCATGTGATATTTCCCCTGGCGTTGACAGAGCTGCAGTGTCCTAATTAACATCTTTTTTTTTCCCCTTCTGTTTCTTTTTGTATTTCACTCTGGTATGGTTGCTGTCGAGGGACCGTGGTAAGGCAGTGGCGATCATAATGCTACTGTCATCAATCAGCAGTGTTGGTCTGTTGGAATCCTTCAATTCCAGATGGGTAAGGGTATTTGAAACGTAGTTGCAGAGTACTGCATTGAATATGGTCGAACCACTCCTCGTGGTACTTGGCTTGATTCAGTTCCCGTTCATTGATGTTATAGTCACACCAATGGTCTGGTGGCGATTGGCCCGTAATTCGGCGATCTTTTTGAATAGGGTTTTGCGGGTAAGTATCATGTTTCGTCGATCTCGAACGAACCATTGTTATGCACGTTGAACCGATGATATCTGGTGCATTGCTCGAGTGGATCACACTGTAGAGTATGGTAAGTAAAAAATGGCTAAACTCGGAATGAGATGAAACTGGGATAAGGTTTTGATTTATGAGTCAGACTGTCAGAGAGGTTAAGGCTAATAGACTTGTATTTATGGAGGAGGTTTTAAAAAATGAGTTAGAATCATCTGGTTGGCATTTGGGGTTCACCTTCTTTTTCACCCCATTCAGTCTCTCAAGAGCTCTGCAGGTTACAGAGCTTTGTGGGGGTCGAGCTTCTGAAATCAATGGAGGGACTGGGGCTGTCCTCTCCTTGGCAGCAGTAATAAAGCAAAAAGAGTAAAAAGACAGAAGAAACGGATGAAAAAGATATAGACGCAATAGTCTTTCTTTCACCACTTGCATGCATCACTGACAAAATCTTTTCACTGCCCAACTTCCCCAATTTTACCTTCACTCTTTTTCACCTGGGGGACCTCTGCAACATGGAAGTCACTTTTTTTGTCCGTTTCAATTTGTTGTAATTACTTTTATTGGATCTCAGAATCTGAAGCATAAATAACATCATACAGCATTGTACACTACACTGGATACAAAATGTTGCAACTTTAAACTTGAGGTGTATACACAACTTGAGAAATAAAAAATGGATGAAGATACAGAAGAAACTCCTACTATACCAAGGTAAGATCTTCAGGAAGGGATTCGCTATCCGGGTTGCTAGAGATGAACTTTCTGCAGGCGTAGAGCACAGCTGAATGGAACCCAACTGGGTTGTCTATGAACACAAAATGCCCTCCCTGCAAATTCACCAGTTATCAGATCACTGTCTGATAGAGAGAAGCGGAGAGAAGGCGAGAAAGGGAGAGAGAGCATGCACACCTGAGGAACCCTGATGATTTCACAAGGGACTTTCATCTGCTTGCGAGCTTCTTGAGCGCCTTTATAGTTCATCCAATCCTGAACTCCATATATGAATGTCGTGGGTACTTTCCACTCTGACGCCCTGAATCACAATTGAGATTAAGGGAATCTGAGTTCAGTGATAGACTTTCTTTGTGACACACATAGTCATAATGGAGTTCTTTCTAAAGAGACACTTCATATATGATGCATGTTGGAATCGAAATCTATGCTAGACCAAGGCATCTGAGAAGTGGGGAACTAAATCAAACAAGAAGGGTTGACGAACCTCTGTAATAGGGGCATCCGAGCAAATGCACCAAAGGAAAATATGTACTTGAGACACAGCTCTCCACTTGCCTTGGCCGCCAAAGTATGGTACACATAATCTGCAGTACAAACATCTTTCGAATTAGACTTGTAAGTTTGAAACAACTGGTTGCTAGTACAAAGGAAAACTTTTCAATTACCTGTTAGCAACTTGGATTCAGTCTCATTCAACATCTCTCCATTTGCATATGCACCGAATCTAGCAGAGGTGTACCTTCGAACAATATCTGGACCCCAAGGACCTAACCCTCTGGATTAGGAAATATAAAGAGAAGACATGCGTAAGTAACACGCCCGGTTTCTTCCATCGAGAGAAACCCAACCAGGACTATAAAATTGGACTTCTTTGCCAATGGAAACAAAGTCACGAAGGAAGAGAATGCATACCTAACTACCTTTTGAGGAGTAAAATTTGACTCCCATAGATGATTAATAATTGCACCTTTCCACGTCGCTCTGAATTTGGTAAGCCATTCGGACTTGGAATCAGCTTCTGATGAAAATCCAGCCGATCCCACCAAAATCAAGTGCTGAACATGCTCAGGATGCTACAGCATACGAACAAACAAATGTTGCTGAGTACAGTTCAAAGGGTTTATATTTTGCCACCGGACACCCAAAATATTCAGTAACTACCTTAAGAGCATACTTAGCAGCTACATAACCTCCGAAAGAATGCCCAAGCAAGATGAAGTTATCTAAGTTCTTAGCCTTTCGCCATTCCTCAAAAGAGTCAATAAACCATGCTTCTGTTTCTGCATGGTCAAATGCTTCTGCTTAGCTAATTTACCACTGCAAACCCAATTTTATTTATTTATTTCAGAACCGAAATCTAACCTTCAGTGCTTTTGCAAGTAAAGTCAGGTCGGCTTGATCCACCCCAGCTGTAAAGAAAATTCCACAAAGAATGAGCGACAAAACAACCAAAAACCCCTTCAACGAGAAAGAGCACATTCAAAAAAATGAAGCCTTTTCTAAGTTCTAACAGAAACTGAAAGTGAGGTCCATCCACAAGATGCTACTCACGATTCAATTCATATAAGCTACATTACATTCGCACAGCGAGGTAAACCCTTACCCGATCTGATCAATGGCGATGACCTTGAACTTTGCAGCGAGAGCATCAAAATTTCGGAAGAAGAACCCTTGGGAAGCGCCGTATCCATGGACCATTACAAGCGTGGGAGCACCTTCTTTGCTATCGAAGGTAACTGTGTTGATGAACCTCGGCTCATTACTTGTAGAACGAAACCACCTAACCTTGGACCCTGGCGGCCCTGTACCTATATTAACTTGCTCTTGAACATAAGGAGTCCTGCAAAATCCCCACCAGATTTCCACATTATCATTACAATTCAAACCCCAAATTCCATACTAAATACTCTAATGGCATCTCAAGAGCTAGCTGTATATGTTGTGCCTTGTAACTGAAATAGGGTTGGCAATTGAGAGATGACAAGAAGGGGCTGGTCCAGAGGAAATTGAGAGATGACAACATTCAATTCAATCCACCCAGAATTCGAATCAAAATGGAATCTTTTGGAAAAGAAGAAAAAAAAAAACCCTTACTTGACGATGGAGAGAAGGCGCTTCTCGGCGGCGATGATGTGGTCGGTAGAAGTTGGAATCCATCGGAGTACGGAAGGCCACAAGGATCTCGTCTTCGCCCAGGAAGATTCCGCCGGATTTGAACCCTGGCTAGCAGCGGCGGTGGCGGAAGCGGCAGCAGAAGCAGAGGATCCCGATTCTTCCGCCATTACTCTTGATACGGAGAAGATCGAGGAAATCCGCAGACGAAACGGGCTCATGCAGATACCCGGCCCAAAAATGGAAATAACTCGCGGAATGAATTATCTTACAAACCTATGTGGAATCGAAATCGACGGCTGAATTGGTAACTCTCGTTTGGTAATCGCGTCAAAGAAGGCGGCTAAGAGCCGAGAGTAACTGCAGGAAGTGAAGGAGGACGGGAAGGAAGGAAGAATACGGTTGTATTCGCGGGTAAACGCGTGGAGGGGAGTGATGGCATTAAACGACGTCGGCGAAAGAGTACGGATAGCGGAACAAGTCGGTTTGTGTTCCGCCTTTATGAGAAGCTACATCTTCTTACGTGTTCTGTTTCGTATCTTTTCCCAGTAAATTGGGTGGGAAACCGGGAATTAGTAAATTGCAAATGTGATCACTAATAGTGGTCATTAAAATTAATTTAATATTTCAAGCTTGGTCACTCGTTGTTATTTTTGGTTAAATTTGGTTGACATCGTCAGTTTTTTCATGATGTGTCTAGCAAATCTATCCAATCATCCAAATTTAACTCGAAAAAATTAAAACCCTACCCATGACCGATCTGACTGATATTCAGGAGGAAGGTGTTGCTCTGAAATCTTGGAGGTGTGGAGAGGTAGGGATGTAAGAGGGAATAAGGGTAAGCTAGAACTTGGGAGAGGGGACGAAGAAAGGATCATAGTTGATTGGGACATTTTTTAGGTCGGTTCGAGTCATGTGTTGGGTTAGAGTTTCTAATGTGATGGGTTATATGACATATCGTGTCAAATTTTATTATTTTCGCATTAAATTTGGGTGACTTAACATATCTATTAGGTACGTCATCAAAAAACTTACGTCATTAACGAAATCCGACGGGAATCGAAAGGCAACGACCAATGACCAAACTTGCAATTAATCTAGGTGGGAATAAACCCACATGTGTGACGTAATCGGGATCTAGTTAAAGGTCAATAACCCTTAGTTTTTTTTTTTTTTATTAAAGGGAGGCAAAGCTACCAGAGTTACAGATTCCTAACGGCTAGAAAAAGGAACTAGTACAAAGAGAGCATCAATAGAATTCGGACCAGGACAGGGGAACAACAGAGTAGAACCACCCCATTAAGGGTCTTCCTCACGAATAACCTGCCTGGGGAAATTGACCCCAAGAAGATCCTCTCTGCAAATTCGATCCACCTCTAAAGGGGGATCAACTAACTCATGCGTATCGAAAGGATAGACGAGACTGTGCTTCGAGAGCCAGTCCGCGACTCGATTTCCTTCGCGATACGTATGAACTAGTCGAACAACCCATTGTTTAGCCAAAAGACGTCTTATAGTTCCAAGAATCATTGTGTAGGGGTGAACCCTATCATTCCTCTTCTCAATGAGTTGTAGTGCAAGCTTAGAGTCCGTTTCGAGAATAAGGAATCGAGAGCCCTTTCTCCAGGCAAGTTCCAGCCTGTGTAAAATACCCCAAAGCTCTGCAAGGAGGGTTGTACCAGAGCCAAGTTTGTTGCAAAAACCGCTTATCCCATCATCGTCGTGGTCTCAAAGCACTCCTCCTGCAGTGACTAGACCTGGGTTACTTTGAGCTGCGCCATCAGTGTTTAATTTATGCCATCCTGTCAGCGGTTTATGCCACCCGATCAGCTCCTCCACCCTCCTCTGCTTCTTGTTCAAATTAGTGGGCATGTTGAGCTGCTTCCCAAGTTCTCACCCACTCTGTCGCATTAGCCCGAACATAATGATGGAGCGTGGAAGTACTAAGCTTAATCCCCTTGAAAATACCTTCATTCCAGCACTTCCAAGGGTACCAGAGAATTAAGCTGAAGAAGCTGTTCCACTGTCCTGGCCAATTTCCAGTTGAATCATCCATGATGTTTGCTTTGAGCCACTCGTCACAGCTGGTGTTGAAGAAGTTTTATTTTCGTTGTTGCTCCAGAATTCTATTCCCGACTGATTTAGCCTTTCTGCAATCTCTCAGACAGTGAAGGTTCGTTTCGCCAACGTTGATGCATTCAGGGCAAGAATCATCCTGCGTTAAGTGTCGAAATTTCCTGATGTTGTTCGTGGTTAGCTTTTGCCGGGCTGCCATCCAAATGAAAACCCTAACTCTCTCAAAGACTTGCAGCTTCAATATTCGTTTCCAGATTGGACTAGACTGTTGCTCTGGAAGTTGTTGACCGTTGGCGATAAGGCTCCAGAAAGATTGGTCACCTTCATTTATCATTAGTTAATGCATTTATCATTACTAGATCTGGTCCACTGATTTTGACTGGCATCAAATCTTGGAGTTAAGATAAAAAGACCGGCATTTAAATAGCTTGTATCTTCTTCACTTTAACCCGAATTTTGAAAATTTGAAGAAAATTATTTTATATCATCCATTACTAGGGATGGGATTCGGTCGGTAAACAATTTACCGTTTACCGAATTTACCGGTTTCGGTATACCGAAGTTGGCCAAACTGGTTACCGATTACCGATACCGGTTTGTACCGGTTTACCGATTACCGAATTACCGGTAAACGGTTACAAACCGGTATTACCGAAATACCATGAGAAGCGATTTCAGGCGGTTTTTCGGTCGGTTTACCGAATATTTACCGAACCGAATTTCTGGAAGTGAGGTGATGTTGTAATATTTTAATTTTTTTTTAGTTTTTTTCATCATTTTTGTAATTAATAATTTATTATTAACTCTTATTTACAATATTTTTGAGGCCAACACTTACATTCATGTATGTAATATTTTATATCTTTGGGGGTAAAGCAACAAAACGCAGCGCAGCAATAGGGAGTAGGGAGGGGGGATTCGGTATCGGTAATACCGATTTACCGTCGGTATTTACCGATACGTGTCCGGTAAACCGACTCCCCCAACTTCCCGCTCGGCTGCCGATACCGCCAGTAAATGGTTTACCGTTTACCGCCGGTTACCGGTTCGGTAAAACGGTAAACCGTTTACCGAATTACCGTTTACCACCCCTATCCATTACAACTCGTTTACCTTTTTGGTTTGGTTCGCTCCGGGTTATGGCTCACATTACCAACGACTAACACTACGCCAGTATCGATGGGTCATTGAGCTCTCATTCCATATGTAAATTCGGATGCCACAACACAAATGTAACCGTGGGTTGTACAGTGCGACCAGTGAGCTGGTTCTGCCCCTCCCTCTGCTCCTACGACATACTCTCACAAGTCACAGCCATCTTAATGCATCCACACCATTAGTAATACTCAGAAGTCGAGCATCTTCGATAGCTATATTATTGTGGCAGCATAAACGCTACGGGGAGTTTCATGAACAAATTCAAGCTCTAATCCAGAGAAATACAGCAGCATCAAGAGCAGAAGCAGAAGAGAAACTTATTACGACAGAGGCAAACCGTATCTAGTAGTACAATTACCAAGATAAGGAGAAGTAATACTCAGAACTGTTTGGGCAGTACACCGACTGAAAGCTAAACAAAAATCTCAGGGAGTCTAAAATATCAAATGACTCAGTAATAATAATAAGGCAAGAAAAAGATACAATCACCCATGGGAGAAAGGAGTGGTGCCGGGCTCTCTGTTTCTTCACTCGGCTCTGGATTGTCCAGCTCGGGATGAGAGGATGATGCCGACGATAAGCCCGTACAGAGCCAGCGCTTCGGCGAAAATGAGGATGAGGATCATCCCGACGAACAGCTTTGGCTGTTGTGCATTAGCCCTGTGGTAGATAAGAGTATTCACATGTTAGAAGAAGCTTCCCATGCCAAAATTAGGGGGAATTTTACCCAGGAAATCAATGAAAACCCGAAATGAAACAATGATTGAGTGCGAATTCCTTGCACCCGTAACAGTAGGATATCAGAATGATGCTCATTTAAGATACAAAGCTATCTTCTTTTACCAGTGACCATGGAATCGGAAACCGTTTTCAATTCCCTCACACAAATAGCATTAGCAGCAACACTTAGTAAACCTTGACAGCAGCCCTTAAAAAAATGCAATCAGTACAAACAAATAAAGGTCGCAGATGCAATACAAGTTCAGACTTGAGATACTCTAATGAAAGCCTACATCTTATTAAGCAACGGTAGAATGGAGGACAAACACAGCTTCTCAAGTTCGAAATTTCTTATATACCAGAGCTTTTGTTTAGAAAAAAAACAAAGCTAGAGAAAAGCATCGAACACTGCAGTTTGGCAGAGATCAACACAAACTCCCATCACAGAAATTCCAAGTGCCCTGTGCAAAGTTCCAAACTATTTGGAACAGGAGATCATATGTTTACGCTGTGAGAAGATAAGCCAACTAGCTCCCAGATAATAACTAGGCAGATCTCCATTAAAACCATGTGGTAGAATGCACAAGGATTCAATTATGAATATCAATAAAAACTTCAGTTTCAAATTCGCACTTTCTATTTAACCACACGGACTCTTCTTCAATAAAGAGATCAAAGATTTACCTCACTCCAGCATCGCCGACGATGCCGATAGCCATACCGGCGGAAAGACCAGCAAGACCACAAGCGAGGCCGGAAGAGAGATGAGCGTATCCATCGAACAAGTAGTAAGATTTGGCCTTAGGGTTAATCCCGGTACTGATGATCACAGCAATAATCAAGCCGTAGATACCCAACACACCAGCCATAACCACTGGAACAATGGATTTCATCACCAGCTCGGGCCTCATCACTCCCATCGACGCCACTCCGACTCCACTCTTGGCCGTTCCATAGGCAGCTCCCATGCCTGCAAACCAAAAACAGAGAGGGGAAAATTCACAATCCACAGATCGCTAAAAGATTTAGATCCCTCCTCCTAGATCTACCAGCGCAATACGGGATCGAGAACTACAAGATTTCGCGGTATAAATTGATTGAAATCGGAATCGAAAAAGCTATGAAGTGATAGATTGAGTACTTACAGGAGAAGACGAGCGCGGAAGCAGCACCGAGGAAGCCGAAGAAAGGAGCAGTCTCATCGCCGCTGAATGTCGACGCCATTTTTTACGGTTTGCTTCGGATCTGAGAGTGATGATTGAACTCTGTTGAGCGGAGAGAGAGAATTGTAGTTCTGCCGGATGATGAAGCTACGTCACAAACAGCGACCCTCGTGAATTCTAGGCTGGGAAGAAGAGAGAGAGAGAGAGAGAGAGTCCAAAGAACAGAGAAACGTGGAGAGATTTATTTCTTCACGGACACTAAATTATAGGTGGAGTAGCCATTGTGGGCTTCAGGAAGCCCGATCTCACGGGAGTGGAATTGGGCTTCCTTCATTGGGCCTTGTGGGCATATTAGTGACTCGATTGACTTTTTGAAGAGATTGGTGAGTATGATTCAGTTCGGTTTGAAATCCGATCAAACTTTAAATTAGACTGGTTTCCAAATTACACTGAACAAAATATATGTTCAATGAATCCTACTTAATTGTGAAAGGTAATATAGTCTAGCGGTGAAACCGTTGGTCTGGTTGGCTCAGGATGTGAGAGGTTCTGAGTTTAATCTCCATCGACGCCGTTTGTGTGTTCCCGGACGCATGCCTGAGTGCCGGGGACGAAGTCTCCCGATGTTGTGTCTTGTACAGGTACTCCCCAGGTTTAGTAGATCACGCTGCACAAAGTGAAAATCGAACCGCATTGATTATGAGGCATGGTGCTTCTTTACTTTTTTAATCGAGGTATGATAATATAATACGAAAAAAGTGACTACTTTAGAACCTCCTCTCACAATAAAAGGAAAAAAAATGGTAGGCAACTCTAAACTAGACAAAGAAATATGTTTTCTCACCAATCAACACAATTGGCAGTCCTAGGATTAGCACAAAACTCTGAAACTTATGTCTAAAATAGCTACCATTTGCAAGCACTCTGAGCACTCGTCCTCTAATTACATTAGAATCTACCCCTTCGAGAAGTTGGTGAATGACGACCTCAGAATCTCCTGTAAATGTGACTCCTAGAGGTTGATGTTATGAATCAAGAGCATACCGTCTCTAGCAGCTAGCAGTTCGGCCATGTATGGGTTCACAATCTCAGGATGCTGAAATCGATAGTGAGGCGTTGACGGTCAAATGTGGATTTCACCACCAAGCTCATAGTACAGTCTCGATAAGGATGAACAACAATGTCGAAGTTGAGTATGAGGCGGTTAAGTGGAGGAGAAGATATAATTCAAGACTTTGTAGGGAGGAGGAGGAGGAAGGGTCGATGAGAATTCTTGAATTTGGTGAGCGAATTGAGCAGGGAGTACGGATGGTGGTACTTGAGTATCCTCAAAAACGAATGTGTTGCGGATTTCCAGATTCTTCACGGTAAGCAAACGACTTAAACAATATGGGGAGGGTTGAGCATAGAATACATTAGTCCACGACGTGATTTAGGATGTATCCAACTCTAATAGTTGCTATAGTCGAGTAGCTAATGGCCATATAAAAAATATATGTTCCGATGGCTCAGCCTTAGGGGTGGGCATTAGATCGGTTCGGTTCAAACCGAACCGAAATAATGCATACCGGATCCCCGAATTCCATCAAACCGAATTCGAACCAAATTATAATTCAATTCGGTCGGTCCAAACCGAATTATAAATCGGTTCGGTTCGATTTTTCATACAAAACCGAACTTGTGAGGTTAGGTTGTATCTTCTCTCTTTTAAATTATTTTTCACCCCTAATGTACACAATAAATAGGCATCATGAATGATAAAATCAAACATTTCAACACATAAGTCATAAAACATTACATGATTCAAATATTTAAGCCTCATAATAAGTAGAAACTTAAAAATCCACCATTTGGAGCTTACAATTATAACAATTCGGTTTTTTCGGTTCGGAATTCGGAAATTCGGTTTGGTCGAAAGGACCCTGGTTTCCAAAATATGCCCTTTTCTCTCCCGAATTCCGAACCAAATAACAATAATTCGGTTTCAGTTCGGTTTTACCGAACCGTATGCCCACCCCTACTCAGCCCGAAGGCAACAAACCATGTAGAAGTTAACAAATGTGATGTCTCGTGTCTTAAGGATAGCCATGACAGATAACATAACTCTTATCGCTTTCCACATAAAGACATGAAGCTTAGGGGAAATTTCGAATTACCAAGTATTTTCCCGTCCACTCTACGCAGTGAAAGCCATGCATAAATAAATGTTGCACTAGTCACTCCAAGATACACATTTATAAATCTAAATAATCCGAATAACAAGAGACATAATCAAGTCGTGGAGGCCAAAAACCAGTTCAAGAGAGCAACACGTAGACAATAAACTTGTAATGGCAACAAGCAACATACATCTAAGTAGTGCACTTTTACCATGATAGAAATAAACTAGTCTATCTGGTAGTAGTACACCCAACCACAGAGCTAAACCCAAAACAGAGTCTAACGAAATACCAAATCAAATTTCCACCAATAAATAACAACATACAATCAACCAAACAATTGGAAACTCCTTAGTTTTCCTTCCTTCTTTACTCAGCTCTCGACTGTCCAGCTCGGGAAGATAGGATAATACCAACGATAAGGCCGTAGAGAGCAAGCGCCTCAGCGAAGATAAGGATTAGAATCATTCCCACAAAAAGCTTTGGCTGTTGTGCATTGGCCCTGCAAAGATGAACAAAATATTCAATGGTAGGAAATTCTATGAAAATGAGTAGCAGCACAGGACTGACTATATCAAGTAGGTAACGGCATAGAACTTGCTGCTTTCAACAGTAAGCATGACTGGAAAATGGAAATACATGCAAACATGAGACAGACAACATGAACCAAGGCAAAAGAATGCCAAACACCAATTGGGTTTCAATAAATTATGAAGAGGTAGGAGAATGAAAGTGGGACAAGAACATGAGCAGCACTGACTCGGTTTCAATATCAGCATACCAAAGCAAACCCATCATCAAAGAGCACAAACATTAAAATGTCCCTTCTAGCCTCCTCTTCTAGATCCCGACAGCGACTACTGCTTATCAAGTAACTGCAATAACTCAATCTAGAGAGCTTCCAAGGGGAAAACCGAGTCAGTGTGTACACTATGCAAAGGCTCGAACACCATTTGGTAACTTATAACCAAAAGTTTTGAGCTATACAACAACTAAGGAGATCTCTATAACAGTTGGAAACTATAGCCATGAACATCTCTAGATGCAAAGAACTTACTACAATACTCAATCTACAGAGCCGGGACACAGGAAGTCTCAAGCTTTGTACTCTGCGGGAACCAATACACGTTCACCCCACATAGTATGCAAAACCTTGAACATTATTTGCCAACCTACTTCTACATGGAAGCAGACAAATATTTGAACTTTATACGTCATCGCAAATAGTGTCATCTCGAGATGAAAACAACACAAATATTCCTTCCCTTAATCCATTGTCAATCATAAATGTGCACCAGCAATCTTTCACTCATCTAATCTCAGATTCACTGTCCCCAATCTGAATTTCCAGATACACACCAGATTGCAGGAATCACAACAACTAGGGGCAGAACAACAAAAGGTCTGTAGAGATTGGAAGTATTACCTAACACCAGCATCACCGACGATCCCGATAGCCATACCAGCAGAGAGACCCGCGAGACCACAGGCGAGTCCGGAGGAAAGATGAGCGTATCCATCGAACAAGTAGTACGATTTGGCCTTAGGGTTAATCCCAGTACTGATGATCACGGCAATAATCAAACCGTAAATACCCAACACACCAGCCATAACCACCGGGACAATGGATTTCATCACCAACTCGGGCCTCATCACGCCCATCGACGCCACTCCGACCCCGCTCTTCGCCGTTCCATAGGCAGCTCCCATGCCTGCAACAACAACAAAAATTACACAACCGGAACAGCAGATCCAAGGTTAAAACCTACTAGATCTACATCAATTGAATCGAAAATCTCGAATCGAAAGCCTTTTTTAGACTGGTCGAGGCTTCTTACAGGAGAATACGAGGGCGGAAGCTGCTCCGAGGAAGCCGAAGAAAGGAGCAGTCTCGTCGCCACTGAACGTTGACGCCATTTCTGATATATCTCTCTTGGCCGGATATGAGGGAGTAAGTCGCCGACGGAGGAGATAGTAATCGCGTCGATTGTGATTGATGAAATGCTTCTTCTTCTTCTTTCTCTCGATCGATCCTCACTCGCGAATTTAAGGCAGAGGAGAAGAAAAGAACGAGGGAGGGAGGAGACGTATCCAAAAGCTGAACACACGTTTTATTAGACAGATTCATGCTTTCCATGATTATCGGCGTAGAGCTTATTGGGCCCGTGGGGAAAAACTAACCGCAGAGTTTTAATTTTACTAAGTTGGACCTGACCATCTTGCTGGGCTTTTAGTAAACAAGGCCCGAAGCGGATTTAAGGCTCCTAATCTTGTTTGGTTTCCAGTTCCTTAAAATCAAACCAAACCAAACCAATATGTTAACAGCTCTTAACGGGTATCAATTAACCGAAATTATCAAGCTCCTTAATGATTCGATTCAGTTTCAAGGACAGACTTGTGTTTTTTCTTTCTGATTTGGTTTAACCACAACCAAATCAATCTCACGCCCCTACTTAAAAAGATGTGTAGAACACTTTGAGGTAATCCAGCTTGTTAGACCGTGGGTTTGATGGCTACCAATATTCGAACAAAACAAGTTTCTCTATTATGAGAATTTAGAGCAACAAGGTTGTAGTCGAGGTGTTTAAGAAGTCGGAATCATCTAAGTACTCTTTGTTAGGGGTTTTAATTATATGTAGTCTACATACTTGTTGATGAGGTTCAACCCATGAAATTGAGTAGAGTTAATTGAACTTTTGGACCTTTTTTTCTCCAAAAACTCTCATCTAATATTTAGACCTCAAATTACCGAGATATTTTCTCATTGTCTAATTCTTTCAACCAACACATAATCTCAATTTTACTTCATTAGCATACCAAGAGGACCTTTGTTAATTTAAACTATAAGATCGCTTAAATCGAATATATAACATTCATACTGAACTAAGTATCATAAGATAATTATTTGAGAAAAAAAAACTAAATACACCCGATTAGGGATGACAACGGATTCGGATGGGGCCTGTTTTCTTATATACCATCCTCGAATCACGGTTTAAAATCGTAACAATCCCCGTAACTAAAATTGTGCTGGTATGTGAGATATCATACCAAAACCAACCAGTATTTGGGTCGGGAAAATCCCACCAACACTATCCCCCAACAATCATGTGTAAAACTTTTAAATAATCAAAAACATTCTTCGAATGTCAATGTTAAATGAAGTTTTCTGTCATTTATCTGTAAAAAGGAAAGAAAATGAACAAGATTTCAGGCCTACAAGATCACTATAATGTTTTAAGGATTAGATGAACAAAATGTTAAAGTGATCGAGTCTAGAACATAATTATAACACATATTCGTGTGGGTTCAGTGCGCATCAAATTCATTACTTTCTTTGCGGGTTTCGAAAAAAACTCACCCAAAATAGTATTGGTTGGATTTTCCACACAATATCAATTCGAATTTAATTCCCACAACAATGGGCTATTTTGCGATCCTAGTTCCTACACTCAATGTAACACCTCAGGCGAATCTCACATCGACAAAAGTACGGGAGAGATTAACAAGCTATGACATAACTCTTAACAATGGCCAAGTGTAACCAATGAAAGAGACTGCAGTATAGTGGTGCAAGTAATAAATATCGAATCATCGGGTCTCTAGATGTACTATTACTCAGCGTCAGTTCATTATCTAGCAAATCATATTAAGGATTGATTAACTAAACTACTCTACTAACTAAACTAAGTAAAACTACTAATTACAGGTTGGGAACTCACTTAGGTATGATTCCCCCTAGTCTGCAGTTAGGCCAAGTTGTAATTCACCCAATCCAATTCAGCTGACAGATATACCGCGGAAAGTTCTTAACTGGTCTGTACCTCGACTAAAATTATCCAGACCCTCTCGGTTCGAATACCCGGCGGGTGACTAACCTCCATCGACGTAAGCTAACCAAGGTAAAAACACACAAAACTTCCTCTAATGGATTTGATTCTAGTACAGAGCAGTGAATCAATTTCTCGACTAAAGCAATCGATCCACTACTTCCAATTGAGGTTGCTCTATTAACCTATGCAAAGACTATTGTTCTAGGTTAAAGCAGGAATCACAAAAGTTTGATCAGGACTCAAGTAATTCTGAATTAATGACTCAACTGAATATAAAACGTCAATCAATCATGAATTTAAGCTCATACAACTCTTCATAGCAATCAAATCTATGGTTCCTCAAAACCTAAGTAAAGGGAAGTTACTTCATAGAGAAGAGAGAGAATGCAGAAATCTGATCTAGATCTTCAATCTTCATCTCCAAGCTTGATTCCCGAGCTCCAATGGTGAAGAAATCCTCCAAAATAGCTCCAAGAATGATCCCAATGTGCTCTCTCTCTAGGGTTTATCCCTTGGGTGTTTGGGATCCAAAACCCAGCTCTCCCCCTTCAGAATCCGCAAAAACGCATTTATACAGCTCAAAGAAGCCAAGTTATTCCCCAAGTTACGGTCATAACCTTTGGGGTTCAGGCCATAACTTCTGGAATGTATAATGCCTCCCGTGGCCTCGAGTTACGGCCAAAATGGCAAAGTTACAGTCTGAACCGTAACTTAGAAGGCCATCCCATAACTCTGGAGAGGCTGCTGTCTTTCAGACATTTCTCCCTCAGTCGAACTCTAAATTCGTCGCCGTTTGATCCCAGACGCTCGTAGTCTCGTCCTTTTTCTTACCATGCCTAGATTACATGATTCTTTGTCCATTAAACAAGGTAGAAATCCATTCTTCCTTAGGTCATACCCGAGTTTCTTCCCCCGAGTCGCCAATTGATCTCCGATTGACTTGAAACTTGCGCCTATACTTCACTTTACATGCTAGGACCTAAAATGTAACAAAGGAACACAACCTAGTGTAGAATAGGCCAAAGTATGATAAACACCAAGCTAAACAATCAAGAAATGAGGGGTAAAAACATGTGCAATTTCAGTGTTATCAGGGATCCATGGCTCATATGTAAGAAACCTACCTTAACAAACAAGACACATTTTCCGGTGAAATGGAGGAGTTCTTATGAGAACTTTGAAGTTAAACGTGCTTAGTGTGGAGCACTGCAAGAATGAGTGACCTTATGGGAAGTCACATTGAATCGCACCTCAAGACAAAACCGTGAGGGTCGAGAGTCGAGACCCAAAGCAGACAATATCTTGGTGGGGAAAAGGTTCAGGATGTTTCAAGTGGTATCAGAGCCTCTCTGCGTCCCTCTTGAACGATGATGGGGCAAACCTCAATGAGGATGTTAAGTCCTAAAGGAGTGGGAGAGGGGGGGGGGGTGTATGTAACATTTTAGGCGAATCTCACATTATCTTTTCGGGGGTTTTGTGGACTAGACCATCTTGCTCGGCTTCGAGTAAACAAGGCCCCAAGTAGATTTAAGGCTCCTAATCTTGTATGGGAGACTTCAACCTAGGATTGCCATTTCGGTTTTGATTTTATAACATGTTTTTATTATGTTTTAGTTTTGGTTTCAAATCATTGTGTACTTATCGGTTTTGATTTGGTTAAAACCAATAAGAAACCAAAATCACAATTCACAATGCTAATCCAAAAATAGGGGTGTTCAAACGAATATTAACCGGTAGCATTCGGTTATTTTGGTTTGGTTAATTTGGATAATTGGTTTGGTTTGGTTATACAATTTAGCTTATTTGGTTTAGGTGGTTTGGTTTAAACACTGCTAACCAATGAAACCAATTAACAAATTAATGATACACGTAATATACAAAATTATTTATTCTTCCATGCAACCAACCAAACCAAACTTTCGTGATTTCCTATTTTATTTCCATGTGCACAACAAACCAAAACATTATGAGTCAAAAATTAATGGGCCTGCCTATTTACTAAACCAAAACATTTTTTTTACAGCTACTAGACTTTAGGATTACGTACAGTACCATGACAACCACCTCAAACTATGTATAGTTTAAGTGTTTTATAGGAAAGCTTTAACTTCATGATGAGTGGTATTGGTATGTATTTAATATTTATGTTAAGAGTTTATTGTAAGCTAACTATATTAGGTGCAGAGATGATGAATGATGTATTAACTCGAATGATGATGATAACCATGGATGGTTAGTCTTATTATTATTGCTTATATATAATGATAGTAATAACATATGGTTATGATTTATTCATTAACAGGATAATTGTTTTCCTGTCATGTTTTGTTATTTGGTTAATCTGATTATCCGATTAACCAAAAATATTAAACTTTGGTTTGATTAATTTGGACGGTTTGGTTAAGACATTTGATTCCATGGTTAATGAAATTTAGACTTAATTGGTTTGGTTATTACCACGGTAACCATTTGAAAACCCCTAACATAAACACCCATTATCTAGTCCATTAGGTTTTGAGGTCCTTAAAATCAAACCAAACCAAACTATTAACTTTAAGAGTTATCAAACTATTAAGGGATTAACAGTTTCAATTAATCGAAACTACTAAGCCCCTCAATGGTTCGATTCGGTTTTAAGTCCGAAATCCAATATGGACAATATGTTAGTCATGAAGATGTTTCACTTTAGGTAACAAGAGTGTGGAGCGAGAGCGGGTGCGGGAGCGAGACCGTCAATTTTATAAAAATTCAATCTTAAGAGTGTGAACAGAGCGTCAATATTATATTATTAAATAATTTATTATTTACCCGACAATATGAACAATATTATCAGTGTTATTTGTAAAAATAAATAATAACAATTAACTCGTACAATTAGAGTTTGTGATTTGTGTACATACTAAGTAAAAAATGTGTTTCCTGGTCTGTTTACCTCACAAACAGTTTGATTCCATCATTATTTATGTCCAATTCACATGAAATTATATGAATATGGTATTATATCTTTTATATTTATCATAATGATAAAAACAAATAAACTAAAGTTTCACCCACCTACAAAAGATTACCAATAAAAGAATGCAACGTTTCTCATTAAAAAAAAAATCTCTCTTTCACAAAATAAAAACACTCTATCTTCTTCCTTTTTTTCATCGAGATCTCGTAAATCCTGCCCCTTCACATGCTCTGTTTTCGGTAGCATCCTGCCCCTTCTCGGCTTCTCTGCTCACGATTCCCCTTCCTTCGCTGCCAAAATCAATCCGGTAGCTTAGATTTCTTATTCTGATAGATGGAAAAATTGATGGTGGCTGGAAATCCGCACTCTTAATTCAGCAATCCGTGCTCCAATCTTTAAAAAATAGCAAATTATAGACGTTTTGGAAAGAATTCGCGTTTTAGCGAATTGGCGAGGCCGTAGACTTACGCGAATTAGATAACCTCAACCTCATGGATCAAAAATTTCATTTTTTATTATGGATGGTTGACTACTGACTAGTATCCCATTTCCTTCCCGGCATTCATAAATCACAATCACCGGTCAAGCCAGCAAAGACCATTATAACAGCTGATGTGAAACGAAGGAAAAAAAAAAATCTTTTAATATTCAAAGACAAATTCCTAAAGCACACGATTGAAAGGGAAACAAAAGCTTTTGCCTTGTAGCTCCTTCACCAAAGGCCGCTGCGGAGACGGAGAATGCAGTCTGCTCACATTACAGGTAAATATAGAATTTTTCATCATCAGATCTTACACAAATTAGAAACCATTCGATTTTCAGGTTGTCTGAACAAGAGAGAGGTTGGTTTGATGTAAATTAGAGGCCTTCAATTCCTTTCGTGAGTTGGATTCGTGTAAATTGTTGATGAAATCGCTGATTCTAGCAAGAATTGCTATTGTGGGTCTTAAATGGGCGCTTTCTGGGGAGGGGATTGCTTGTTAACAAATGCTTGGAAATCGTTGGGGTTGTTGTGTTAATCCTCTGTTGAGAAATATATTTGATGTAGAAGTTGCAGAGGATAGCTCGTAGAAAGGTTCGATCTTGTTTTTTTTTTTTTCTTCCTTTTTCGGAATGCAATTGTGAATGTAGGGTTCATAAAGGAGAGGCAATTAATATACAAGACATATTTGTGATATGGGGGGATCATGAACAGGTTGGGTTTTGATTACTTGTTCTAAGGATTTGGGCTGTTTCAGGTATTGGAAAGTAACTCGACTGGGAGAAAGTTTGGGGCTTTAGATTAGACGAACCATGGCAGCGACGACGGAAGTGGATCCACCGTTAACAGATGTAGAGCTCGTGCCGGAGAAAGAGACGATCGAAGATGTAAAAGAGGCACCACCCGCATTCCCATGCCAGCTATCCGACATTGAGTTGGTTTACAAGATGGCTCAATCCTTTCTGCCAGGACTAGCAACAGCTTGTGTCGACAATACGACGGGTGGCATATTTAGAACCCCTGGTTCAGTTGCTGCCGAGCTCAGGAAAGAGATGATCGACTATCTCACTCAGAGAAGCGAAACTTTTGTTGCTGAATCTGTCATTCTAGAAGGAGAACCTCAGCCCGAGTCCCCCGGCAATCCATTCGACATCATCTCTGACTTTGTTGATGATTTTGCAAGCTCAAAGAGGAATTTCTTCAGCAGGGTTTCTGGGTGGCTGCTTAGTGAGAAGAGAGAAGACAAGATTGATGATTTTGTGCAGGAGATGGAGCTGAATGGATTTTGGCCCATAGATAAGAGATCGACAGTAGCAGAAAATCTGCTCAAGAATGTTGACTTGAAGAACAGGTTTCACTGCGACCACAAGTTTAATGCCGAAGAAGAACTGGCCGAACATAGCAAAGCATGTGGGTTTAGGACTTTGAACTGTGAAAACGAAGGGTGTGATGATGTATTCTGTGCGAGCAATAAGGAAGACCATGATGCAATTTGTCCTTTCAAGATAATTCCTTGCGAACAGAACTGTTCGGAGTATATTATGAGACGTGACATGGACAGGCATTGCATAACTGTCTGTCCTATGAAGCTAGTAGCTTGTCCTTTCTATGCTGTGGGGTGTCAGGCAAATGTGCCTAGCAGCAAGATTGATCAGCATCGTGCCGATGAAGTGAAGGCTCACGTGCTCTGTGTTCTTCAGAGTATTCACAAGGAAGCTTCTGTGGAGGATCTAAACCCTCGTGTGGACCAAGTGCTTGAGGTTGGTAACTTGTCATATCTGTCATCTTGAAAAGAATGAATCAGATTTGTGAATAAAGTTAAAGGTCCTGCATTATGCTTATATTAGATATATTTATTACCCTTTACACCTAGGTTTCTTAGATCTGCCATTTTTATCATCTGAAGTTGTTTTTAGATGCCTCTTTCTGGAACTTCCTGTATTGAACTGCACAAGAAGCTCACCATCCAATCAAGCGCATGTAAAATACCTATACCTGTAGCAAATATAGTTACTTGGTCATTCCTAACCAAAACGAGAAACTTGTTCGATATTTGATGCAGTTATCTTCGGGGCTCGCAGAAGCCAGAGATGTGAGGTCTATGACTCGCAGAATCAAGAACATTGAAGCAAAACTGGGACCTTTGGAGATCAAACCTCGAAAGGAAGGTGAAGAAGCATCTGCAGAGAATGGAGAAAAGGCTGCTGAAGACCCTACTGCGGATACAACAAACAAAGCTAGTGAACAAGTGGCTGCTGCAGCAACAGACAATACTGTGAGTAAAGATTTCAATGAAGCTGCCACAGTCATGGTCAGTGAAGAAACAACAAGCAGAGCTGTCGAGAATGTAAGCATGGAATCAAATAAGAGTGCAGACAAGGTTAACGAAGAGCCTACTGAGGCTTCCAAAAAGCCTGGTGACAATGAGGAATCAACCGAGCCTTCTGGACAAAAGGTGAATGAAGCTGAAGCTGAAGCTGCTGAAAAGATCATTGATGAGCCACCTAAGGCTTCAACCGACCTGGGCAAGGAATCAACTGAATCAGTTGAGTCTACAAAGAATGTAATTGCAGTCGCTGACTCAGTAGAACCAGCAGACCAGGTCAGTGAGGAATCAACTCAAGTTATTCACAACCTTAACAAGGAACCAGTTGATGCTTCATATAACCCTGGTAAGGAATCAACTGATGTTGCAAACAAGCTTGGTGAAGAACGGGTAGAAGTTATGAACAGTGTTCCCGTGGGCCAGGAAAGTATGGAATCTGACGAGACCACGAAAATTGTGAGCAAGGAACTACCTGAGGCTATGGAACCATCTACTGAAACCACTCCGAATGTTGATGTATCCAGGGACTCCATTGGCGTTGAGGTTGGCGAAGAACCCACTTCGACAGCTGCTGATGATGTTGCCAGCGAATCAAATGAGGGTGCAAAGAACAAAGCTACAGAAGAACCCACTTCAACAGTGGGTGACGCCGACACGAAATCTAGTGACGCTGCAAAGTCGAAGAGTGAAGAGCCCACCTCAACAGTTTAAAACCTGTCGCCAAATGAATTGCTTACTAAAGAAATTTCTAACATCTAATTCTTTTTTATGCATCAAAAGTTTCCAGACATTTCCCCCTCCCACGCTGAGGTATATCTATGTATCTCATGCTAGTGTCGTGGAGCAAGGATTTCTACGTTCATATAGAGCAACGATCTGCTTTTCCGACCTCAGTTTGTCGGAGATTTCCTTGAGAATTGCAGCTCAGAGACTCGCATATTGGGCTCCTTATGTGTGGTCGATCCCGGTTTCTCCAGCTTGTTTTGTTGGATACGTGACCTGGGCGTGCTGCAGCTATTATCAACAGCTTAGTTTTAGTGATGATGACAAAGTGGCAGTCCTTCCATCTACGAACAATGTCGTTGACAGTAATTCTAACTAAGCTCAAGGAAAATGAAATTCATCTGTTTATCGTCATAGCAACAATGATTGTACCGAATAAGTGCGACGATGATGATACTTGATCGTCCTAACTGTTATCTTTGTACTTTTTTGTTTGATTTGGAGATGGAGACCACATTCTTGTACTATGTATCCCTTAAGTTTTCTATTTAAAATGTATGGTCCTAATTCCTAACCTCCTACTCTCTACAATGTAATGTAGGACTGGAAAAGCCAAAATGTGGTTGGCATGCTTGGTTTCTGGTCCGCCCTGCATACCTGATATTGGTGTCACGGCAACAACAGTCGAGCTGCAGCTCGAACCTCTTGTCTTGCGTTCCGAGCAATGAAAATACGGAGCATCTGTACATATACGTATTTAGTATCATAGAAGACAAGTTATCTAGTGAAGGACAAAAGGGGTGACAAAGGTCTAAGCAACTGATAACGAAAGCAAATGACAATTTTAAGCTCAACAACTGAACATTTTCCCTGACAAGAACAAAGCAGCCGGGGTAGATTCAGGAAACAGAGTTGGGATAACAAAAGCATAAGAAGCACAAACTAACTAAAAGCTGCAACCCCTTTCTCTACTAATCCATTGTCATCAGCGACGAATCAAAGCTTCCTGGCCAGCTAGTTACAATTCTGAGCAAGACTACAATGCGTAGATAACATGGTAGCAGGCTGGCGAAATGCTTGACATTTCTATTACAAAGAAAGGCGAATGATTCGAAGAGAGAAGGAAAGCATATCGCCGACATTACATTCCGAGCTGCTCTTCCTCATTCATCTTAGGTTCTGTCCTGTATGATCAAAGCACAAAGTTTATGTAAGAATCTTCAGCCAACTACTAACAATAGTTTTGAAACACAATGGACAGTGTCAGGAGTGGTACCTGAAAGCTGAAGCTTTCATATGACCAATCACAAGCACTTGTCCCCATGGTTCTGTAAAGTCTAATGAAGCTTTTGATATATTGAATTGGGAAGGCAAGTTTAACTAGCATGCAAAAGGAACGCCTCAAGAACTTAACACATATAAGTGAACTCTTTCTTGAGAGCCATTAACCAGCAACCTGACAAGAGAGCGGTGAGATTTAGGTACCCAAAAAAAGCTACTTTCTAACCAGAATAGAACAGGAGCAGTAGACTCAAGAACCACATCTGGCAACAAAATACTCGGCATCAAGAATAAAAGGGACGTGAGTGATTCCAAGAACGAACCAAAGCATTTTGTTAGACATGCTGAAAGCTGATCTTCATCCTTGTTCCAAATGTTCTATCATGGTTGATCAAAATGTAGGAATGTAAAATCTGCAGCCAACTGCTAACAATATATGTCAAGAGCAATTTGACAGATTTGACATGCACAGAAGTAAATGCAGCAAGATTTTGATACATTCAATGGGGAAGCTAATTGATGAAATGAAAAGGAAGACAGGAACTGAGAAACAAAAGTGCTGATCCCTTTCATTCAAGTCTTACCTTCCCTGGACATGAAGGAGAAACATTAGTAAATACCATGAACTAATGTATCCTGGGAAGGATCAACTGTGAAACAAATACCAGAAATGCTCTCACCCAGTAGATGAACTAATGTATCATAGGAAGGATCAACTATGAAACAAATACCAGAAATGCTTTCACCCTGTAGATTCCTCAGACGGATTACTTGATATATCATTCCTGAGATCCTCAACTATGCCTTGAGGGTCACTTGTTATCAGTTTCCCACAGATACCAATAGATTGTAACTGTACTTATCTGTTGAGCAACAATACAGAGAATGAAATGGTAAGAGAAAAGGAACAGATAATTCTTTGGAAGGGCTTCCATGAATGTATGGATTGGAAGTTGACTTTAAGAGAATAGAAAAGAGAGTTAGCAATTGATCGCTTGAAAAATCAGGATGATACTGTTAAAGACTTTTCTGAGGGGAAGACAGTCATTGTCATGCTTCTCACCACTAAAACAATCCTAAAAGACTATACATGCATCAAAATCAAGTCAGTAAAAGGTAATCTAGCAGCTATGGTAGTCCCTGGACAATAAGGTCTGGTGTGATCCTTCACCCGTTCAAGCAAAATGCTGATCAATGACAACTCTTGAACCAAGCAGTTTTGTACATGCAAAATCCTTATAGTCCATGAGCAAGAGAGCTACAACCGATGTTTGACCTCCTCAGTGTTCCCTGTTGCAGCATTCAGAGGGCTTTTGTAAGGACGCTGAGAGCCAAAATTAATCGATCCTCAATATTGCATTTGAGACTCAGAAGGCCACAAAAAGGCATCCCATTTCTCAGCACCTTGAAAGTCTCTCCATCATACAGTCTTCATGAAGGCACTGGTCTGGAATTTAGATCGATGAATTCTGCCACCAACACCACCCTTTGCAGTTGAATTGATGCAGCAAATGAGTCACCCTGGCTGACCAAACCTCTGAAGTACCGACCATCGCCAAAGGGTGTCATAGTTTATCAGCTGGCTTTGTTTCCATTTGCCTCTCCATCAATTTATCAACAAAAGCTCGAATCTGAATATGCATAAACAATGATGGATTTATAATTTCCTTCAAACACAAGTAGTGTCAAAATTTATGACAAGCTTCTGTTGGAAATCAAACCAAAACTATAGCAATGGAATCAGAGACAAGGTATCAGTTCAATTATTAGAATCCATCAAGTGAGCCAGCAGTCATTATTATAGGATTCATAGAAGATCAAAACCAATGCAGCAGAAGGGCAGACCTACTTTGTTGATAAAGTTATACCAACATCTTTAACCTAAAAAAAAACATAAAGTAGGAGTACACACACCTTATTCTTGCGCTTGGAATCAAGAAACTCGGACACAGACATCGCTTTCTCCGCATCAGTAGCCCGCTCCATGACCTGATCATCAATCAATAATTGCAACATGAAACAACAAAATCAACTTTTACGGTCCTTTGTAGAAGCGATGACAGAAACAGAAGGGGGAAAAGGCCCACCTTGGTAGCACACTTTTTCATTATTGTCTTGTACCCATCCCTATCAATCTTCCGTGCCTTATACACAGGCATGAGTACTGATGCAACAAAATCCACAACAGCTTGTTTGATACGGTCTGCACCTCGAGAATGGCTCTTTAATGTCTCTTTGTTTACAGTAACTTGTGAGATGGAGCTCTCATTTGCACGTCTATCATTTGTGCAGGCTGGAGGTCTTGAACTTGTATTAGAGTCCTCTTCATCAATTACATGCATATCTGAATGGTTCAATTCAGAATCAGCGGCAGCTGCTTGACATTGCCATCTCTCGATGGCTTGATAACCCTTGATAGCCCCAACATCAGCAGTATCAACCCATGCTTTCGTATAAAGACTGCTGTCATTGGCTACACTTTCTCCAGACTGCTCTCTCAAGTTCATACGGGATGCTATCTCATTGGAATGGCTTCGCTGAGACAGGTTATCAATTGACATTCTGGAATTGTTGAAGTTAGCGGAGAAATCAACTGACCAGTCCCTAACTCTGCAATTCCTAGAGTCGATTTCAGATGTACAATCTTGGCCTCCCATGACGCCACCAGACCATTTTTTCCTGGGATCGAATTCATCCATTTGCGGGTATTGTTCCCGCCTAGCAAACTTATGAAATGAGGGTATCTTAGGAAGCTGCATCATCGTGTTGCACTTGGCATAAGCCTGCAACATCCTTATTGAACTTACTTAACTGGTTCAACCACAAAATCAAAGAAAGAAAGAAAGTAGAGGAGAAGAGAAGAGAAGCAACAATGGAAGGTGCAGGAGGCAAAGAATCTAAATCATGCACAGCTACTTTCATCTAGACTAACATCTCAGTATTATAACCTTACTTATCATACTTTGATCCTCATTTTTATACCACAGTGGATCCCAAACTTAATCCAAAGTAAAACAAGGTGCATATTCAAATCTTATGTCTAGCCTACTAAAATGACCAGCCAAATGTCTGCCTCTAACAGGAGATACATGCCCATGAATCATGATACTATTTCAAATTCATGTGTCACAATAATAAGAGAGTTCAACAATTATGGACTAGCTTGTAGCACACTCGCACACGGAGACAGAGAGAGACGAACAGTTAATCATCCCAAAAACAAAGGGCAAGAGAAGGCAGTTATATTGCAGAATAACAGTGCATCAATTATAGCAAGGGTAGCAAGAAGGAACAAACCTCAGCAGCTGCACGAGCTGCAGCTTGTGCTGCCTCAGCAGCAGCAAATGCTGCCTTTTCTTCCTCAGACATAGCAACTTTACTTTGCTCTTTCATCTCAGTCCCCACTATGCTAACAGAATCTTGGGACCTCGATTCAAATCCCAAATCTTTATTTCCCTGATTAACCAACTCACCATTCACATTCTTCAGACATGGACTGGCAGTGGGTGCAGGAAAGTGCAAGCTCCCTCTATTTTCCAAAGCACTTTGATGACTACGGAGAGGTGGCTTCCCCGAAAGCATATTAAATACAGATTTTCTCTTTGAAGAATCAAGTACTGAAGCTTGCCTAGATAACTTCAAACGATTTGAAGCTTTCTGCCTCCGGAACACTTCAAGCCAGACGCTTACTAGCTGACTTGCTATAGCACGTATATCACGGCTGGTATGTACGCATACTTTTTCTCTCACCGTCTTCCCTATGCCTGCACAATAAAGGGAGACAAATCACATATGATAGATATCACTGAGTTCTAGTTTTATCCTAAGCTAGAATGTGAACAAGTTGGCTTTCCATTTGTTAGAGTACATCCCAGCTGAACTGAATCTTAGAGCATACTAAGCATATATCTATAACAGGAAAGGATGAAAGGAACGGACCAGATATTTGTAAGGAACTCGATAATAATGTACCTGACAAACGCACTGCAAGTAAATCTGTTGATACAAGCACAAGAATTCGAACACAATGGCGTAAAAGTTGAGTACCATCCTTCCCCATAGAGTCCTGCGCAAAAATAGAAGACAATAACAAGACGACCAACAAAAAAGGCGTTTTCAGGTGGAGCAAGTAAATAATGTGAGTATGTGACTAGTTAGAAATTCAGTAGAAGAGTATACTCGGAAGAAAATGTACCAGTATCCATGAGTTTAGAGTGGATAACCCTTTTTTGGTACCAGCAAAGGACTTCAAGGTTTCAGTAGGAAGACTCAACAACTTCTTGGCAAGATGCAGCCGTCCTGCAGTGGTTTTTGCAGCAAAAAACATCTCCTGCAGTAAGGCCACAGAACTCTTGGAGAAAACGGTATAAAGCTCCATAGCTTCGAGTCTCTGCATTATGTCCCTAACTTCATCCCTCTCAAGCTCCAACCGTCTCTTGGCAGCCTCCAATGCCTCTGCCTCAGCAGTGTAATCATTCCCAGTACTCATTATATCAATTATCCGCACTGCCTCCCGAAGGCCACTCATCATAGCACCACCAACTGTGTCAGGATACTGCTTGCAGGTAGCTTCACCAGCGAAGAATAGGCAGTTCTCGACAGGTCTGCCTAATGTATCATAGTCTTCTCCAGATGAACCTATGGCAACATAAGAGTAAGCACCATAGCTAAAAGGATCTCCACCCCAATCGGTCACCGCTGAAGCAACTGGATCTGGGACTAAATTTTCCCCAAAAAGTTTACGAAGGGACTTCAATGCATGACTGACATGATCAGATGAGTTCATGCTTTGGCCATCAATAGCAGCCTTGCCAACAACCAAAGCAATAAGAACCGGAGCTCCCACAGTTTTCCTTAGATTCCAGAACATAAAGCAATGCCCCCTACAATCTGTGTCCTCGGCTGTCGTTCCAAAGTAATCCACCGAATCATCCCAAAAAACTCGTTCAAACTCCAAAACTACTTTATTTAGAACTCCATAACCAAGTCTCTGAATGGAGGACTGTTTCCATTGAGGTAAAGAAGGGGAAAACTTGATGCTTTCTGCTTTCAGGCACCCGAGTGGCACAGTAACAAGGACAGCATCTCCACAGAACTCTCTTCCATTTGATGTAGAAACCTTCACTATGCGATCATCTCCACCAGTGTCCTTAGGGCCGTATGAAATCTCACTAACAACATGATTCAAGTGAATAACCAGCCCTTCTGCAAGAGACTCAACAACATTACTGTAGCCCCCCTTAATCATACAATGAGCTCCTCCAAATCCTCCATATACATCATCCTGATTCCAATGCGGCAGTGACACTTGCTTGAGCAAAGCAGCACAGCCATACTCCAAATTAGCAAAATGCCAATCCATAACCCTTCTCTCAGGGGCACTCAAAACTTCCTCCCTACAACTTTTCTGGGGAACTCCTTCAGTATTACATGGTGTGGAGACATATGAAAAATCAGTTGCATTGATATCAGACTTCGGTTGTGCTAAGCGCCGTTTCTTAAGGGCATATTCTAATCCATCCTCCAAAGACATTTTCAGAGCATGTTCTCCCTTCTGAGCAATTAGTAATACCATATCATCTAAGAGACCATTGAATTCTGACTCCAACGCTTCATCCAGATCGCTAGGCACTTTTTCTCCTGTTACTATGTCATAAAGTGGACAATCACTGTTCAGAACGGTCAACTCAAGGCCCAACTGAGCACAGATCAAAGAGGAAGGGTCTGGTCTCCTCTCAGTTGCAACATCTGCTTCAACACCAGTAATAATGCTAGCCCCAAGATCCACTGGAACAGAAAAGGACGTGCGATCTGTATAAACACGGCCTCCGACCCTACTCCTTGCCTCAAGAACAGTTACATAAAAACCCTGCCGCTGCAAATGGCGTGCAGCTGTTAATCCAGCAGGACCAGCACCAATAACTAAGATTCTTTTTTTATTTTGAGAATCACATGTCATATAGTGGTTCCCTTCTAAATCATTGTGAGAGGATGATAGAACACTCTGCTGCTCATCCCTTAACTGAGGAGTTATAACAGAGACTAAATCGGATGATTTTGGTTCAGCAGTGTGCTGAATATCAGCAGATAGAAACTCTTCAGGATTTGGCGCATTAGATGACTTCAATGCCTTGGATGCATTAAACTCTCCGTGTTTTGTGGCTTGTGACTCTTGGTTTTCGACATCTTTCATAACTCTACCCTTAACCTCAATTGAAGTCTGGTGAGTCTTGACCTGACCGAGAATAAAGGAGACTCCATCCTCCATGTCAGCAACCGAGGTGCCAGGACTTCCTCCGAGACCTTTCCCTCCACAAAGCTTATAATTATGCTCAGCACCAGGTTCTGCTTTCTCTTTTTCATAAGCAATGCCAACATTTATGTATCCCTGTGATGATAACACAAGAGTAAAAGTTAAAAAAGATAAACAAAAGTCACGGGCCCCATGAAATGATAACCATAACATTGAGGGCAAATGGGCACAGAAGCTGGAACGACATTAGGATAATAGCAGATGAATGAACTTACACTCTGGTCAAGAAACGAATAGACTTCTCTAATCAATGAAGTGTGTTGAGGCTCACCCTCCGAAGGGGTACCCGAGACACCACATTCAGAAAGTGGCAATATCCGGGTAACATCTCTGCTCCAAAGAGTTAAGATCTGATTCCTACATTAAACAATGGAAATGTCATCCATACAGCAGGAGAACCATCGTTTATCACAAAAAGAAATGTATAAGGGAGACCTACTCATTGGAAAAACATCAACGCTGACAAAAAACCCGTAAATGATTCATAATAATAAAAGAAGACAAAGAAAACGTAATTGTTCCAAACAACATGATATACAACAGATTCAAACTAACTAGGAAGTGTCATATTTTCAAGGATTATGTCATTACCATTAAACCTAATAAGAGAAGAGTTACATAACGCTAGAAAAAGGATTCCAACTATCTAGGATTCGTTTTTTCAAGGAGTATGTTGTTGCCTTAAAATATAGTCAAAATGAGATACACAACACTAGAAACAGCAACTTGCATAAAGAATACGCATTTCCTCAAACAAAAACGAGCAGAGTAAGACCATCTCAGGAGGAGAAAGGATTGGTAAAAACCTGCACTCTAAATATTCTTGGAGGCCACCCTTGCGCTTCAAGACATCTTTGAACTTTATCTTCTCAACTGGACCAGCCGCACGCAATTTCAGTCCAGCAGACACAGCGGCTGCTCCACCATTCTCAGCCTCGGAAGCACTAACTGAAGAGGAATCAGACTTCTCTCTGATTTTACAAGATCGTTCACTGTCCACAACTTCCTCATCCAGAAATCTCTGCCCATTTATTAGGACTTCCCAATCCACATCCCCTTCATAAGCCATGTCTTCATGCCTACGCTTTTTTGGGTGACGCACAACTCGCTGCATAGCAGCTAGTTTGCCATCTTTGATTTCAGAATCTGGAACAGAAACTATATCATCTCTGAAACTACAATTTTCCTCTGCTGCTACAGACGCGGGAGAGGCTCCATTAGCCTCTTCATTGACGAAAGAACGTTCATGGCCTGAAATGCAAGTTTGCTTGCTTGCATCATGGGAAAGTTCATTTTGTTGCAGTACAGGACTCCCCTTTTGAATGGGTGCAGTGGAGTTGGGAGGATCAACATCTGTTTCTGGAGGATTCTCTCTGCAGCTCACCTGGAGATCAAATCCAGATTCATGAACTTCCTGATCTGTTTCACTGACCGGGGTTGAGCTACCATCAGGTGTTTTAGTTGCTTCTTTTTTAGGGGAAACTAAAGCTAGACAATGGTCATAAGCCTGATTGCCACCATCATGTAAGTTATTGCTGTGACCAGAAGGTTCTCGAACACCTGCAACAGATCCAACATCCTTTTTAGGACCTTTCAACTTCTTCCTAAAACTAGCTAAGGTATCATCCATTCCCCCCGAATCGTCATCCACGGAAACCACTTTCCCTACTTTGGAAACCCTGCCGGAAACTGCTTTACCCTTCCTAGGGTTCTTGGGTCTCCTCGTCTTCAACAAACTCCCAATTGGCTCATCGTCATCAGAATCCACCACAAATTCGACCGCCTTCAGCCTCTTCTTCGCACCAGACTTCTTCTCCTCACTCCCCATCCTTCCAGCCCTAGCACTCGATGCTCCCTCGCACAATCCTTCCTTCAACCCTAGGTTAGCTTCAACAAGCACGGAATTCTTCGACAAATCATCAACTCCCATCTTCCCATCACCCAAAAGATTCCAGCTCCTAACCTAATAAGAGCAACCTCCTACTGACGAATCAAACGCATAATCCTGCTGCTTTCCGCTTCGTCCTCCAATTCCCGATTCGCCAAAAACTAAGAGCAACGAAATAAATCAAGCTACTGATAATTCAATTGAGGCGGAATCCAAAAGCTACGAGACGCAAAATTTCCACTTGAATGAGCAAAGCTCCAATGCTGCAAGTGCCTCTCCAGTCTCCTTCCTCTACCTTCCTGCCCGAGGAATTAATTCAATTGAAGCAAAACCAGCCGATATTACAGAGACGCCGTGCGACAGAGGAGAGAAGACGAAAGTTGAAAACGGAGGCCGGAATAGACTTACCTCACTGACTGCTGCTCGTGCGAAGACAACAAGAGGAGTGATTGAAAGAGCCGTAAGGGGGAAATCAAAAAGAGGGAAACACTGTGAAAGGGTTGGCGTCTCAGTATGGATTTTGTGCGGGCGGGGAAGAGAGAGAGAGGGAGGCGCACGTTAGCGTATCTTGGTTTCTATTGGAACCGGGAGTTATAAATTTAATATTAAAAAAAAAACGCTACATCTGATCTCTCCCCGGTTTATATACCGTGCCTCTTGAGTCTTGAGCACAATGATGCCACTTAAGTTAAAAATTAGTTATAATATAATAAGTTATCCTGAATAATAATATAATATAGCAAATTAACAATAAGGCGCAATTACATTAACAAAATGTTGTTGAAAAAATAGATTAGCAATATTAGTATTAGGTAAATGTTCGATTAGAGGGGTAAAAAATAAATGAAAGAAACAAATGTCAGTGAAGATGACAATAAAGTAAATATGTGTCTTATGATTATGGAGTATATTGTATTTCGATTCAGGAAGATTATTCGGATTTTGATCAATTGAGGGAAGAAGAAATGAAATAGTCAAGGTATATTGTCTAGCATTTAACAAAATTCTATTATATATATATTGTATTATATGGATTAACTGAGTGTTACATGACAATTGCATGTTCATGAGAATGGGATAAAGTATAAACCAAAATTCATGAATTAAAATTTTAATCAAAATAAATAACCATGAGTATAGAATTATTAAACTGTATTCATTTATCTTTCATTTGAGTTTCATACTCAATTCAATAAAATTTGATATAAGTAAATATTTCAGGTTTAGACAAAATTGCCACTCCTATTTAGAAAGCCCATGAGCTTAACCAGATGGACAAGGATTGTGCATTATGGGCCAATTGAGAGTAAAAGGTCCATACTTTGTGGATAACATAACAGAAAACTAATGCCTACGGCCTCCTTAAATCACGCTCTTGCTACAAGCATATCAGGGCCCAATGTAATTATTACTAATAGCCTCCCAATCTTTTTACATATATTCCAAAAAGAACATCAAGATACGAGTTCATGACATTAGCAGTACAATCAAATAACTAAAAAGAAAAGGAGACGGTCTACTAATAGTCACTCAAACGATAAGAGAGTCATTTTTGTCGACGTGGACGGCCTTATTCTATCAACGCGACACGAAATGAAACGTAACACACTCAAACGAGGACGTCAACACTTGAATTTCTCTCAAAATGACACCCCAAAACGTGGGAAAATCTAGGGCATGGCTTGAAAGGATAATATGAAGATCTTAATTTATGAACTAGTACTTAACAATTTATGTTTCGTGTGATCACTCATAGTGAGAGTTAGATTTTTCAAAAGCGATGGTCATTTTTGTAATATACAAAACAGATTAAAGAATGTCAAAAATATTTTTTATATGAAAAAGACTATATATCTAATATTAATGTATGAAACAGTAGATCATATGTTTTTTTTTCTTCTTATATATTGTTCCATTTCTACACATTTCTATACCAGTTTAATTAATTAACAGCGTTTCGACAAACTCATTTCTCTTTTCAATTATATATGAAATATTTTTTACTACTTAATTTTTATTTTATCAGTATGTTCGACTTGTCTTAACCCTTACTCAAGCCATTTAACATAACTTGACATGTGTACTCCTTGGCTTTAGATATAGTGATATCCGATCCTCTAACCCTATCCCAGTTAGTTATGGAGGTAGGTTGGAACTATAAGGAGCTATAGTCCCCCTCAATTTTGAAAAATAAGTAAAAGATTACATGTAAATGTTGCCCAAATGAATTATAATAGTCGGTAAGGTTTGATTGATCGATGGACGGGGCAATTTCGTGAATAATGTGACCCGCCTAACCTAAAATAAAGGATCTTCTCCCCTCTTGATTGACTGATAGACGGAACTGATTCGGAGAAAGAAGAAGCTAGCCTCCTCTCCCCCAATTACATCAATTCAGGTCAGCCCCTTTTGAATTTCTGACTCGGCCACTGCCCTATCCTATATTGCATGCCATACATATATAGCTTTCGCAAAACCAAAACTTAGTAGATGCGTGAACCTTATAACTTCAAGGTTAAGGATCGGTTTAGCTAGATATACAACATACATATATACCCAATTCACGTATTTGGACGAGCCAAAAAAAAACCATAGAGGATGAGATTGATCACCTAAGAACATGCATATGATCAATAGCAACATCGGCCCAATCTATCTAATCCCAGCCACAACATCGTCTGATTTCCCGACTGCTAACAAGCTAAGGAATTTCGCTGGCCACAGCCCACAGTTTGGATCCGTTTTGCCAGCAGATATAATGCTAGCTAGCTAGGTTAGATAGATGAACGGACGTTAACAGTTATCGTCTTTTTTAGAACCCGGAAGGAACACGGTGAACCTAATTACTACCAGCCTTCCATTTATTCATTGTTTAGCAATAATTAGCTTTTTAATCACGGCGATAAAGCACAACATTAAGGAGTCATATTCATATATATATAGCGACCATTATGGATTAATTGGAATGCTGGTCATATGTGACCGGATGTTGCATTATATTGTACAAACTCTGCGTACGTATTCTGTTCAGTATCCAACTCAATGCATGCATGCGTAATTACCGCGGTTAAAACGTAAAGTTTTGCTACATTTTAGCGACCAGAACATTTAACGACGGTCGTTAATGCTTCCCCGATATGGGTCGACCGGCGTCCGGCGATCACGGATAACAACGAACCGAATCAAGGAAAAGGGACTCGTAGGTCGTAGCTATAATAGCTAGCCATGTGATTTCCCATATATATCTAATGATTGATACTAAAGCAATAAAAGAAGGATGAATATTTGTAACTTGTGTCACGGGGTGAATGGAAAGAAAAGGACAATTGGATTATTATAAGCCGACATTTTGTAACTATAATCGTTGGCTCAATGCCAATATTTTGGAAACTACGTGGTATTGGTAATTGCAAGCTTCATTAAATAATTTGAAATTAATTTGTGTATGACACGGTATCAGTTAGGGCTGGCGGACGGTTTTCCGGTTAGCGGCTAACCGGATGGTTTCAACCGAACCGTCTGGTTTTCGGCAAGCCGAAAAACCGATCCCAATGGTGTCGGTCGGTCGTCGATAGCAAGGGGAGAAGGCTCGGCTAGCCGACCAACCGAGGTTGAAAACCGGCGGTTAGCCGACTAACCGAGCCTAACCAAAACGACCCGGCCCCCTTCTCAAAACGCCCCCCCCCCCCCCCCCCCTCAAAACGACCCCCTCAAACCGACCCCCCCCCCCAAACCCTAACCGAGCCTAACCCTTCTCTTCCGTCATCCTCTCTCTCTTCTCTTCCCTTTCACCTCTCAAACCCAGAAGACCTTGAAAACCCAGAAGAAGAAGAAGAAGAAGAAGAATAAAGAATAAAGAAGAAAAAAGAACTGTCGCCGGGCCTCACGACCGCCGCCTCCACCATCGTCGACGTCGTCGCGCCGCCTCCACCATCGTCGCCTCGCCGCTCGACCTTCGCCTCCACTCACAGGCAGCAGCGCTCGACCTCCGCCTCCACTCGTCGCCGCCGCGCCTCTGCCTCCACTCGCAGCCGCCGCCGCGCCTCTGCTCTGTGTTTCCAGATCTGAAATGGAAGAAGGAAGGAGGGAGAAGGAAGGAGTGGTGGGTGTTGTGGGTTTGACATGGAGGAAGGAGAGAAGGAAGAAGAAGAATCGAGATGGTGAAAGTGGATAGGAAGAAGAAGAATCGAGAAGTGAGAAGGAAGAAGAAGAAATCGAGTGGTTCAGAATTTTGTTCCTTTTAATTTTTTTTTTTTTTTATAAAGGGTATTTTCCGGTTGGTCGGCTAACCGAGCCTAAAACCAAAACCGACCGGTCGGTTGGCCGGCTAACCGTGACCACCCTCACGGTCGGTGGTCGGCAAGTATGTAGGGTGGCTCGGTTTAACCGATAACCGGGATTTCGGTTTTCGGTTAAACCGAAACCGACCGGTTTACAGCCCTAGTATCAGTCTATCAGAATTGGCATAATGCAAGCAGTGTTGTGTCTCAATCTCTCTGCGATCTCCAATATATTAGTTATCTAAGCACAATGTATGATAGGTCTATGCAATTTTCAAACTTATGAATTGGTTTTCGTTTGAGGGGCGTATAAGAAATAAAATAACGATATAAGAACCATAATTAACCTTCTCCCAACAATTCGAATTATTAGTAACAATTTCTTGTTATACTTCACATGTAAACATCGTCATAGTAGGGTTGTATGTGATTCCGGCCCCTTTAGCGAAAGATTAAGTTGACAAGGACTAATTAAGATGCAACGAACTAATTCAGATCGTGTCATAATTAGCTAGACGACTCAGATCCTTTTCACAGATCGATACAGATCATAATGATAATCAAGTATTCAAGTTGATGATCGACTCAGAGATTAGCTGCTAGCTAGCATGCATGCATCCGATACCACGAAAAAGACGATGGAATTAGGAATCATGAGTGCTGGACTGAGCTATAGCGACCAACCTTTTAACAAAAAAGGCGGAAGCGTATAATGTATATATATGTCTATGTTACGTACCTGAAAATCTTCATACAAAACAAACATCGAATGTTAAATCATGCGAATATATGTGATCAGCAATTTGAGCTACAGTTAGCCAACCCTAATCCAGCAGGCATTCACATGCCTCCTTAGCTAGCAAACTGCAAAAAGTACTATACTGAGCAAATCATGACACAATAATGTTTATGCATGTCTGATGATGATCCCTATCGATAAGCCTCTTAACGGTTTTGGTTTTGATTTTTAAAAAATTTGCCTGATTTTGATTTTTGGTGTTTCATAGCTAATGGTATGGTTAACCAAACCAAACCAAACAGACAACTCTAGGTGTGTACCTTATATCGTGCTCTCAAAAAACTGAATCGAAACATGTTATATAACACACATGTGAGTGGCAGTGGGATCAAAGTATAGTCACCTCTCATTAGTGAATATCACTTATTCGGGTGTTTATCAGTGGTGAGTAGGGGTATGCAACGAGTTGGTTCGTATTGGATTGTACCGAACTAAATTAACATTTGATTGATGTGAATCAAACCGAATATTATATGGTTCGTTTCTTGATCCCATTTTATAAATACTGATAAAAAATGGACCAAATTGACATTTGCAGCGAATCAAATCGAACCGAAGCGAACTCAATGTACTACTGATATAGTTCTTGATCATCAGATATCTTTATCTATTGAACCTTTTTTTTTTCCAGTTGCACACCCGTAAGTGGTGGTATGCAATCGGTTTGTCCCTAATTATGATCCAAGTAGGGATGGCAACAAAACCCGAACCCACGGGTACCCACCCGACCCAACCCGGTCAACGCGGGTAAAATCCGTGTTGACGGGTTATGGGCCGGGTTCGGGTTTAAACCCGCTACACTATTCATCGGGTCGGGTTGGGTTTGGGTTTAGGTAAACCCGACCCATGAGTACCCGCCCACACACATATAATTACTTTCCCGGTATATTTAATATTCTAAATAATTTATTTTCCTTAAATAATTAATATTCTTTATGTTTGTGGAGACATGTATAATTTGTTATTTCTAATTGTTTAGAATGAAGTTGATATTATGAAGTGGAGAGTGAAGAAACTTAGTTGACGAGGAAGAAGCTTTCAATTAATCTTTTGTTTATAGATGTTTATCTTTAATTTTGAACAATTTGTATTGATCATTTGCGGTTTGCTTGTATGCTCTAGATTGGTGTTTTTTTGTATGATTAATTTGTATGAGAAAATTGATGTTAAACTTTTATTTTGAAAGAAACTTGTTACTGTAAATTTTTTACCAAAAAACCCACGGGTACCCATGAACCCGCGGATACCCAGCGGGTTGGGTTGGGTTTGAGTTTTTCAAACAACGGGTTTTACCCCGGGTTTTTTTGACGGTTAAACCCATGGGTTTGGATTTGACAAAACCCGCCCCAACCCGACCCATTGCCATCCCTAGATCCAAGGCCGTCGATAATTCACTGTTGCGACAGCACATTGAAGAAGGAGGAGAAAAGGGAAAGCCGGCCGGTGAGTGAGGGACGTGTAAAGCGAACGAATACCAGAATATAGGATGCTTTCCGTTAGTTTGGATCCCATCATCATCACCCAGTAGCTTTTCCTGCACGTGTTACCAAAAAGTTTAAACAGGCAGGAGAAGAAGAAAAGAAGTGGGCCTTGGCCCACATAAAAGACCCGTCCACCTAGGCCCAACGCCAACGCGGCAAACAAACTGCTTTTGAACGTTTTTCCGTCTCCCGGAAAGGCGCGTGGGCCCCACTCTCCTCGTCCCATTACGCATCTTGGCCCCGACAGCACCACTATTTAATCCCGCCACGGTCTTGCCATATTTTGCAGACTTTTGGTTGCTACTAGTTCTGACACTATTCCTTTCACCCTCATTAATACAAGCCCAAAAATGCATGAATGTATATATATTGGGGAAATGACAATATTGGTTAGTGAGATTATTAAAAAAAAATCATATTTAGTCACTAAAAATATTTAATTTCATTCGTAGTCACTAGTCCAATTTCGTTAACTTTTTCTAATGTGGCAGTCAACTCACATAATTGATCGTTATATGTATGACGTGACATTTAAAAATAAAAATAAATTTAAATCTCCACCTCATTATCTTGAATGTATTTTCCTGATTAGGGAATATTTTGTCCATCGGTTCAAACTTGGCAAATTATTAAAAGCTTATACTTTCTTTCTAATCTAATACTTTGGTTGGATCTTTAGTTTTCTGTACGCAAATATCAATCTACCAACCTTTAATGATGGCAATTGGGCGGAACGAGTATATCAATACTCATATCCGCTCAGCACAAAGAAAGAGTCTAGTTGGGTAGTACCGAGCGGATACGAGTCGGGAAGGTCGACTCATCCTTGTTAATCGCAGAAAATAAACGCAAAAATTACAAATTTTGTGATAAAATGAAGGAAAACAATTTATCAATGAAAAATAGAAATAATAAAATGATTAATTGAGTTTAATTAGTTAAAAAATCAAGTCTTGCGCATGTTCAAAGCTTCATATGTGAAAAATATGATTGAAGATAAACCAAAATAGTAGATGTACAAATATAATTTGAGACAAATCAAGATACAGACTAGTCAAGAATGGGGTAATGATGGATGAAGCAAGTCGAAAATAATACACATGCTATTGCAAATCAAGTAATACCCTCTCAGCACGCATCAGGTTAGGTAGTAGTATCCCTAGGAATGGCAACAAAACCCGAATCCACGGGTACCCACCCGACCCAACCCGGTCAACGCGGGTAAAATTCGTGTTGACGGGTTTTGGGCCGGGTTTGGGTTTAAACCCGTTCACTATTCACTCGGGTTGGGTTTGGGTTTAGGTAAACCCGACCCATGGGTACCCGCCCACATCCATATAATTAATTTTTTCAGTATATTTAATATTCTAAACCACTAATCTTATTTATGTTTGTGGAGACATGTCTAATTTTTTCTTTCTAATTGTGTAGAATGAAGTTGATGTTATCGAGTGGAGAGTGAAGAAACTTAATTGAAAGGAAGAAGCTTTCAATTAATCATGTTATTTATGAATAATTTGTGCTTCAATTTTCTTGAGTTTTCTAGATTGGTGTTGAACAATTTGTATAGTTAATTTGTGATTTGCTTGAATTTTCTAGAATAGGGTTTTAAATATGGATAATTTGTATTGAGAGATTGATATTTGACTTTAATTTTGATAGGAACTTGTTATTGTAAATTTTTTACGATAAAACCCGTGGGTACCCATGAACCCGCGGATACCTAGTGGGTTTTACCCCGGGTTTTTTTCACCGATAAACCCATGGATTTGGGTTTGGGTTTGACAAAACCCGACCCAACCGGACCCATTGCCATCCCTAAGTATCCCTATTCAAATTGTTATCTAGGGCGGGCTATTTGATTTTATCCGAAACCGAATTGTATAATCCGGATCGGGACCGGACCGAAACCGGATAGCAAACAATCCAATCCAATTCAATTTTCGGGTTTATATTTGAGGTAAAAAAACGTTTGAGACCGGATCAAAAACCGGATAAAGACCGGATAAGATAGTCCAACGCCCAAAACTTAACCAACTCCTCACTCTTTGAATCCTTAGGCCACTCAAATTCCCACAAGTTCAATCTAAAATCAAGACCGAATTGGGACCGGACCGGATCAAAACCGTATTGTATCCAATCAAATCTTTGATCCTTATATTCCCAAAAAAGACCGGACTAAGACTTGATCAATTCGAACCAATTTAACCACGCCGGACCGTATAGCCACCATTATTGTTATCCATGCCTACCTTTGAATGTTTTACAAATCAATCAATGTAAAAATTGCTTAGATTTCTGACAGAATACGTGCTACTTCTTTCCATTATCTCATCGGGCTCCCGCCATCTTCATTATTACTACAACGCAGCTAACAGCTGGTTGGCAGCTGCCGATATATATATCCAGCTTTAGCCATAACTCCATTTCTGCTAAAGGTTTTAATTTTTACCGGCAACAAGTTGACTGGCCTGCCCGATATGTTCATTGGCGACGCGCTTACGTTCACATTATTCATTGTTACCATGGTACGTTTTACTTCCTGCAAGGTAAAAAGGAAAAAAAAGGTGGGTAATAAATAATGGTTGGTGTACTGACCAGCTAGCTAGTGTCATCAAAGTTCAACCCACATTATACCCTTCCATCTCCATGAAACCAAAAAGGGAGTACCATACGTATTCCATATAATCCCAAAGGTCATCTGCGATTCTTTAGGCACATGGTTTCCAAAAGTCAAGAGTGTCTTTTGATCATGTATATGATTTGGTATTTTTGTTTCGTATATAACTAATAATATCTTTCTCCCGAGAAAATATAAAGAGTTTGAGAGGATTATGAGAATGTATTCGCGAAAAAGAGAAAAATGTTTATCATATAAGGGAAATGAGGATTTTGACTTGGTATGCTATATTCGATATACCCAACATATTTATTAGTGTTACACTGCTGGTAAGAGACACGCTTACTACTACAATCCAGGCCCAGCACCGTTTACAACTTCACATCCTTTTTACCTCGCCTTACTATTATAGGGGCAAGTCTCCACTTACGTATAATTAATACGACACGATTAATTAGTTAGCTTATCCTCCCTTTTATTTCAAAAGTGCCTTAATTTTGAATTCTAGTGGATAAATTCAAAACGCTGTGTTTCTTTTCCTTACATCACAAAATAAAGTGGATCAATCTAATGTAGTGGCAGAGTCGTAGTTCAGGAGAGGCTACATTCATCCTTGAAATATGATATTAGATTATTGTGTTAACGCGTATTCATATGTTGATAAAAACATTGAAAAATAGTGGGATGAGAACTATATCGCCAACCCTCCTTCCTCCATGATCTCGATTCAATACTAAGAAGATATCATAGTTTCTTATTATTAACCTCCCTCCAATCTAAATCCTGAATTTTACTAATCTATATCTAACCATTACCAAATGAAATACTATGCTCTGCAATGTTGGTGTCTCAGTTAAATTTGTATAATAACGTTAAATGTACAACTTCAGTTTATACCATACAATTTTTTTTCTTTCAAACCCAAATACAGATATCATACAATATATTCCTATTAATTACACCACATGCACTATTGGTCCATTTCCACAAACCATTGAAATCCCTTCACCTCACGCTTTCCAAATTAAGGTGAGCAAGTTTTATACTCTTATTATATACCCCCCTCAATAACGGAATAAATTCTCTGCACAGTTTGGAGTTTGAACACCTCTATTTAACAAGCAACAAATCAACAATCCTTCCTCCTCACAACCATATATATATTCTCTCATTTTAATGATAACACATTCCTTACAACCATAACATTCCCATGTCTCTCCATCAACCTTGCACCCTTCCTCTCCTCCTCCTCCTCCTCTTCCTAGCTTCCGCTGCCGCCGTCGTCGCAGACTGCGGCGGCGGCAGGTGGCAGCTCCTTCAGCGCAGCATCGGCATCTCCGCAATGCACATGCAGCTCCTCTCCAACGACCGCGTCGTCATCTTCGACCGCACCGACTTCGGCCGCTCCAACATCTCCCTCGCCAACGGCAGCTGCCGCGAGGACCCCAACGAGCGCGTCGTCACGCACGACTGCTCCGCCCACTCCGTCGAGTACGACCCCGCCGCCAACACCTTCCGCCCCCTCACCGTCCAGACCGACGTCTGGTGCTCCTCCGGCTCCGCCATGCCCGACGGCCGCCTCGTCCAAACCGGCGGCTTCAACGACGGCGACCGCCGCGTCCGCTCCTTCTCCCCCTGCAAAAACGTCAGCGGGTGCGACTGGGTGGAGCACGAGAACGGGCTGGCGGCGAGGAGGTGGTACTCGACCAATCAGCTCCTGCCAGATGGCAGGCAGATAATCGTCGGGGGACGCCGCCAATTCAACTACGAGTTCTACCCCAAAAACGACGCCGCCGCACAACTTTACAGCCTCCCGTTTCTCGTCCAGACCAACGACGGGAAATCCGAGAATAATCTCTACCCCTTTGTGTTCCTAAACGTCGACGGTAATTTATTCATCTTCGCCAATAACCGCGCGATCCTCTACAATTATAGCAGCAGGGCCGTGGTGAGAAATTACCCCGAGATCCCCGGTGGGGACCCCAGGAGCTACCCGAGCACCGGATCCGCTGCTTTGCTCCCACTGGACCTTACCCTGCACCCGGGTGCTGATGACGTGGCCGCGGAGGTTTTGGTCTGCGGCGGCGCGCCGAGAGGCTCGTTTGAGAAGGCCGGGGTGGGGGAATTTGTGAAGGGGTTGGGTAATTGCGGTCGGATCGGGATTAACGACCCGAACCCGGTTTGGGCGATGGAGTCGATGCCGAGGGAGAGAGTGATGGGGGATATGGTGATGCTTCCCGATGGGAATGTCCTGATTGTGAACGGGGCCGGGTCGGGTACGGCCGGGTGGGAGAACGGGCGGGAACCGGTGCTAAACCCGGTTCTGTACCGACCCGGGAACCCGGCCGGGTCGAGGTTCGAGGTCCAGAACCCGACCGACGTGCCGAGGATGTACCACTCCGCTGCGATCCTGCTCCGCGACGGGAGGGTGCTCGTCGGCGGGAGCAACCCGCACGTGTATTACAATTTCACCGGGGTTATGTTTCCGACGGATCTGAGTCTCGAGGCGTTCTCGCCGGATTACCTGGATGGGAGATTTGATGGGGTGAGGCCGGCGATCGTGTCGCCGGCGGGCGGGGTCGGGGTGGGGTACGGGGAGAAGTTTGTGATTCGGTTCACGGTGTCGGCGGCGGGGGCGGTGAAGGGAGATGACGTGGCGGTGACGATGTTGGCGCCACCGTTTACGACGCACTCGTTTGGGATGAATCAGAGGCTGCTGGTGCTGGGGAGCGAGGGGTTGAGGAGCGTGGCGGCGGCGGCGGGGAGTTACGAGGTGACGGTGAGGATGCCGGGGTCGGGGAATTTGGCGCCGGCGGGGTATTATATGGTGTTTGTGGTTCATCGGGAAATTCCGAGTACAGGGGTTTGGGTCAAGCTCCATTGATTGACCGGCCACGTGGCGATTCTTTTTCTTTTTTTAAATTAATAAGCGGAATTAAATATTTAGAGTTTCGGTTTTTACCGTGGGAGTATAGTTTATGAGACGAGATTGAAAGGTCGTGACTAATTAAATGTGTTCGTGTATAGCGCACCACGTACAGAGATTGGTTCCGGTTACCGTATATTGATGGAGTTTTTCAATAAATATATTGTTCCAATTTAATTTGTGCATTTTTTACCAATTCTTCATCCTATAACCTAATTGTGAAAAAAAAAAATCATCGTACAATCTTTGATAATAATGGTTGCTTGTTTATGCAAAATTCTTGCTGGTTTTCTATCTCGTTAATAAATCAATTACAATAATTGAGTCAAACTCGAGAGTCGGAATAAACGAAACAAGGGAATAATTAACGAGAGGAAGTACTGCACCATTATATGAACAACCTGGTTAACGATACGCAGAACAAAATAAAATCTAATGTTAGCGCATAAGGATTGTTTTACAAACCAACATAATTCAATAAGATATGGATTCTTCTCCAATGCAAAACATATACAACATGTTTAGATGAATTGTACATTGAACCCCATCAAATTTCTTTGTAACAGATAAGATCTTCTTTATCTCGTTATGATCACAGGTCGTAATGAAAAAGAGAAAAATACTTACTATCTAATTTTCCTGTTCTTATCGGTATTAATCGACGAAACCGTATCAATCAAAGTCCAAATATGTAAAACTACAGCGAAATCACAATATACCTTAACAATATCGCTATAGAAACTGCATCAAATCTGTCTAATTCGCGCAATTTAAATTAATAAGGACGCGATGTTAAGACGTTCAACTGGCCGGTCGCTGCACCAAATTACATTGCATGGATGATGATAATGTCATCTGCGGTTACGAATTCACCATTAAATTTGCCTTTGTTTTTCCTACCAAGCTGGGGCTGATCGAGTACCAAAGTCGGTTTGCTTTCTTACAGATATACTTACACAGATACGTACATACGTTTAAGGATTCATATCCCTTGCTTTCACCACCATTTCTGTTTTTACGTTCTTTTGTTAAGTTATGGGTCACCGGCCGGTTCGTTATTTATATAAGTTATGACCCGCCTTGGTCTCATTAATTTGAGGGGTTTCTTAACGTATATGAGATCATTCGAATCAGGAAATGGCTGTAATCAGATGGCACTGACCAATTAGCGGGTAATTTTGCATAATTAGCTAGCAGTAAACTACTGGTTTAGCGTGTTCACGTGTAGCGGTAATTACTTGATTTAATTGGTAAAGAAAGATTGATTGTTGGGTTTAAAACTTTTCCTCAGTTCGTTCATGGGCTCTTTTAGATTGTCCCTGAAATTTTAGTTTGGAAAAGGATGGATGTCAAAAGCGGCAAGTCAATTGTTTCCAATACTAAGTATATCAAAACAAGAGCTCAAATTTCTCAAATTCTACCGATCAATCTACCTAACTTACACAAGCAAACGGTAGATATAGCTGAAATATTGTTATCATGGTACGAATTTCGATTCATGACCATAAGTTTATAGGGATCGTTTGGAGAACCAGATTTGAATCATGGATTTATTGAATTCATAGATTTAGCAAAATGTTATGTTTGTTTTTTTTGCTAATATTTGTATCGTGGATTGTAGTTTCATTGATTTTAAATCTCTAAAATATAGAGATATCAAATCTCTCATAATTTCTTTATTTTGGAGATTTTCTCCCTCCTACTATATCTCTGGGTTTTTTTTTCCATTTATCCCACTAAATATCCTTACCAATAAATTCTCAATATTTTTCGAGCCAATCTAATTATTTTGGTTAAGGATAAACATGTCATTTAATAAAAATATAATTTTTTTAATTGGATGTTAACAATAGTAGTTGCCAAACAATTAACATTTTCAAATCTTTTTTCAACAATCCGGAGAGTTAAAATCTTTGGATTATCTAGAATCTATAGATTTAGACTCCAATTCTCCAAACGAGAGTGTTTAACTACATTATACAAAGAGATAATGTGGTGACTATTGCATAAGAGATTGGTTTAAACTTTAAATTAAATGAACATAACAGACTAGTAGGTTAATCACATGTACATCCTGCTCTACATATGCGATTATTAATTTTAACTCATGCACTTAAACCTTAGTTGAGTTATTGTATTTCAAAATAGCGATTTGCAAAGCCTTAATGCTTATGTGAAGATCCATCAAATAAATAATTTTAAAATTGGTTATCTTATTGTTTTTTTGCGAGAAATGCTTGTGTTGATACGTATGTAAGCACATTTGACTGATTTGGACAACAATCAATTACACGGTTCTTACCTCTTCTAACAAATTTCGAATGAGGGTGTTTAATGGCATTTTTTGAACCAAATTATGTTAACTTATTTTACTCTTATGAAGGTCTAGTGAGAGCTACAAACTAATGACCACGACTATAGTTACATTACATAGAAAAAAGGTAAGGCTTTGCATGAGGTGTCGAGTGTTGGTTTTGGGAACCTTTGTTTCATTGTTCTTTTTCCGACACATGCGTGATTTTGATACCATAAGTCCAAGTAAATAATATAGCTTGCATCATAACGTCATGAATTTAACATAAAATCATATAGAAACACGATCGTCTCCAGTCTCCTCTATGTGGCGGAATGTGGTTTATGAATGAAGAAGGGGATGCTGTTTTCAAAACTAGAGTTGAGAGTTGGATCTTGTTATGGAGTCGGGAGAGTTGTCGAGTGAGTTGCGAACACAAATTGAAAAGTGAATTAGATCCATGATTTGATTTGGTAAACCCCGATCTCGACTAGATTTCCTTCCTCTATCTTTCCATTTTGCTCCAAAATTTACATGTATTGACAAATAAATTAAACTAGTTTCGTGATAACTTTTGATATTAGAACATGCTTTTCAAAATCGCGATATTATATTAATTAAGCAAGTTCGTCATGCTAGGAGTTACTGTACTCATTAGCTTTGAGAAATTATTTTCACGATAATAATAATAATAGCAGCACTCAAACACTAAATTAGCAATCAAATTTTTCATAAAAATACTTTTATACCCTTCAATATTTCGTGAAAGTCATATTTTAATGGCCAAATTCACCTGTATAGCCAAAACTTTGACGGTTTTGTCAAATATAGCAACTTTTGGTACCAGAAATAGCCACTTCCGTCCAATTGTTTGACGGTGTTAGTTAACGTGGTGACTGGACAAACGACATCGATTGACGTGACATATTTTATTCAAAAATAATGTAAGTGGAAAATAAACAAAATTCTATCTTTTTACAATTAAATAAAAAATTATAAAAATAAAAAACAAAATTATCTTTCTCTCCATCACCAACACCGCATGTTCACCTCCCCTTCGTCTCGCTCTTCTTCACGCTGAATTCCCCGCTTTCCCGACCTCTTCCAGCCTCGAAATCAGGCTGCTCGCCGGTCGAGTCGTGGCGAATCTCAGCTCTTCCTTCTCCATCCTCGTCTTCTCCTCGAACAGCGGCGAGAGATCGAACCCTTCGCACCGAGAAATGATGTGGAACGCGTTCAGGGTCTCCTTCGAATTCTCCGATTTCGCTTCGTCTTCTTTGCAATCGAACGCGTCGAATTCGATCTCCTCCTTGCTGCGTACGGTTTTGGGGATGGATTTTCTGAACCAGGACGACTCCATGACCTTCAAGATGGTGATTCGGCTCGCCGGATTGGGGTAGAGAAGCTTGGTGACGAGGCGGCGGGACTCGGAGGAAACCACGGCGGACATTTGAAGTCTCCCCTGTAGATTTTTCTATACATGGCGACCAGATTGTCGTCTTTAAAGGGGAGGAGGAGGAGGTTCTCTGGGTTCAGATCTAGGTGGTAGATGTCGCGGCTGTGGCAGAAATCGATGGCGGAGATCAATTGCTGGAAGTAAATCCTAGCGGCGTCTTCCCTCAGCCGGCCTCTGGCGACCTTGGAGAAGACCTCGCCGTCGCGAACGAGCTCCATGGCGATGTAGATCTTGGACTTGCTCGCACCTGACGTGGCAGTGTTCGATCCCAGCCTCTCGATCTTCCCAAACTTACCCCAATCCACAATTCGAGCCGCCGCCGTCGCCTAACTCTTCTTCTCATATGATTTCGAGTTTCCGCTTCGGCAGAATAAAAAGAGGCGCTCCAACTGTCGCTGTAACTCCCGTTGGAGATTCTTCCGGATCTTGAAACTCTTGCCCGCCTCTCCGATTCCGAGGGCATCATCCTCCCCGGGTAAACCTATCGCCGCCATCGAATTCGGCGCCGCTCCGGTTCATCTCCTTGTCCAACATCTTCACCACTCGTCCGATGAAAATGGAAATGGATTGGGCGAGGAATAGAGAGAAGAAGTGTGTAGGTTTTGAAATTGGCTTCTGGGTAGGATGAAGATGATGACGGGATCGCGGCGGCAGTGAGATGTGTCGTAGTGATGGTGGTGATTAGGTAGTGATTTATTTATTGTTTTATTTATTAATTTTTTTATGGTAATTTTTTTTACCCATTAAAAATGACGTGGCATCCCACCTGTCAATGGATGCTGAGGTGGGAAGGAAAGACACGGTGAGGTGGCAGCCACATCAACTGTCCGTTAATTAGACTAACGGTGTCATTGACGCCGTCAAACTATGTAACGGAAATGACTATATTTGTCATCGAACTTTCAAAATTCTGGCTATTTCTGGTATTTCTCCAAAATTGGCTATATTTGTCACAACCGTCAAAGTTTTGGCTATGCAAGTGAATTTGGCCTATTTTAATCGCATGAATGGACAAGACTGGTTTTTACTGCTTTAGGGGTCGTTTGGATGGGTTAATTGTCAATGTGGTATTTGTAGAGTCAAATAATTCATTTATTGTTCATGTGGTATTTCAGTGGTAATTGAAATAAAGTATCTCATTTGGTTGAACCATGCAAATGTTGTATTTGGTAAAAGCAGAGTGATAAAACGAGTTATTTCAAAATAACACATGGGTATAAGTTATTTCAAATAACTCGTTTTGAGTTATTTGTAAATAACTCACTGGCCAAATAACTCATTTCAGTAAAACGCTGTCAAACGAGTTATTTGTGTTCAAATAACTCATTTCTTTCTATTGGACAGTTGATCTGATACGAACATATGCATAGTGGAAAAGGGATATGAGTACATATTTTTATCGATTTTACAGGCTTATGAAAAAGTTGTACTAAGGGGGCGTTTGGATGGAGTATTTGTATGAGTTATCTGATACGAACATGTGACTAGTGGAAAAGGGATATGAGTACTAAGTTGAACCCAAATTACTCATACAAATACTCCATCCAAACGAATCTTAGTACAACTTTTTAATAAGCAGCAAAATCGATAAAAAATATGTATTATATTCCTTTTCCACTAGTCACATGTAGTTCGTATCAGATCAACTGTCCAATAGAAAGAAAATGTCTATTTATCTGAACAATTACGACACATGTCGGTTACATTTTGATTCAAGTAAAATGGTCAATCATCTTTTCATAGGCCAGAAACAATTTGATTCGTCGGCGATGACGATCGGATTAGTTGCCGAAGGGCGGTAGCATGCAGCTTTTGTGTTACTTTGTGCTTGTGATGCTTTGTTGTCCTTAACTCTGTTTGAAATCTTCGTGCCCTCATGTGCATACGTCCTCAGATGCTTAGACCTTTGTCACGCCAATTGTACTCTACTAGATCACACGTCCTCACTAATCACTACAATCACAAGCATTCTGCAGGGAATCGTGTTCATTGTTACGATGGTGTAAAACCAGATCTCAAGTCTTGATTCTTTGTCAAAGGAAAGCAACAGAACCAAATGATGAAGCCATCCGAATTCAGGGTAGGGTATAAAATATTCCGTTGATATATAATCCGAATCACTCGCTCCATAAATTTATCGACCATTCAAGAACTAGAGTTGATATATAATCCGAATCACTCGCTCCATAAATTTATCGACCATTCAAGAACTAGGATAGCGTCGAACGTATGTTGCAAATACCCCGTCCCTTAAGATAGGATTGTCTTACCTATACTGTTGAGGTTGGTTTACTAATCCTAATCTCAGGCATATATGTTCATTGTCCCACTTTCAGAAATTGAACTTTATTCTATATCATTGCACCTCTGCACGTATCCAGAATGTACCTTGATCGATGACAGAAATATTCATAGCAACGCAATTCTGGCGACCTATTGATATATAAATATATGTGGTATCTATATAATTATTACTACTGTACAAGTAGTGAAGCTATAACAATGTCGTAAACAATAATACCGCAGTCTGCAATTCCTTTATCACTGAAGGACCAAGAGCCGACGAGAAGCATTGCACCATCTCGAGTATGAGTCATGGAGGTTAGGCCAATCCGAAGACGGCGCATACGAGAAATGCTGCAGCCAGAGAAACAACACTGCTTCCTTCTCCTCCTGCTCCAGCATCTCCAGCATCTCTTCCATCACCTTCTCCAAATCGGCACGCTCCCCAGTACTGAGTACAGGAACATCCACCCCGGCTGTGGTGGCTCTGCACAACAGCGGCAGCCACGAGGACAGCATCTCCAGCTTCGTACGACGCCACTGCACCTTCTTGCTCTCCTCGATCTCGTACAGCCCCAAGTCTTTCGCGTGCTTGATCAGGAATGCTGTCAATCAAGCCAAACAACAAGAACTCGAATCAGGGGCAGCGATCATAGATACACAATCTGTTTGAACAATCTCTAGCTAGCAATGTTCAATGTTTCCAACTGAAATGTACGTTCTGAACAATGAATTAACCAATTCTTTCTTATTCTTCTGAGTCACATTCATTCTGAGTTTGAACTAATGAACGATGGAGTTTGAGCAACAAGGGTTACCTGAGACTTTGACCAACGAGCCCTGCAGTCGTGGCTCGGCCGAAAGGGCCAGCCAAGCGACCTTGGAAGCCATTGCCCACCTCCAAACGGCCTCCTCCACGCACCCACAAGCCGCCAGCTTCTGAGCTAGCCAGAGGAGCTCGGCAGCTAGTTTCTCGGCAGAGAAATTGGACCGGTTGGCGTAACCGGTACGACCCCAGCTCCCATCCCCGACCGAACGAACCGCTTTCAGCGCCCGGTTCAATTTGTACATGACAGCCTGGCCGGCTCCGCCGTTTCCGCTCCTACTATCCAACCCTAATTCACCCATGGCGGCTCCGAGCTGTGCGAGCGACCTCGAAAACGCCGCCGATAGAACCGTGCGATTGATCTCGTGGAGGGCTTCGACGTTCTCTCGATGATTGTCGTCGATCATCTTCTCCGCCAGGGACCGGACTATCTCGTACTTACGCGAGCTCACCGGGATCTCGTTCGCGATAGCCAGCAGCTGCGACAGCGCCCGAGCGATGCTCGAATCGCAACCGGCTGCGGCGGCGGCGGAGGAAGGTAGGCAAGGCTGGTGGTAATTCGAAATCTCCTTCTTCGGCGAGGCTTTGAGCGGGCGAGCTTCGGAGAAAGGGACGAACGAATCGAGAGAAGGAAACATCGAGGGAATCAAGCGGAGGAGGAAGAGGAAGGAAGTCACGACGACGTACCGGAGCAGCTCGAGGAGCTTGTACTTGTCGGCCAATTGGAGGAGGGATCTGTCGGCGTAGATGAACATAGAGGTGACGATGTTGAGAATCAGTGGTACCGTGCTGGCCGGCGGCGATTCGTCCATTTTGTGACGGCGGCGGGGGTAATGGGGGCAAGTGGGAATTTGAGAGAGAACGGCGACGATAGATTAGAAAGGGTCCTCGTTTTAGTCCTTGCTCCGTGTGGGACGGTAAAAGGAATTTGTACGGGGAGGTTTGACGGTGACGTGTGCGGATTGTTCAGCCATTCGTTAACTAAACGGGGGGCCACGCGTTGAGCCCGTTAGAATATTCGCGGGGTCCGTTTTTCTGTTTCATTCGAGCCTGAGTCTTATTGTTTCGTGGACTGGGCTAGCCAAGTATGAGCTTACAAGAAGGCCACAAATGAGAAAATGGGCCTAGATTTCGTTTTATCTGCACAATTCTTGTGTGTAACCTGCTATATATTTGTTCGCTGAATATAACCTACTTTATATATTTTCCTTGAATATTCATAAAATAATATATGTGTATTTTCTTTGAATATTCTTAGAAATATATTTATATTTACCTGAATATTAATGGCAATTTTTTTTGCAGTAATTCAAGCGTATTTTCTTAAACTTTTTCCAAATAATGAAACATGAGTAATTGTAATGTTTTCATTATTTGAAAATTCTTATACATAATCCATATATACACGCATTGTCTAGATTTTTTAGTAGTACTATACGCACGTCACTTAGCAATGAAAACTCTCCGAATTATCGAGTATGAGTACATATATATTGCAAATTGTCCGGTACTCCTTAAGAATGAGAGTCTATGTTTAGCTTTTGAATCAAATCAAACAATCTGATTCCATAATCGCATTAGTGAGTTAAATCAAAATATATACCATAATTAGTTAAGATGAGAAGATATGATAAAAGACGTGCAGGTTAAAAATGAAAAGAGATTATGAGAGAAAGAAAGAAGACAAATTAATATTTCAAAAAGAAAAGAAGGATAAATAAATAAATAACTAAGAAACCACTCGCAAATAAAATAAAAGGAAATATAAAAAGGAAAAAAGAAATAACTCCAAAGCTTTCACCCCTCCTCCTGTCCTCGACCTTCTCTCTTTGGCTCTTCTACTGTTCTTGACTTCATTCCCAACCCGCACGGATTTTGCCCCGTCTTGCTTCTTCTTCACCGGAATTAGGGTTTTTCGTCCCTCTGTCGTCGGATCTTCTCTCCACTGTAAGCTTTCTCAGTCGCTGCATCTCAGATTAACTTTACACTGTATGCTGCTGCTCTCAGCTTGCTGATCATCTTATCCAGTTCTCCCTTCTTGAAGCATCAGCACTGGCATTTGTCCGTTTTTCTCCAGTTTCTGGGGTTACATTTTGTGATGGATTGATTTTCGTACCTGGATTTTTTGCTAAGTCTGATTTTTGGTGGTTCATTTTATTAGAGGGTTTTTGGAATGGCTGCTTGGGTATATCCGATAGTGTTGCTTCGATTGGGAACTTTTTGCTGGCTTTTTTCCAACTCTAAAGGGGTTCTGGGCTAGTGAAGAGACGTTCTGGTTTATGGGTAGTGACAATTGTGCGTCTTTTTGTGGTTGAATCACCATTGGGTTTCCGTTTGTAATTTAGGCTGTAGTTGTTGGGTATGTGCTTTAAAACAAGTAATGCTAGTGAAAGGCAATAATGGTTTAGAAGCTGAGACTGAGCTGCTATCATGTCTACTAGTTGAAGCTGAATGTCCAGTACGTGATGTGAGATGTGGAATTTCGCGAGTGATTTGGTAAATGTTAATGCATGTAGCATGAGTGGCAAAGAAATGGTGACTGGTGAGAGTTCATTGGGATGGTAGAATATTTTGTGAACAAAGGCTAAAATGTAGACAAACTTATTCCCAGTTGTAGCACCGACATGACTAGATTCATTAAGCTTGTGTATGGCTTTTGCTTTGTTTTCTTCTTGATGTTTCATGCGTTAACGCAATGTGATATTCTGATGATCCTTGCTCATTGGTACAGGTTTGGAAGTCCTTTTCCCTGTTTATATAGCTTGATTGTTTGTCTCTGTGCTGCAAACATCTATAATGCTACATCACTTTGGTCTCTGGTGCTAACCTGGTCTCCTTCTCTTTACTTGTAATTATGTTAACTCATTATTCAAAAGTAGATAGTTGTTGATTCCATGTAGCGTAGAGCTTGATGTTTTTCCCCCTACTCTTTCTTAATATCTTTTGATATAGTGTCTGATAACTGAGCATCACCACTCCTCAAATTGGTTTGCATTCGTTATCCGCAAAGATCATCATTGCTGCTGAAGTCAAAATGGATGATGGAGGACATCGTGAAAATGGACGACACAAACAAGATCAGTTCAAAGCAGCTCAGAGTCAGGTATTAAATAGCAAATGTGTGTTATATTATTATTCCTTATTAAACTCTGAGAACGAGTGTAAATACTGTTAGTGTTCTCTTGTTTTCATTGCAGTGGCTGATGCAACAGCCAACCATGAAGCAAATCATGGCAATCATGGCTGAACGGGATGCTGCAATCCATGAGCGAAACATGGCCATCTCAGAGAGGAAGGCGGCAATAGCAGAGAGAGACATGGCATTCCTTCAGCGAGACTCGGCTATCGCCGAGAGAAACAATGCCCTAATGGAACGAGACAATGCCATCGCAAACTTCCAATACCGAGACAACTCTCTCCCTAACAGCAACAACATGTCTTCTTCCTGTCCATCAAATTGCCAAATCTCCAGAGGTGTGAAGCACATTCACCACCCTCAGCATCTCCCGCACATGCACGAAATCCAAGGAAATGATCCCTCCCTCCCAACTTCTTCGCCTGCTATCATCCCAGACACAGCAAAGCCCAGACGTGGCGGTGGCAAAAGACCCAAGGACCCCACCAAGGCGATGGGCTCCAATAAAAGGGCCTCATCGAAATCAAAGGTGAAAAAGGAGAGCAACGAGTGGAAGACAGAGCAGGATATGGGCATGGGAGATGCGGAAGATTTGAACAATAAACAGCTCGTGATATCGAACTGGAAGGGTTCGGACCTCGGGCTGAACCAGATTGCATTCGACGATTCAACCATGCCTGCACCGGTTTGCTCATGCACCGGAATCTTCAGGCAATGCTATAAGTGGGGGAATGGAGGGTGGCAGTCCTCATGCTGCACGACCACTCTGTCGATGTACCCTCTTCCAGCGGTGCCAAACAAGAGGCACGCTCGTATCGGTGGGAGGAAGATGAGTGGCAGTGCATTCAGCAAGCTGCTGAGCCGCCTGGCAGCTGAAGGGCATGATCTGGCTCATCCGGTTGATCTCAAGAACCATTGGGCGAAACATGGAACCAACCGCTACATCACGATCAAGTAAAGATTAACCCGGTACAAGAATTTTACTAATGGCATGGTGAGCTCCTCTTGTGTGTATCCTTCTGAGGCACACAAATTTTACGATCATAATTCTGTGGAAGGAAAGAAATAAGCAGGGGGGCATGATAAGAGCGGAGGAATAGAGTAGGCAAGGTGATCCTCCCGACAACTTTGTTCGAGCCAGTTTTCTTCTGTACTGCAAAATTGTTGTGTATTGTGTAGATGGCGTAAGTGTATGTAGCTTCAATTGTAAATGTACCTCTTTTTTCCTTCCATCGGCATGTTGGAGTAATGTAACTGGAATGATGTTAATGATGTATCTGTTGTAGTATCAAAGACTGTACTGTTCTGAGACTTTTTTCTGCAACGAACTATTGCATAATTTCATATTGCAGATACTGGAGAATAATTAGATCTGTAACACTAAATAATACCAGTTGGTTTTACAGGTTACAAAATGACCAGTTGTTTTACATTATAGGGGTATCCGTCAGAATTTCATATTGCAGAATATAATCAGATCTGTAGTACTGAATATTACCAGTTGGTTTTACAGGTTACAAAAAGAGCTGTAAGAACAAAGTAGCTGCTGGATTTCAAACATTTTATTTACAATAGGTGCAATTGGAAATCAAAGTAAACACGTGCTGAAGAAACTGTAACATTAACTGATTAATGCATTAAGCAACTACATCGAAGCATAAGCCATTAAAATGAAAAGAAAAAACACTGAAACAAGGTTGAATCTTCATTCGCTTCAATTTCAAAGCTTATGCAAAGCACAACAATCCATTGGCCATCTTAATCTCCAGCGAGAAGGTTGTGACTCCATTGCTGTCCTGCATATTTCACAACATAACGAAGCCCTTTCCAGTTTCCAGCTTCAAAATATTAATGGGGACTACAATCAAGTCAGTTAAATTCATTGAAAGTTGAATCAAAATAAGCTTGCAGTGGGATGGGTTTTCCGAGTGTCAGATCACGAATCATCAGCATGAGAATTTTATCAGACAGGGATAACTGTGAATATAATTGTCTCATCATCCACAAAAAAACCCACCATTGCAGAGAAAGCAGATTAACTTGATAACAAAAACGTAAAAAAGATTGAAGTTTTACATAAAAAAATGGAGAAGAAGCCTCAGACCGTCCTAGTTCATGAAATTTTCAACACAGAGATTCAGTAAAGTCTCAAAAAGAATCGTTCATCACTAGCTTTCTCCTCAATTGAACTTCAAAAAACAAAACAAATAAACATCGGAAGCAATGAAAAAGTTTTAAGGCATCAGATCTTCCTATTCAAAGAATCTGAATCACAGCAACCCATTAGGGCGCTCAATGGATTCGGCAAATTCGTTCGTCATTTGCCCATCACAACCCATTGGGACTAGAAAGAAAGAAAAAACAAAGGAAGAGATGAAGAGAATTAAGAAGATAGCAAAAGCTTATAGGCGGCGGAAGCCATTGAAGTGTAGCTAAGCAACGGCGATGGATGAATTACAGGCTACAGCCGCGTTTGAGTTTTATAAAGTTTCGGCGAGGGTTTTAGGGTTTTGAATTGGAATTGTTGGTGGTCAGGTCTGCATCACCGACGGGCTACTGGGCCAGACCCAGAACTCTACCCCGTCATTTTTGGCTGCTGTGGGCTAAGCCAATATAAGCCCGTAAAATGAAATAGGCCCAGATAGCGTGTACGATGCATCAGATTTATTGGTTTAGTTGTGTAGGTTTTGGAACATCTCGAAGAACATCTCATAATCCAAACTCAAAAATATATATATATTTTTTTTTATAGAAATCTGCAACTCAAAAATATTTTTAATACCACTAATCTTGAATCTAGAATTTTCAGATTCAAATCTTTTAAATAACACAAAAATCAAACATGTATCATCTTATAAAAATATAAATAATTTCTTTGGTGAGCAATTCACGAGCTCTTACCTCTTGGAAAGATTCTCAATTGATGGTGCTACCTAACATGGTCGGGTTGCATTTGGGTTTGCGGGTGATGGATTCATGCTCTTTTTTGCAGTTGGTAAACTATGCTTCTTGTTCGGTTTTTATTGAGCAAATTGCGTCAACGTATGCTATGACAGGGTGTTTAACTCATGATTTTACATTACTTCGATTTTGTGAGAATACTCAACTGATCATACGACGAGTCACTGAGAGATGATACTAAAATTGTTAGAATATGACTTGAATTTGATTTGGATTTGTTTTGTGTTTTAGGCCTATTCTGTTTGGGTTTGGGATTGAGTTTTGTTATGACCTTTTCCTTGTATGTTTGGGAAAATGTGTTTGATTTTCTGTTTGGGATTAGGAGAAGAGTTCTATAAATACTCTTCATCACCTTAGTCTGTAGTAAGGTCAGTCAGGTTAGTTTGTTTGCTTTGTCCGTTTGGAATTTGGTTTGTAACCTGTACTCTCCTCAAATTAGTGAAATTTGTCTCCCCTGCCCGTGGATTAGCTAGCACAAATTGTGTTAGTGAACCACGTTAAATTTGTGTTCGTTCATGTTGGTTTGGATTATCGATTGCACGCTTCTGTTCTGACAAAAATATGATTATTATGTGATAAACTTTCAAAATCTTTACTTTGAAGGTTGGATTGCTTGGGTGTTCTGTTCACCCTCTTCCTACCGTCGAACCGGGAAAAATTAAAACTATAAGTCTCCTCGGTGGAATACAAATTCAAAATCAATCTTAAATTCTCCCACGAATTATCTCATCTCATTCTCTTCCGTCCCATGTTAACACAAATATTAACGCTAATCTAAACATGGATTGGTTGTCCGTACGTTTGGAGAAAAAAAACACGGTCATTAGGGAAAAATCAAAACACCGAGGAAAATACAAATCATGGTTCATAAGTTGGGATGGAGGGAGAACAATCTGCCGTACTTACTCCAGCCTTAAAGGAATCAAGTCCAATTAGCAAGTACACCAAGTTGTGTAAACGACCTTAATCAGAAGAAGAAGGTGATTATAGGAATATATATTTTGTATTGTAGTTCAACATGACAAACAGGCTTGAATTGTCCATTAACGACATTTGGTATTTGTATTTATATTGAAGGTGCCAAAACATCGTCAATGTTTCTTTTCCTCGCCATCGCAGGGGACAGTTTTTAGTATTACTCTCACTCGTTTTAGTCCTAGCTAATTGACTAACTAATTGCTAGAATTTCTCATTTATCGAGTTTAGGTTATTGAAACTTGAAAGGTGATTGTTTTGTTCTTTTAAAGGAACCATAAAAGCAACAACGAGAGAACACAATTCATCAGCTGAAGCCTATGATTGTTAGGGTTGGCAACGGGGCGGATCGGGGACGGGTAGTTAGTTCTCGTTACCCATCCGTCAAGGCCAACGGATTTCCCGATCCCCATTCCCGTACCTTTAACGGGGGGCGTTTGGTTTCCGTCACCGTCCCCAGACGGTTTCGGGTAAACCACGGATCCTGAGAAAAAACAAAAGAAAAGGAAAAAACTAACCTAAAATCCTTGAAATTCAAACTTCAAAGTACCTTGATGTTCAAGGCATATAAATTCAAAACACAAAAGGAAGATCTGGGGCTGTAACTCTCCCACAACCGAACACCCAGATCTTCATTGTTCAAACAATGAAACAAAAGTGATAGGTTGCAGCAACCAAACAAGCTGCTGCAACCAAAAACCCACCACCCAAAACCCATATAACATATTTTTCACTACACTAGTGTTCAAGTTCAAAAGGACTAGATACAAAAACAAAGGTAGACAGCCCCAATAACATCATCCATAAATCGAACTAAAACTTATACTACTAGCACACGAGTTCCTTTGATCTTTTCTTCCAAAAGCAAGCAACAATATGCTGGAAACCAACTCAACAGCAGCATTCATCCTTGAAAAGCAATCACTGCAAGAAACAGAGTAGCAAACACAGTTAGAGAAGTGAAACTCATTTTAAATTGAACAAGTTAAAAAGCCTCAAGTCTGGCTCAATACCTTGAACCTTTCAACAAATCAATCGTTTAGGGATATTAGATGCTTCTTCATCACAAGCCCCCCTTCAACTGCAAGAATAAAAAAAAATATAGTTAGAGATTGAAACTATCAAACTAAGTACCAATCTAAATTGAACTAATTACACAAAAGCCACAATTGAGAACCAACTATCTTACCAGCTTCGTCTTGATCTTCAGTACTGGAATCTGCAATTGCTAGAGCTGAGAACACCCATTCCATTGCCTCTACAGCAGCCTTCGATGATTCTACAAATTGAAGAAAACAATGAAAAAGACAATTAACATTCTATCCAATTAACATTAGAAAACTAATATGGGAGTAATTGTAGATTACCTTGTTGCATTTCCTCCATAATCCAACTCCTGGTACACATCATTGCCTCTATTGTATCATAGTGCAATCTAATCCCATGAGGGTCTATTAACCTCCCACCAGAGCTAAAAGCAGATTCAGAAGCCACTAATGTAATTGGTATGGCCAAGAAATCCCTTGCAATTGCTTGCAAAGTGGGGGTACTTAAGGCCATTCAGTTTCCACCACATAAGTATATCAAAGTCAGGAGACCTTTTAGGAATCAGTTCCTCAAGAAGATAGTGATCCAGTTCAGTATGGACCAGAGTTGCTTTGCTTTTTTTTTCCTCCGACTCACAAATAGTTCAAAATCATGATCATCATTTGTAGGAGTAGAAGAACTATCATAAGCAGTTGAAGAACTAGAATTGTTCTTCTTAGACTTGGTTTGGTAATCAAGCACCAAACCACAAATACATTGCTTAATCTTATCAGCCACCAAGTCAGTATTAGTACTGCCAAACTTAGCAGCATAATACACAATCACATGCAACTTGTATCTAGGATCAAGAACCACTGACGCAGCGAGAACCAAGTGTATATCATCCCAATACTTAGCAAATTTCTCCCACATATTCTCAGCCATAACCAAGATAAGAGAATTGGTATCAGCACACCATTCCAACAATTTCCGTCTCAGATCACAAACCTTGGGGAAAAACAAATTAGCAGTGGGATACTTGCTGCCATAAAACAGCTTTGTAATCTCACTGAAAATTTCCAGCTTATCAATGACCATAGCAGCAAAATCCCAGTGCATACTAGTAGGGACAGTGGTGTATTGACTATCCCACTGCCTCAAACGAGGGAAAACATCTCTATACACAATGGCAGTAGATAGCATATCATAGGTGCAATTCCACCTCGTTGGACAATCAAGCACAAGTTGCTTCTCTCAAGGCACTTTAAGTTGCTTAGCAGATTCAAAGAAGGTTCGTACCCTCTTAGGAGTGGACTTCCAGTACACAACACTATCTCTAACCAATTCAATGCCATCCTTGATGACTTCCAACCCATCTTTCACAATAAGATTCAAAACATGAGCAGAACATCTCATTTGAACCAACACACCATCCAACAACTATCATCCATAGCAAGTTTAGTTTTCATATGAGTAATCATGGCATCATTGGTGGTACAGTTATCCAAGGTAATCGAGGACAACTTCCTATCAAGATTCCAACCAAGCAAACACTTGAACAACCTATCTCCCAACCTCTTACTAGTATGAGGGGCAGGGACATAGACAAAGCTCAACATCATGTTTTTAAGTTCCCAAGAATTGTCAATAAAATGCCCAGTAACCGCCATATACCCCATCTTTTGGTTAGTTGCAGTCCACATATAAGTTGTGACTGCAACTCTATCAATATTACCATCTAAAACCTTCTGAAACTTTGCCATTTCAGCCCCATATAAAGCAAATATGTCCCTCTTCACTGTATTTCTACAAGGGACAGTGAACTGGGGTTGCAAAGGACAACATAAATGTTTAAACCCCAAGTGTTCAACAATGTTCAGGGGATACTCATGCACCATAATCATAGAGCACAATTCCTTCCTAGACACATCAGAATTGAATTGAGTAGCAGATAGGAGGGGTTTTCCAGTTGGTTTATAATCAGGACCAAGAACTCTTTGCCTACCATCATGTATCTTTCTTTGGGTGCAAGTTTTGTAATGGTTCCTTAGGTGGGAGATTCCATTACTAGTATCGCCACCTAAATGTTTTCGACAGTATTTACAATTGGCTTTAATCTCCCCATTAAACTATTCCCTCACAAAATATGGCCAGACATCAGAAGTCAATTTACGATATTCATCCAAAATTATTTCAACATTTTCATTTCCATTAGTCAACGCATCATTCCCAGAACCATTAGCAGTAGCATTACCATTACCATTATCATTACCATTGCCATTACCATTACCATTACCGTTTTGATTAGAAGGCACAGTAGGATCATTCGCATTCGAAGCACAATTTTCAGTAGCACCATCCATCTACATAAACAATTAAATAATTGCATGCAATCAATCAACCGTAACTACCCAGAAAAATCACACAACACATAATACAAATTACAATCGAGAGTTGAATTGGAGTAAGGTTATGCCTAACCTGTAATCTGGAGAGGAAGACTCTGTTCACCAGATGCAGACGGTGAGCACTGAGTTGATGCCTAATGCGAACCTGAAGAACTCCCAAACGAAGCCAAAACAAACAAAATAAAATTAGCATGCATCGATTGATAAAGACCTAGCTCATGAATCTGGAAAAATAAAGGTATAAGTTTATGCTTACCTCGACTATGCTCTGAGCAGAGTGTAGGTAATGGGTTTAAGGAAGAAATTAGGCTGACCGGTGACCTGAAATTAATTGAGGGGTTACTATATATACGAGAAGAAGGCAAGAAAGTGCAACAGAATACGAAAGGAAAAGGGAGAAAGAACTTATCTCACTCAATGTGTGATATCACGCCGATTTTCCCCAATAGCTGCAAATCGAAGATTGCAATGGGCAATTTAGGGTTCTGCATGTTGTTTCCCGA